AAAAAATAAAAATAAAATAAAAATAATATAAGAAAATAGCTCATGCGAGCCACATAGATACATTTTCCACTGGTACTAAAATCGAATCTAAAAATTATGCAAAAATGAAAACAAATCGCACGCTGTAAATGAAAAACCAAAATCAAGTTTTGCTCTCAAAATTGCCGTTAAGCGAAAAGAGGCGTTGCTGCAAAAATCGAAGCCAACTTTATGCATATTTCTTGGTGTAGAGAGCGCGTCGTGTGCATGTGCGTATCTGTGTGTGTGTGCGTCTGTGTGTGTGTGTGTGTGTGTGTGTGTAAGTGTGTTTGAGTGTGTGTATATATGTGTAACAGCAAAGCACAACGACGACCCCGTAGCAAAATTCGTGTTCAAATATTGAGTAAAAAAATCCAAAAATAAAAAATATGTAAATATGTATAAACTTGCTTAAAGTTCATTATATAAATTAAAAAGTTGCTGTTGTAAAACTTAAAACAAAAATCACGAAGTTGTCTACACACGCACACGATTACACGTAGCACTCAGCCACTAACACACTAATACACTAACACACTCCAGCCAGGCAACAACAACAACAACAACAACAACGACAACAACGACGACAACAAAGAAAAGAAACCCTAAATAAATACAAAAGTTATATAGGCAAAAAGGAGTCTGCTGCAACGTGCGCCTGTGTGTCTGTGTATTTCTTTGTGTGCCTCTGTGTGTGTGTGTGTGTGTGTGTGTGTGTGTGTGTGTGTGTGTATACATTTTGTTTGTATGTGTGGTGGGGCACTCTGCATAAGTTAGGAGCATCGCACCGCGACGTCAAAATTCGACGACGTCTTCGTGCGTCGTTTTTGGCAGCCGCCTTTCCGCTCAAGTTGCTGCTGCCTGCCCCCGTGCTTCGCTTGCCCCTTTGCCACATGCCCCTTTTAGGCAGTTCTTGGTGGCTTGGCTTTGTTATAATTCAAGTAAATTGCTGGCTTGGTCGCTCGTTGATTAGCCTGATGAGACAGCAAGCGGGGCACTGGCTCGTCTCGCATATGCTTTTAATTGCCAAAAACGCGCAGACCCACATATTAACTAACACACACACATACATACACCCGCACACTCAGGCAGGCACACAGACAGACTGTAGGGATACCTATAAAATAAGTAAAATCATGCCCATAATTAAGATACTCGACCTACTGAGATTAATGCGATTAAAGTCTTGACCACTGGAAGAATCTTGCGTATCTTGTTTCAACCAATTTTTAATCTTGAGAATATTTTAAGTAAATAAAAGAAGTCTTAAATAAAATTAAGATCAACTCAAATCAGGAGAATGCTCCCAAAAATGAGAAATAAGATGTCCACCAGCCTGATGCAAGTTTAAACAGACTCAAAGTAAGAAAGTGGACTTGACTCCTTCCATGCGATCCATTCAGCTTATATAAATGCTTAGATCAAGAATATATTCATTATTTTAAGCAGGCTTGTTGTCAAAAAGTAATTTTGAGTCTGCTTCTACTCCCATTAAAAACTTGCGAAAATTAGAAGATGTCTATAAAATCTGATTAAGTAATTTGCCAAGTTTGGCAGCCATCAAATATGCACGGGTCCAAAGTTATGAGGCCTGAATATTTAAGCCCCTTTTGTAGGTCATCAAATATGTAAAACTCATTAATAAAACTCACTCAGCACTCAGCTCACATACACACAATAAACAGCCAGATACAAATTCAGATTGAAACTGAGCATTATCTCCCAGATATATATATATATATATACATATAATATATATGTATTTATATATATATATATGAATAGATACCATTATAATCAAAACTTAGTTGGATACATAATATATATAAATATATTTATATGTGTGCTTATGTAATTTACTTAGCTTAGCGCGCATTGCCTCTTTGACAAGTTGAAGAACAACAGCAACAGCCATGGCAACTACACCCCTACCCTTTCACACACACACACACACACACACAATGAACAGCAAAAACAATATTTAGATATTTAGTCCTTTGCCACAAAATGCAATCAAAGCAACGACGCAGGCAAAATTTTGAAAGCCAAATACGTCTACAAAACCAATTAACGAGATATGTGCAAAAACACAAAAAACCATATTACAATAGAGTCACAAGAGGGCTGAGCGAAGAGGCGGCGTGGGTGTGGACTAGGGGTAGGGGGAGCGCCGGAAGGAGCCAAAGCGGCATACAAATCAAAAGCGCTTAGAAAAAAATAAACCTAAAATTAAAAAGAAAAACACAAACACACAAGGCAATACAAAACCAAAAGGCCTAACACACACACAGGCACACACACACAGGCACACACACTGGCACACATACACATGCAGTGGCAGTTGTGAGTGTGGCAGGAGCCAAGTAGCAAGCGTTTATGCTAAACAGAGTGTAACTGCCGGGGTTGCCAGTTTTGCCAGTGACATTTCTGCAAAAGCCAAGTCCAAAAGGGAACAAAAACATGGCCCAAAGCACCAGCACGGCAGACAGCGAAAACCCAGAGACAGACAGCGTCAGCCTGAGAGCGAGTGAGAGAGATGGAGATGGATAGGGAGGGAGAGAGAGAGAAAAGGAGAGAGCGTGAACGAGGTCCTTTGCAGACATTCCATACTTACAGGCTCTCTCTCACCGCTCGAGGCTCAGGCTATTTTTGGCACGCACTCTCTCTCTCTTTCGCTCAGTGTCTCTCTCTCTCTCTCTCTCTCTCTCTCTCTCTCTCTCTATCTGCCTTGGCGCGCTCTCTCTCTCTCTCTCTCTGTGTTGGCAAAAGCCTGGCACTAACCAACTGTCAACGGACTAGGCCCGATTGCTGCCTGCACTGCTTAAACGGCATTCAAACGCGCAGCTGAGAAAATGTAACGGACGAAAAGTAGAAAATTTAACGGAAGACGAAAGCTGAAGCAGAAGTGGGCAAAAACCAAAAAAAATCACAAGTACTCAAAAGAGCCTGTGTCTGTGTATCTATGTACGTGTGTGTGTGTGGTTGAGTGCGTATTAATGTGTGTCAGTGTGCTCTGACTGTGTGTGTGTGTTTATGTGTGTCAGTGTACTTTGCATGTGTGCATACATTTATTTCGAAACTTTTATTTTGACAGTTTAGCGTAAAAGTTCAGAATTTACAAAAGCTGCAATTTAACTTAACAGATATCTGTATATATATATATATAAACATATTATGTACACAATTTATATATATGAAACGCCCAATAGAAATTAAATTAATATTGAAAATAATAAATACGTTAAAAATTTCAAATTTAAACGCAAAAATTCGGCAAGTGAAAAGAAAATGAAAATCAAGTTGGAAATCAAATGTGCATAACTGAAATACATAATATTGTATTAGAAATATTTAATTTAATCGATTTACAAATTAATAATACTAATACACTATAATTTAAGATGTATACCGACAAAAAATACTAATTAAACGAAAAGTCTATAAATTCGACTATATTATAATGCTAGTTAAAAAGTTTCTAAATAACCTATAAAATACAACAAATAATTGGCGAAACTGTTCTAAAACAAACATGTATTCTTAATTTTTTCAGTGTTAACAAATTAATATAAACTAAAGAAAGCACAGCAAAAAATAATAATAACACAAATAATAAGAACACATTCAAAATGAAAGTAAATCGCAGTAACAATGTCAAAAGTTAAGGCGAAAGTCAAATCAAGCAAGCGAACAATCTGCAAAGCGAAGCAAATAAAATGAGACAAGTGGCGTGCAACAAGAACAAGAACAGCAGCAGCAACAACAAGCACAGGCCACAACAACAGCAACAACAACAGGCAACGGACAATAAAGGCACAGTGGAACAACAACAATAACAATAAGCAGGACTATTAAGCACAGGCAATGGAATGGAGCGTCAATTTGGATGACGAACGGAACGACAGTAACATAAAAACAATGAGCAGCATACTGAAAAGGACCTAGGCAGCAAACGCAGCAAACAGCAAATAAAATGTGCATTTTATACAAGCGTAAAAGGCTCAGCAACAACAACAACAACAACAGCAACAGCAACAGCAATAAGCAAAAGAAGTAATTAAAAGTTGGGAAAGAGGAAAGAGGAGGAAGGCTGAGGACACCGCTTGGAGGCAAGTAGCTGGCAATTAATGTGGGCGAGGACATCAGTGCGCATCAGAGCAACAGCAACAACAACAACAACATCCGCAACAGCAACGAGAGCAACAACAACAACAACGACCAGAAGAACAGCAACAGCAACAGCAACGCCAGCAACAGCAACAGCAGCAGCTGTCAGAGAGGAGGAGTATCTGCCCACTGCCATTGAACTCGAAGCGATCTCGGACTCGGTGCTGTTGTGCCAGCTTCTGATGCTCTTCGTCCTGACGCTCTTCTGGCTGAGTTTCGTGTGGCCGCGCAGTCAAACGATCTCGCACTGGCAGCGTATGCATTAAAGTCACAAACGGAAAAGGACAGGACGGAAGAAGGGGCACGACCGGAAGGAACACCTACACCTACACACTCAAACACACACACACACACACACACACTTACACACACTAGGAACACACACCTGCACTGATGTACTGACTGAATGCCTCGCTGCCTAAAAAAAAAAACAACAAACTAACTCACTGACTGAGAGGAGACTTGAGCGGAAGGGGAGACGAGAAGAGCGAGAACTCAACTGCAACGGATGAACGAGAAGGAAGAAAGAAAACATAACTTAACTAATTACTGCTGCAACTGTAACTAAAAAAAAAAGCATCAACTACAACTTACTTTATACCAACAACAACAAAAAGCAAAACTCGTTTTTAATGCCAAGCAACAACTAAAAAAAAAACACAAAAAAAGCAAAGAAAACAACAATTTTTAACTAAGCAATACTCGCAGCACCCTCGACTACCAATTACTCTACCTTCCAGAACTTTTTGACTTTGTCACGCACCACAACAAACCAAACCAAACAAACCAAGCAAACAAACAAACAAACGACTAACACAACAAAACACAACACAACAAATTGCACCACCATGAGTGATTCAGCAATGGACAAATTAATAAAACTGACGCCCCGCACCCGAACACCCCTGTTAACTATTTGGCTGGCCATCAACATGGCGCTAATCGTACAGGAGACGGACCCCAGAAGGAGCGCCACAGTGCAATCCGCGTAAGTAATAGTTGACCTACTTCATCTGATTGATCGATTGATTGAGTGCTCTACATACTGACTCTGATCAATCGCCAATCGTCATTTTTCTATAATTTTATAACACATCATTTATATTTGATTGAACTTATCTTTGTTCTAAATCTTGACTCTGTTCAAATTAACAATCACAATCAGAGAAAGTATAAGTAATAAGTAATCAATTAATTTTTAAATAGAGGGTTCTTATTATTTACTGATGCTTGTTCAAGTTTGTTGTTAAAAAAGCTGACAACATTTTAAAATTTTCATAACTTTGGCAATGCTCAATCGACTTTGAAATTTGTGATTATGATTCGCTTTCTGTACTTTTATCAAATTTAAAGTTTCAAACGCATTCCCAATCGAAATTGTTAAGATTGTACCTTCAAAAAGTGCTTCTAGGTACCAGATCAATCCTCCCACAGCCATAACTTTCTCAAAACTCAACTGATTTTGAAAAGCAAAACATTTTTGTGACTCTGGTCTCTGGTCTCCTAGATCAATACCCCATTGTACGCTCATAAAATGCTTCTAGGGAGGAGTGAAATCTTTCCTTAGTCATAGAACTGCCTAAATCGATTCGAGTTTCAAAAAGATACGCTTTTTTATAATGGGCTGCCCTTTAACCTTTTACAAAATCAGCCTCAAAAAGAGATTCACTAAACAAAATAATATGTAAAATCCATATCAACATTCTACCCAATAAATTTAGTGTAAAACTTTATAACAATCAATTTATTGTTGCGAGATTTTACTGCATTGCACAACTTCAGTGTGTAGTTTTTGTATGTGTGTGTGTGTGTATGTGTATGTGTGTGTGTGTGCGCTTGCCCCAATGGAGTCATAGTTCATGATAATTTATGATTATTTAAAAATAGGTTGCCTGCAAAATGTGGATGGAAACACGGGGCTGGCTGGGCGGGAGAAGTGAAATGTTGCGGGCTAATTAGGTGCAATGACAGCTTGTTTTGACCTGGTCAACAGTAAATAAGCTCGAGTGCTTTTGGTCGCTTTTTTTTTTAAATAAATGTTGGCAATTTATTAAGCTCGTCATCATCACATTTGCATGCGCCGGCTATTAAAATGCGACGGACTGAAAAATGACAACTGCCAGGCGCTCCAGCTTGTAATTACTGACTAGCCAAGTTAATAGAGGGAGGTGGTAGGTCGGCGGGAGGGGTGGGAGGTTGAGGTACTATTTGTTTTTTGAAAGGTGCATGCGACATATTTGATTAGCGACTGGGGCAAAGTAATGTACACAAATTGTGGCATTTGCCAATGTTTTTTTCCCTTCTTCTTCTTTTCCCTTTCGGGTTAACGCTCATTAGGGCATATTTGCGAAAGAGGTGGGTGAGCGGTGCGGTGGGTAAGGGAGGCAAACATTTGCATAAGCCGCCAAGCAGGCAATTTAAGTAAATCAAAAAAAAAAAAAGAAAAAAAAACAGAGGTCCCCAAACTCCCCAAGTGCCTTTAACTGGAACTGAGACGTACAAATGCACGTTTATGGGCTTAGCCGATCGCGTGTGTCAACAACAACAACAACAACAACAAACAACACACAACACACCAACAGCATACAACACACAACAATAACAACAAATGGGCGTAAGTTAAGGCAAATGTCGTGGAAATGTGGCCAAAAGTGGCACGACTTTAGCACAGTTGGCTGCTTATTTGGGCCAGGCGGCATTTGAAGTTTGAGTTTGCGCCACTTTTTCATGCAACATTGCACAGGCGTCCCAACACACACACACACAGATACACGCAAACTTTGCAATACACAAACACACACACACACATAGAAATGATAGCCATGCACACACACACACACACACACACACGAACACACACTCTTGGAAAGGTTAAAGGCCAAAGCAACACAACGACACAATTTGTTCGCACAAAATAAAAAAAAAAAAGAAGAAAACAAAGTCGAGCCTGCTGCCTGCTGCTCTCTTTTAGACCCTTCAACTTCCTGTCAGGACTCGGACTCGGTCTCGGCAGCAGTTCCTGCTGCTCCTACTGTTGCTGCTGCCGCTGCTGCTGTCCCGTTGTGTGCCCCGTTGTGCAGCACTTGCCACACAAGTGCGCACTTCACATGGAATTTATTGATGGCAGATAATGCCAAAGTGGCAGCGACAAAGCAACACCGGCCAGATGACAATAGTGTTAGTGTGTTTATATGTGTGAGCGTGTGTGGCAGGCTGCACCAGCAGACAGGAAAATACAGCTTATATACTCTGCCAATCAAACTATTTCTCATATGCCAGGAAATAATAACGACAAATATGTACAAGGTTTCAACAACACTGAGTTGGTCAACACGGTCCGCTATATAGTTAGTTGGATGAATATACTCACAAAGCAAATTGAACTAAATCTTAAGAAAATCACTCAGAAAACTATACTTTATTTTTGTTTTCAGAAAGCTTAGATTTTAGCTGTTTTCAGGCTTATAGGCCAAGTAGCTCAGTGGGAAGTCACTCAGCGCGCGAAGTTAGGACTTATATGAGTTATATAAGGACTTATATCACATATGAAAAACGCTCTGAAGATTACATATTTCTATTGAATTTTAGAAAACATATACCCTAAAATAAGAAAACTAAAACATTGGCTTTTATAAATATATTTTCCAAACAGTTAAGTAAGTTACACTTGGCGCCATTATAAATTTCAAGGCGATTTTTTTATTAGCGAAGAAATGGCCATATCGACTCAGCTATTGATATTTTCAACTTATGGGATCGCAGATGGCTTATTTTTCAATACGTTACACCCTTAACGGCAATATTATTATAACCTCAGCAAGGGTATAAAAAGCAAGAAAGGACACTGGCAGCAGCAGCAGCAGCAGCAGCAGCAGCAGCAGCAGCAGCAGAAGCAGCTGCGACAACAGCTCCTCGCCAGCTTTCAAGTGCCATTGAGCGTAAATTGTTGTTCCTTCACATTTTGAGTATGATTGAGAATATCCACAAAGGGGCCCCGGCCAGTCAGGCAGTCAGCCAGCCAGCCAGCCAGCCAGCCAGCCAGACCATGAGCATGAGCCTCAACCTGGGCCTGAGTGTAGAGGGTCGTAGTTCAGCCAGCCGTTGCCATTTTCTGTCCGCTTTTCAAATATTTAATAAAGCCCAGACACGGCAACTTCAATTCTTTTGCTCCTTCTCTCGTATTCCGTGTTTTTCTGTCTTTTTTCAAATGTATATCTCGTAATGCAATTCGGGCAGCAACACTTTTTGCTATCCTCGCCAATATTTGCTTTGATTGTGTTTGTGTGATGCCTGTCTGTTGATGTTCATTTCGAAAATGTCAAGGACTTGTCAGAGTAATGCAGGTTTTCCATGCATTTACCTTTCTCTTAGCAGCCACACCAATTGAAACTGAAATTTGATTCCATCAAAGGAACATAAACCAAAGCACAACACTGTTAAGGTTGTAACAAAAACAAACAAGTAATAACCATGGGAAAGAATCGGTTTAGGATACTCACCGGAGTACTGACAGGACATTGTAGACTAAGAAATCATCTAACTAAACTTGGTATTCATAGTAGCGAACTATGCAAGTCTTGTGAATGCGAGAAGCAATCCTCAATGCACATCCTTGCAGAGTGTGCCACCAAAATGTGTCACTCTAGGGATGAGCTTCAAATAAATAGAACACAGATTCTAGCATACTTGCACGAACTGGGGTTGATGAAGGAACTATAGGCTGAGAAGGGATCACAATAGATCTAGTAAGTTGCAGTGTAGATATCCCAATTATAATAATAATAACAAAATCAGAACAATATGAATTTTGTATAAATATAGTCAACATTTAGACACAGAAGTTATTTGCGCGTTCACATTTCTAATGTTCTAGTTTCAAATACTTATTTGGGAGCGTTGCTTAAGGTACTTCAATTTATTTTCTTATTATATTCCAAATATAGTTATCTAAGTTTAAAGCAGCCAGAAAAATTGCTAGTTTATGTTGTGAGCATAAGTAAAGCATTTTATGTTCACGCCTACACAGACACATAAAATTAAAAGTAAAAATAACATCTTGCTTTTTATGTGGCAGTAAATGTGTGTTGTGTTGGTTGATTGTGTTTGGCATGGGCGCGGTCAAAACTCATAACATGTTTATCCGGTCATTTTCCTGCTTCAGTTTCAGCTTCAGCCTCAGCTTAGAGTCCCCGAGTTTGAGCTGCGCAATATGTTTATTTTTAGGAAACGTCAGGCATCAAGTTATCACTTTATTAAAAAACGCTTAGTCACATGCTGGAATACACAGAATTGATGCGTAAAGTCCAGAGTCACCCAAACACACACAAACACACACACGCCCAAACCAACACACACATACACACACACACACTTATAGAGAGAGCTAAAAGCGTTTTAGTGCGCAAAATAAAGGCCTTTGCCAAGTTGTGCTTATCTTGGCGCTGGCGTTGGCGTTTGCCAGCTAGAAAAGAAGGCCATTGTCTGACATGGGTGTTCCGCATTTACAGAAGATGTGTAAAAGGCAATGGTGGAATGAGGGGAAGGGGCGATGGGGCGGAAGTGGGCGACTGGTGACTGGCAGCGAGATAATGTTTTGCTAGCAGTTTTTCGCATTTCCGCTTTGTTTTAACATAACACTTGAATTTATGCAATGGCGCGTGTCCAACGCAGCGTATACGTAATGGGCCAGCACTCAAAGTGCCACTAAAAACGACAACGTTCAACGACAACAACAGTGACAACGACAACAGCAACAGCAACAACAACAACAACAATAAGAGTAGCAACAACCGCAGCAACAATAGCGGCAACCAAACAATAACAAAGATATTTCTTACATTTTCATTTGCCGAGCTACAAACAGAAGTTACGCAGCCACCAATGTTGGGGCGTTGCCACAGGCACACACACACACACACACCCACACACCCACACACAAACACACCAACACACTGACACACTGACACACTCACACATTCAATGTGGACAGCAGCTTCAGATAAGACAACAACTAAACTGTGGCCAGCGCATTAATATGGCGCTTGGTGTTGGCATAACACTTGGCGACACGTTTTGGGCTTGGACTACTCTACCTCTCTCTCTCTTTCTCCCTCTCTCTCTCTCTCTCTCTCTCTCATGCGCATGACATTCCTTTCTTACGACCACTATTTGTTATTGTTGTTGTTGCTGTTGTGTCTGTTGCTGTTGCTGTTACAACTTTTATTATGCGGTTGATGTTACTGACGCTGCTGCTGCTACTTCTGCTGGTTTTGAAACTTGTGCCAGCCACTTTTGCAATTTTGTGTTGGCCAGCGAAAAAAGTGTTGCCTACTTATGAGCGCACTTATTGCATGCACCACACCATGGACTAAGTGTGCGCTTTTTGCGCCATAAATTAATAATGACAAGACCAAACTGAAGTTTTTGCAATTTGTGCAGAATGTACAGAAGTTTGTTTCTACACTTTTCAAAAAAAAAAACAGAAAACAATTCATAAATCAGCAAACAAGCTAAGTTTTTTTGGAGCAATCGCTGCTCTTGATTTTGAAAGTGAATGATTAATTAATATTTGTTCCACAAAAAGAGTGCACTTCATGTGGCATAAATGCATAATACACAAATAAAAAAAATACGAATGGAGAAATACATTCCTTTCAAAGTGTTATCGGTCACAAGTAATTCTACTCGACATACAGCCAGGCATATTTGTGCATTTCAATAGGCAAATGTTTGGATTCCTCTTCAATATATTCTAGTGCACTCAATAACAAGTAGCATACAGTTCCAACAAACTCATACACATGCACATGGATTGTAGTTGGTTGCATACATAATTTGATAGAATGTGACGTACTCATAATTAGTTCAGCTGGCTGCCAGCCACAGCTCATTTGCATATTATAACGTATACGCCACGTTGTTGGCCACGCCCCAATTATATGTAAAGTACGCCAAGCTGTCAATGCGTAAGATAACAATTCAATGACAATTCATATATTTTGTTGGTAAATCGTAATGTGCACAATCACATTGAATATATCGCGCATACGCAGCGGTGTACGCAGCAATACTCGTACTTATAGCATCTTAAACTCAAATCAAATAGCAATCAAAACTTTTCCATTATCCACAAAAGGCGAAGGCAAACCGCATATCAACTGTTGTCAGGTCATTGCGCAGAAATAACAACAACAACAACAATTATAGGGAGCTAGCAGCTAGAAGCTCTGCTCTGTATACATACGTATATACATATATTTATATATATATATATTTATATATATATTTTTATAAATAGGCTGTCGTTTTTTTTCTTTCTCGTCAGCTTTGACTTTAATGCCAAACGTTTCGAATACACAAAAGCCGAAAAGAAGAGAGAGCGCCAGTGGCTGAGACAGCAAGAGAAAGACGGAGAGAGAGAGAGAGAGAGAGAAAGGGAGACAGCGAGGGAGATATATATAAAGAGAGAGGGAAAGATAAAGGGTGCCTGTTGGCCTGGCCAACTGTAGCTTGATTACAGTTCACAGCTGTCTTCCAAGCCCAAACCAATTTCAGCCATAATAATTATTGACTCGCAAATAGAAAATTACAAATTTTGAAATACGAAAGCAGTAAAAATAAAATTACAAATACTGCGCGCGCGCACAAAAGTGGCTCGTGTTGTGTGTGTTTATTTGCAGGCGTAACTTTTATTAAATTGTGATTTCACTCACAACGCACACACACTCACACACCAGCACAGCAGCATATACACTCATAAGCACACTCACACACACTCTCACATGTGTGTTGACTCGAGTACGAGTATATCCGAGAAGCGAGACAGTTAAAATGCCAACAAACGCGCTTTAATAGCACAGTTTAGCGCAGAATAGACGCAAATAAACACAGTCATGCTTGCGTCTTCAGCGCCAGGGACTCGCCATAAATAATATATACACATACTCACACCTAAACATATACTTATACACATACATATATAAACACATAAGTACATACATGCATTCACATAAATAAATATATGTACATGGCCAGGGTGGCTGGGACCCCATTTGACTGTTTGACTTTGCGTGGATGTGTGCACTTGATACCAAATAACGTAAATGTGCCACACAAACACAAACACACACACATACACATACATATATGCAGGCACAGATATAAATATATATATATATATATATATATATATAAATATACATATAATTGTATATATATATATATATATATATATATATATATATATATATATGCAGCAGCCACTGCTGTTGCCATTCCATCCATTTTTATACAGTGTTGCCATAAAAATTGCTAAAAATGACATCTTAATAAAGTTGTGAAATTGTTGATAACAGTCTGAAGGCATCTGCTTTGAGCCTATAAATTATATGGCTAACTCTGCTAGCCAAATCCGACTCAATCTGTCTCAGCAGATGTAAGGACTAAATTGATAATCGCTGAACAAATTTCTTGTATGATTTAGATTTTGTATAAGTGTTGTTTGATATTCAATTTAGACTTTAAATTCGCCGACTCAAAATCAAAATTCAAAATCAAACAAAACTTATTAAGATCATATTAATAGGAAGGCTTTTTGATAACTTGAAAGCTAAACCAAACAAACTTTGTTATACTACTTCTCGACTACTATATTCTTATTGAATTTTAAATTTATCCAAGATTGAAAATTGTATTTCTAATATGTGTTTTGTGTGCTTTCTATATGTCTTACAGAACTGGTGGCGGCAGCATGTTGGGTGACGTAAACATATCCGCTATACTCGACTCCTTTAGTGTTAGTTACGACAAAAGAGTAAGACCCAATTATGGTGGTAAGTATTTGCAATATCTATTCAGTAATACGATTAGTTATCCACACTAACTAGGCGACTTGAACGTAACGCAAGTTGGGGGCACAATTAAATATACAACATCAACTACTTAATATATATTTAATGTAGAACGGTTCTCAGTTGAAACTAGCTGAACTAATATACTTTGTAAACTGACTGTAGCATTATTTTGATCTACTATATATTGTACAATAACAATGCCAACAAACAACTGTAACGTGTCTTTTAGGACCTCCTGTCGAAGTCGGAGTCACCATGTATGTGCTATCAATCAGCTCGCTCTCAGAAGTGAAAATGGTACAAATATTAATGACTCTTGTACCCTTACAACTCTTAACGTTAAGCGCTCTTTCTCTCTCTCTCTCTCTCTCTGTATCTCTCGCATATATTCTCTGTCTCTGTTGTTGAAGTTTATATTTTTAACTTATTACTATATTCACTTTACTTTTGATCTTTCGAACAACACAATGCTTCAGTTTGTTGCCTCCAAAGAAAAACAATAAACAAATAAAAAAAAACACACATATATACTATTTATACACTTCTTTTTATGTTATAAAACTGAATTTGTAGAACATTTTTAGAAGTTTTATTTTTGTTTTCTATCTTCTGGCTTTTTGTTATGTTTGTTCTAGTCTTTTTTTTTTGGTTATGATATAGCTTAGCTGAATTTAATCTTTCATAGGTTGCTCAAGTTAGTGCTGACTCGTATTTAGGTTTGAGACATAATGAAACAGGTCCTATAAAAACGATTTTCAAAGTGAGGCTGTGCAAAACTTACATTGATTTTCCTGTAAGCCCAGTTATCAAAAAAAAAAATAAATAAAATATAATAATTCTCTTAGTATATGTCAACCACAACTGTAAGACTAACCTAACTATAAAGATTGGCAATGCTTTTTTCCTTATAAATAACGACTTCACTCTTTTATTTCGTATGTACATTTTTGAACAATGAGTTTCTCTGTGTGTATGTGTCGTTGACAAATTTGAGTACATTTTGTAATTGGTCCAGCACAGAAAGTAAGCTCTCTCTACTACTACTACTACTACTACTACCCCTCCAGCCAATCCCAATCCCACCACGAACACAATCTCCAGCAACGACATAGAAAATTCATGACATTAATTTACCCCATTTTGCTCTCCCCACCCACATTAATAAAAGCAAAACTAACTTGCTGTTCACTTTATGGATTTTGTTTTTCGTCTTCTTCTTCTTTTTATATAGGATCACACACAAATCATGCAAAGCTTTAAGATACATTTTTCTTAACTTGCAGCTGCCAATATCTGAACAATTCAAAAAGCTTTTCCAAATGGTGTGTTAAATCCGCTATCACAGCAACTAATCAAAAATAAATATTTACATAAGCAACAATTTGTAGTATTCATATGTTTGGCTAGATTTATCAATATTCGAATACACTGCAAAATGAAATAAAAATAAAATAGCTTTTATATATTGCTGAGCTTTGGCAATAATACAAAACTCGAACTGATTTGGTTTTCATTCGGCGCGTGCAAAAAGACAAAAACAACAACCAAACCCTTTGCACAATTTTAGAAAATATGTAGAAAGAAAAACAACAAAATGCAAATAGAAAAAAACGCGCACAACATTGTATATTTAATTTTGCCAAGGAAAATTAATCAAACAACAGATAATTTAAAAATCTGGCTTTATGTTAGAATGTCGCCACTTGACAGTGCAAGCCAAAAGTCTGCTGCTCTGTCGCTGTTGCCACAGAGTGTGTGTGTGTGTGTGTGTGTGAATTTTAGTTAATAACTTTTGGGCTTTACACTAACAACAAACAAGAACAACAGCTACAGCTACAAGAAACGGTTAACAAGAACAACAAACAACAACGACAACAACAACCAATTATAATGCAAAACAAAGAAAGAAAAATCCCCTCAACCGTGTGTGTGTGTATACTATATGTTGCAGGTCCCCCTGTGGAGGTCGGCGTCACAATGTATGTCCTCAGTATCAGTTCGGTTTCGGAAGTTCTCATGGTACATATACCAACTATAAAACATTTTTACCAAAAAAAAAAAAAGAGAAAATAAACTTTTTTGTTTTTTATTTTGAATAAATGAAAAGTTAACAAATCAACAAAAAATCATATGTCTTCTTCTTAATTTATCTCTCTACCAATTCTCTACCCGCCAACTATCTACCAAACTCTCCATCTCTCTCTCTCTCTCTCTCGCTCTCTCTCACTCTCTCTCTCTCTCTCTCTCTCTCTCTCCGTCTCTACTCTTGCCTATAATCTTGCTTAACCCACACATTTTTGTGTCAATATTCTAGTTCATTCTTAATTTCACACAATTCACCTAATTATATATATTTTTTGGTTGAATCATAATATTCAGTTTTGGAACATTATCAAGCAAATTGCGAAAATGTTCAATGCATATATACCCCATTATCCAAATATATATAAACATAATCTACTTATATTTAAACATTTATATTCTACAAAATTTTACCAAATAAATGTTGTGTTCATAATTGTTTTGCGATGCCAAATGTCAAATTTGCCATTGAGCCACAATAAAGTACAGTCAAAACATATAAAACATGTCACAATTTATGGTTTTGGTGTGTTATATAATTGGTAAATATTATTGCAAGTCGAAAATGTTTTAATATTATCTTTTACAATTAACAAAAATAGCTGAAACTTGTATTAAATCAATTTTCATTGTTAAACGCTCAAAAAATTAAATCTTCTCGCTGCTCATGCTTAAAAGCACAAAGGCTATTCAAAATATATAATTAACTTAAGAATCTTTCGTTTTGTACTTTATTCAAAAATATATTATTCTAAATTATCTTTAACTGCTCCAGTTTTGAAAATTACTTCCAATACACACAATTTTATTTAATTCGGCAACTGTAATTCAATTTCATTAGAATCGCTTAAGAAACGCTGACTTTGTAAATCAATGCGTATTGACCAGCAAGCCTACTATCTATTTAAGAGTCGGGTTCAGGGTCGAGCTCTCTCGATTAGAACACTCTTACTTATTTTCGTTGTGTATATTTAATTTATTTTGCCTCACATTTCGCGCTGAAATTTTCATTGCAACTACGAAGCTCATTTGTTTCAACATCCAATCGGATCACATTCACCACTTCCAACCAAAGAACACTTGCATTATTAAATTTGAAATTTTCATTAATCACCAACTATTCGTACTTTATTATGGCCAAGGGCAAAAGATAATCACAGCAGTCCTGTCGACAACGGCTGCGCGCATGCGTTTTTGTTAACAATATGAATGACTATGAATATGGATATGAATATGATTAACATCATGTACGCAATATACTCGTATAGCATACTCGTACAATATATTAAAGCTCAATGTCATATGTGATATACATATATATATATATAGCAAGAAGTATATAAGTGTACAAGTTACTTCTGTGTTTATTTTAATCATTTCGACAGGTCTCAAAGAGCAACAGAAATTAATTCAATTATTCATATTTTTTCGCTTATTAAATTTTTACTAAATTCGAAATTAAAACGAGACAATTAGGATTCGTAAAACATCTCATTTCTTATTCGATAAATTTTACTTCACAAGACACAAACACAATTGGAATTAAAAATGTTATCTACAAAAATATGCAATCTTCATTGAAGCTTTACTCAGACCTGCATATAGACAATTTTATAGTTTTTATTCAATTCGAATTGGCTCAATTTTTAGCAACAATTTCAACTCATTCTCACCTACATCAGGTCACTTGACAACATCATTCGATTTGGCCCCCACCCAAGTAATAAAAAACTAACACGTAAGGTACTACCATAAAAAATCAGCTACACAGTACTGCAAGCACCCAAGGATAACTCACTGTTTTTTGTACATATACAACGCGGACACACTACTACTGCACACTACTACTACTAATATTACTACTACAGTTACTGTAGAGCACAAAATGCTGATCGGATTGACACGTGCACCATTTTCTATTTATATTTTTATTTTTGTTTTGGCCTGCTTCTGGCATTAAGTCAACAGCAATCAATTTATGCGATGCAAACGTGATTAAACATAACAGAAACATGTACACGAACAACACGATAGACCAAAACATCAAAACAAGACCCGAATGCAACAACAAGCTGCAATAAAAAAAAACAGCCGACAATTTTATGGTTTCTCTCATGCATAAACATAGCATATTTATTTGTTTCTTTTTTTAAATTTTGATAAGTTTAAATTTAAAAATTACTTGAACAACTACAAATAATGAAAATTGAAAATTAAATGGTATCTGTCAGATACAAAGCTGAAACAAACAACCCCAGTAATGATTAAAAAACGTGACGTAACAATCAAATCAATACTAAATGCAGCTTCAGGTACAGATATAGATACAGCAACGGATACATTTACATATACAAAACACAGATACAAATCTGCCTACAGCTATGTAAATTGTGTAAATGGTATGGAAGAAAAGTAAATAAACTCAACCTCGCAAACTCTTTTTTAGGTCGACTCGCGTTCGAGGTTCGCTGTATATTTATGTAATTCGTGCCATAAATATCTGTATTTTATTATTTCATATATGGAGAGACCTTAAGACTTTTTAATTTGCGCATTTTGCATTTTCTCTATACAATTGAAAGTTTTGTTTTTGGCGTGCCTGTACCGAGTGGAAACCAAATCTGCTAGTTGAGTTTTCAACTTAGATTGTAAACCATCTAACCTATCAAATCTATCAAAAAGCCAATTGAGAATTGCATCAAGTATGTCACGAGTGCAACGGGCAATTTTCATTATTAATTACTTTAGACAAAATGCTTAATAAAAGGTACGCAAAAGTACTCAGAAGTAAAGAATAACACTTGCATTGTTCACTTTTAATTTGTACGTTTCTTTAACCCGATTCACCACAGCCACAAACTACGAATTGTGTGTGTCAATCAAACATCCAATCCAAATAGCAACACACATACGCACACTTGGAATACACACAGCTACATATACACACATATCTCGTATACCATATTAACTCAGCCTGCTCAAAGGGTCTGAACTGTACTATATATATAAAATAACCCTATTCCCTATCCGCTTCCTTTTCGTAGTACGCTTTAGTGCGCTTTAGCTTTAAAAAGGCACTGCCAAAAACAGCCGCAGCAGCAGGACAACAAAGAGCCAAGCCAAGCTAGTTAAGAACTATCTCTTTCTCTGTCTCTCTCTCTCTCTCTGTATCTCTCTCTATTTCTGTACAAATGAAAAACTAATTACAGTCGTTCTCGCCTTAGCGCCGTTAGTAAAACAAAACTTTTATATTACTACCAAATACTATGTCTTTTCTCAAGTAAAACAGAAAATCTCTAAAACTACTTCACATCACAGCAAATCAAATATTTGTGAGAGGTTTTTCAAACTGCTTACTGTATATAAAGGCTTATTTACCATTAAAAATTTTTACTCTTTATTTATGTTTACTTTTCGGTTTATTCAGTTATAATTTTTTAATTTAAAAAATAAATCGCTCCCAAAAACTACAGGGAATTTTATATTTTTGCATGCCACAAAATTTAAATGTGTTTTAAACCTCCCGAAAAAAATATAATAATAATAAATAAAAACAATCAAGAAGAAAATTCCCCCTTAGCCCAGAGATTATTAATTTTGTTTACAAATTGTTGCACGATGTTTATAAACAAATTTCAAGCTTCGGTTTCTAATCACAACAAGTTTTCTTTGTGTGTATTGTACAACGCATTTGTTGTTTTATGTTAATCAAAATAATGTGATAATAATATATTTCAATCTGTGCGAAAATTTCCTTGATTTCTACAATTCTAAGACTTTCTTAAACTTTCATTTAAACAAATATATAAGAAACGTTTATGCTTATATTTTTTACAAATAATAATACTTTCTTTATTCAAAGTGCTATAAAGTTTTACTAATAAGAAACAAACATCTCTTTTTGCTCCCATCTATAAATCGATATCGAAAACGTATTCGAATATTCGCAAAATATTCGTATAACACCCGTTATAGGACTTTACATTGGATTTTTACTTTCGTCAATTTTGGACCGATCCTCGTTTAGCGTATAGAAAACGACCTGGTGTAGAAACACTATCGGTTGGATCAGAATTCATAAAAAATATTTGGGTACCTGACACCTTTTTTGTAAAATGAAAACAATCATATTTTCACATTGCAACAACCAGTAATGAGTTCATTCGAGTGCATCATTCTGGATCGATAACAAGAAGTATTAGGTAAAAATCAACTATCTCCAAGCAAAAACAATTCAAATGCAATTTTTCAAATTTTTTCCATCTATATGTGTATGTGTATCTACTTAATAACAAACAAAAAATATGTCTAATGAAAAGTAATGCAAATAATTCAAAAGCTATTTACTAACAATCTTAAAGAATTTTTTGTTCAAATTATTTTTCAACCCTTTTTGCAACTATGTACTATTTTTGATGTGTGTGTATAAATTGATGTTGTAATTTACTAAACCAAAAAAAAAAACAAAAAAAAACAAAAAAAAAACGAAATGAAACGAAAAGTTCAACAAAATGAAAAAAGAGTTTTCAATCAAGTGAGTTCAATTGGCGAAGTGAAAGCGATAGAAAGTTGGCGAAATACTCCGAAAGTTACAAAATCTATTTGCACATTTCAACACTGAGGATGTATCTTTATGAAATGTGCAAGTGCAAAGAAAACCCCTCCGCCCCTCCCGCCTTACCCCACGCAACAAGATGATGAATTGAGGATACCAGTTGCATGTCTAATGTGTCTTTTACACCGCAAAAAGGTTGCACTGGTCGCAGTAGCTACTGTAGCAGCTACTGGGCATACAATTTTCTACTACCTATAAACAAGAATCTGTCCAAAATCGCAACCAAGCAACGAGTATATACAAAGTGCTGACAACAGATCAATCTAAAAACTAACTAACCTTATCTCAAGTATGCATAGTATTAATATCCTGCGTAAGAGCCACTCGCCTCTCACTATCTACTACTATTACTACCAAAACCAAAATGCCACTCGTAACAACTCTCTCACTTACAATATACAAATGTTGTTAATTATTATTAATAATGAATGTTAACTCTCATATCCAATTGAACTCGCTCTGTTTCAACTAATACTAGAACAAATGAACTTTGACCCCCCACCACCCCCGCCTAACCCTAAATGTCGTAAATTATTTGCTCCTCCTCTGCTTATTTAGTTGTTGTATCCATTAGCTGTGTTCATCATAAACTCTTTCAACTGCTTACTAATCGAAATCTCTTTCTCATCAATCCCAAAAAAAAAAAAACAAAAAAAAATATGAAAAACTTTCAGATTGACTATCACCGCATCGTGTCCCATGAATCTGCAGTATTTCCCAATGGATCGGCAACTGTGTCACATCGAAATCGAAAGCTGTAAGTACTAAGAAAAATTCTTACTATTCTCCATTCAAAAAGTCATCTATAATTAAAAAAGGCAAACAAAAAATTAGAAAAAAAGAATATATATTTTGAAATGAAAACTGAAATTGTATTTGTACTTATATATATTTCGATATTTAACGATAAGAAATGAACTCATTCAGAATATGAAGCACTTAACCAATAAATCGAACCCAAGTGGCCAAAGTAAAGTGCCGATGTGCTTAGTGTTGGCGAATGCTCAATTGCCAACTACACGTTCTTTTTACCCCTGTCTAGCCAAGTAATAGCCTAGTCATCATCTTAAATATGTATTAAGACCATAGCTAATTGCATCCGCACCAAATTTTGGCCACTAAGCTTAAGGCCACGCGCTGTTTGTTCAGTGTGGGCAGAAAATTGAAAACGAAAAACAATGTTGAAAAGCGCAAAACAAGCAAATTGTAAGTTAACTTAACCGAGAGTACACACACCTAATTAAAACTAGTAACTATTAAGTAATCTATTGAACGGACAATCAATATCGCAGAAGGGCTAAATGATGAAGTACTAAATGGCAATGTATATTTAACCAAATTATCTCAGCTAGAGGGATCTTAAATTTGAGGTTTCGTTTCAGTAGATCTTCAAACTTTTTATTTCTTAGGAAACATATATGTATATACCATTAGTTGGACAGAATTTTACTGCGTACCTAGTTTCCTAGTTCCCTAGTTCTTATTTTGGCCATTTTGCACAGACGCCAAGTCAGTTTAAATATATATTTACATACCAGAAAGGTTTTTTCGACAATTTATCCTGCAGAATACCATTATACCGTTCAACTCTTATACTCTCATGTTTCATCCATGTGCCCCTAACAAAATTCATAGCAAACAAAAATCAAAAAAAAAAAAAAAAAAAAAAAAACCAAAATAGAAATCATAAGATTGGTTGGTTTTTCGGTCGCCTTCTCATTTACAGCAACCGCAGAAGGCTCCTGATTATGATCGATCGACTTAAACTCAACTAAATGTGCTTAATCTTAGTATCTCTTAAACTAATTGAAATGTACATTATGAAAAGACGAATCCTTTAATAATTAAATCCAACAGCACGCTTTTAACCCAAAGGCCACACAATAAAGCAAACCCAAATGTAAATACATAAAAAAAAAAACAAAACTAGATATGAAAATTATTAAATGTCAAGACACGCCACAAAGATCGGCCACTTTAGTTTTATGAATTAACATTTAAAGTCTAATTTTAAGATACTTGTAAACAACAAGCAGATACTTAAGAAATACTTTGATACCAAAAAAAACAACCACCACAACAACAACAACAAAACCGCAAACAACAACAATCAAACAAACAAACAAACAACAACAATTACAATAATTAATTACCTACCGCCCCCTTTTTGCAACAAATTAACCAACTACAACAATCAACTACAACCAACAACAACAACAACAACAAAACGACATACAGTCGGTTACACGATGCGAGATATCCGATATTTCTGGAGAGATGGACTGAGTAGTGTTGGCATGAGCAGTGAGGTCGAACTACCGCAGTTCCGAGTTTTGGGACACAGGCAGAGGGCGACCGAAATAAACCTAACCACAGGTACCCTCCATACTACATTACAAATTCATACCAAACAAAAAAAAAAAAAGAGTAAAAACATCTTCTTTGTTGTGACAAACATTTTTATCAACACACTTATTCGTTTTCTCTCGTTTTCGTTCATATATTTCGTAATCAATTTCTTCAGTTTTCATTTCCTTTTTAATAAGAAAAAGGGTTCTTAGCGCATAAATATATATATATATATATATATATATACATATTTATATATATATATATATTAAACATACTCAAACAACATGCACATTTTGTTTAGTTTTGTGTTTCACCTATATCGAGTGCTAACTGTAACCTTGTGTTCTACTAACTAACTAAATACATGCATACTAATATATATATATATATATTGTGTTTCGAGTGTCCTCTACTAACTAACCTCTGTTGTGCCTAATTCATTTTGATTGATCATTTAATCCATTTTATCAAATTTATCGGTTAACGGTTAACTAACTGTTTTAGCCAGTACGCAGCAGTTGTAGTCCAGCTTGTGTGTGTGTGTTAGCCAGTGTTGCTAGGCGTTGCGAGTATTCGTAATCTCTCTTCTTATTTCTAACATTTTCCTTTTCAATTATAATACGATACCACTTCCAGTTGCCGTCCATTCTTAGCGCATTTGCTTGGGTAGGCTATAAACATGTGTAACCAACCACAAACAACAACAAGATATATACTAAAAATATAAATTAAATATACATACCATATGTATATGTAAAAAGAAATACAGAAAACACAAGAGCACCCATTTCTGCCATCTTAAGTGCTTAAGTCAAATTATTGTATACAAAAATAATAAATGAAACTACTGCCAATAAGAACAAACAGTAGCTTTAAGTCTAGTTGAAATGCTCTTTATATACATACCTATATTATAAATCCAACCCCCTTTGTATAAAATTGTAATATATGAGCAAACATCTATATCTATCTATAATAATGTAAATCAAAAAATATATTTAACAACACTTCAAGCAACAAGTTCTGAATGAGACTATTAATTAACGTAAGAAAGAAATAAAACAAGAAAATGCTAAATTTATATAAAACAAATATGTAACTAAAAAAAAAATTTGATAAATTTTACTAAGAAATTAATTTTTTGCCAATCATTAATAGTCTCACGAAATGTATTTTTTGTTTTGTGCATATTTTTCGTCAAATGAACAACAACAACAACAACGACAACCACAATGAACTGCGCCGAACAACAACACTATAATCAAAAAACCAAAAAAAAAAAAACAAAAAAAACCAAAAACCAAAATGAATATCACTTAAATAAAAACTGTATAAATTTGAAACAACAATGATATATAAATGCAAACAACAACTAATATACAAAAACACATATATAGTCGGATACACGATGCGTGACATACGCTATAAATGGAATGAAGGCCCTAACTCGGTTGGTGTCTCGAGTGAGGTATCGCTGCCCCAATTTAAGGTCTTGGGTCATCGTCAAAGAGCCATGGAGATCAGTCTTACCACAGGTACCTGTAGACGGTTACCGATTTTTTTCAAACTTTACTTTTAACTTTATACATACTTATACTTATTTATATTTACCTTTACTACCTACATACTACATATACATATATATACATACATACACATGATGTATGTATGTACAAATAGTGCTGATGAATGATGATGACGACTTTGTACCTATTCTTATACACATGTTATACATATCCATAGAGTTTACCTATCGATATGTATAACGGTTTTATTCTTTCATCCTCAGTTCGTTTATTTGCTTAACCTTAACATTTATCATTATTTACAAGCCCAAACATGTTTACAAAGCACTCGTACCTCTTCATCCTAACTAGAACGACAGAAATATACATTGGGCCGACTCTAGTGCAAATTTTGCCGAGGCTACAACTAAAAATGGCAGCAAAACTAAGACAAATGCATGTACTTAAGCATAATACTATTTTGCTTTCTTTCGATTTAACAAACGCTCAAATTTATATATAAATTACATGAAAAAAAAGTATCTTCGGCATGCCGAAAGCCCTTACAGATAGGATAGACCATACAGAGATCTTTATGGTTATCAATATAAAATTCATAGAAAAAACTCGGATCTCAGTTCGATTGTTTCAATTATTCCTAACTATTGTCATATTTGTCTAATACCTAAAGTATAACTAAGCATTCCTCCCAAGTTTCAGAGTGATAACTATAAAGTGAATCGAGTTAAAATAGAACATTGAAGCCTGTATTCAAATCCATCTGCAAGGGTAAAAGATAAAATATAAAACAAAAGCATTCTTGGCCAATCGATAGGAAATGAAATAATCTATAAACATGGGTGCCATTTAGTGACTTGTACTTGTATTTATGAAAAAAAAAACATATATCAATCAATAAGCGCAAGAATATAATGCATGTTAAGCTAGTTGAACTTTTTATTCATTTAGTAATTCATTTATACTCACTTAAATCATTTAACATTCAGTTGGCGTTGATTTCGATCTATTATGATTTAATCATTAGTTCATAAACAAAATTAAATAATTGGCAGTGCCAAGCGAATCAACTATAGCAATTAAAGTCAATCAAAAAGTATTTCAAATAAAAACAATCAAAAATAATTACTAAATTTGAATTACGTGACAATTGTGTCAACAAAAATCATGAAGTAAAATATATATATAAATACTTACAAATATATCTCCTATATATCTACTATTGAACACTAATACAAATAACAATAGCGATGCTTAACTTTATATGGCTTTTGTACTTAGATAATCATTCTTTCGACTTATGCCTGGCATTAATATTAATTATATTTTCAAATCGCCATACACACACACACACACACCCACACGACTAAATACATTATTATCTAGTCACATACATATTAAAAGTTATTTGCCGAAATTGAAAAACCGCTATCGAAAATTCATTAGCATAAATTCAACAGCAACAATCACATTTATATATTGTAAAAATTACAGAAAAATACACAAAAAAATCTGCAATACATTACTAATATCGAAAACTAGAACGTTTCAACTTTTATAATAATAAAATATATAGAAATATTTTTTTTATTAAATTTAGCAGAAGCAAGCAAAAACATATCTAAAATATATACCAAAAAAATATATAAAACTTATATAAAAAATACAAGACGCCCTCCCAAGCATGCTCTCATCATTACAGTTTCCTTTCAAACCAACAATAAAATATATATACTTATATTTATTAAATAACAAACTGTCGCGGCCAACAAATTGAGCCCTACTGGGCCTTAGGCTAGCTCTCTATCTCTCTCTCTCTCTCTCTGTCTCTCCCTCTCTCTCTCTCTCTCTGCTCATTCCTAACGATTATTTAAAAATTTGTATATTTTAGTTTTTTTTGGTCTCCAGTCCTAAACGGTCACTTTCATTAGGTGTTCGCTCATTATTATTTTAGTTACATAACCTAATAAATCGTAAATCTGAAACCAGTTTGCAGTTTAGCAAGCGTTAAGTATTTCATATTACTTAGCACTAACAAAACTTTGACAATAACTATTAGAAATAAATATTGCAGAGCCCATTGATCATAATGTTCAGATATTGAATTGCTTTATTTATCCTTTCGTTTCGTATTGAAAGTAAAAATACATATACACAAATATATTTCTTATATACCTTATGCATACCAAGAACACATATATTTACATATATTTTATTCCAAATATTTAACGACGAAAAACCTCTCAGTTCAATGCGCTCATTGCTTAATTCGTTTTTTATAAAACTTTTTGATTTATTTATTAAAATTTTACATTTTTGTTGTGATAAAAACTTACCAATATAAAAAATTATTGATTTTAAAGAACGAAAAAAAAAACAAAAACCTTAAAATAAAAGTGAAATATACACTAATAAAATTATTACACTCTGCTCTCTTTTTTCTCTCTTTCTCTCCCAACTCTCTCTTTAAATATATATATGCTCGGTACTCATAAATCTGAAAATAATGAACAATTTAATTAACTATAATATATATATATATACAACAATAATAATACTATTGATAATAATAATATAAAATAGGCAACTATTCGCGTTTAGCCTGCGAAATACAATTCGTGCGCTCGATGGGCTATTATCTTATACAAATCTACATACCCTCTGGACTGATCGTTATTATATCATGGGTATCATTTTGGCTCAATCGCAATGCAACGCCGGCGCGTGTGGCGCTCGGTGTGACAACCGTGTTGACAATGACCACATTGATGTCGTCAACAAATGCAGCGCTGCCAAAGATTTCATACGTCAAATCGATTGACGTCTATCTGGGAACATGCTTCGTTATGGTCTTTGCCAGTCTACTGGGTAAACAAAATCTAGCGAAAACATATACCAAATACCAATCAAACAAAATAATACCAACACCCAAAAAAAAAAAAAAAAAAAAATTACCAACACCATAAACCAAACCAATCAAGTAGCGAATACAAAATAATTCCATAACTCTTCACACAGCACTACACAAGCATCTACTAACACACACATGCCCTGAATTTTATGTGTGTTGCTTTATTACGTACTGTATTTCATTAATTTAATTTCATTTCCACACATTTTTTTGGCGCCAAAGGCACTCGAGTACCAGCCAAAAAATGCCAATCTTCAACAATCTTTCAACAACACACTCTTGCCACTGTTCTTCGCTTAGCGTTTTGCAGCTATTATCACAGAGACAAATACACTTTCCTCCAACAGTCTTTTATTTTTACAGCAAACCAAAAAGAAACTTCAATTAGATATCATTTACTTGAAGTTGGAAAACACGATTTTTTGAGTAGTGTTTATATTGCTCAATTACTTTTCCCAACTCTATTCAATTTCAACAAATTCATCAAATTCTGGAAGTAGCTGAAATTGTAAGAATACATACTTACAATTCAGTAAATAAATATATATTTACTATATACTATGTATTTATAAGTTTGAAATATATTTTCCGATCATTCAAAGTATTCCATGTATATTATTCAAAATTGAAGCAAAATATATTTCAAACAATTATACTACAGTCCAGTTCAATGCTCTAACTTTAACTTTCTCTCTTAAAATCCTAACATCTTAAGCAACAACTCACACTTTACCTACAATATAAAACTCTCAACTCAGGTCAACAACAATGCAAAAAAAAAAAAAAAAAATCTAAAAAAAATCTCTTTTTTCGTATTTGTATGTTATTGTTAATTTTTCTATACAAAGAAACAATGCAACTATCATCTAAAGAAAATGTATGCAAATTCATAGATACGCGCGCTGCCTTCCCTTTGTAAGGGCACAAAATTTCCAAGCGAAAAGTTTTGCACACATACACCCACACACACACACAGACACCTACAACCACCCACACACACACATACACACACAAACAGATAGTGCACTGAATACTGTTAGATAATACACATGCAGAGCTTTTTAGAATACTTGAAAACAATGAAAGCATGCTTCTGCCAAAAATCAAAAACCAAAACAAAAAGTATTTGCTACAAATTATTTTAGACTTTTAGCTTTACTCGTAATCTCGTATTTACTATGTAGCCGCCTCAGGTTGACATTGTGTTCCAAGCACCCCACAAAAACAAAACAAAACAAAACCAAACCAAAAACAAAAATGAAACAAAAGAATATACGCAAATCCAAAGAATTCTTGAATCATGATAAATGCATAGCAAAAATGCACATGAGCGAACACATTTTTCAACCTGTAATGGTACCCAGATATTAATATACGCCCAGCTTCCACTCAAAACGCAAGCCTACGAAAACTAAAGCTACTTTATTATACTATCATCATAAAAAATCGAAAATCAAATCTGGAAAAAAACAAACACAACGATCCTCAAATCTCCAGCCCAGGGCTACGAGCAAAAAAAAAAAAAAAAAACCGAGCGCATTAAAAAAAATGATACCAGCATGCCTTGCGTCACACCTGGCTTGAGTCGCGATTGAATTGAATAATATATATATAGATAAAAAAAAGAATGAAGAAAAAGACAATACACTGTAAATAGAGTCCCAAGAAGAAGGCGAAGTACCAGCATTCCATAGATGAAGATATTTCAGTCTGGACAGCGTTCAAACCTCAACTAAAAATCATATCAAAATGCACAGCATTTGGTTTGTTAAGTCTGCGTCATTTCAATGTGTGCCGCAGACATGACAAATTCCAAATGTTTTTCCAACGTGAGCTTGAGGTTAGGTAAGATATGATAGATTGGTCTCTTTCCGTTTTATTCTATGCATTTACAGCAACAACGCTTCTCAGAGACGATGGGGTAAGTAAACGTAAACTCGTTTGTTACTCGTTCTATGAAACTATTTACTCACCCCCCGCCCCCCTAACAACTACCCCTCAACAATCAGTACGATGAGTCTTGTATCTTAGGATCCTGTTTATGCCACTTGTATTCGATCTCTTCTGTGCATGTTAAGCAAAGTCGCGACCCAATTATATATATACATACACCTGCTTAAGGATAAATACATATCAACAAACATACATATAAATATATATATATATTATATATATTCAAATCGAGGCGAAACGAAAAGCTGGAAATATGTGTGTCCCCTACACCAGGCGACTGTTCAATGAATTTGCATTTAAGGCACGCACATCAACATTTTCCTTGAATGATGGTCTCAACTGCGGAATATATAAAAAAAAAATTTTACATAAACCATTTGGCTTACAAATTAACGTTTTTTTTTTTGTTCGTTCACTCGTTTCACAAAAAAAAATAACAACAGCCAGCAGACAGACAGATACTGACAAGCACTCACTCACACACGCACACACACAAAAATACACACACTAACACAAACACACACACCCACACAGGCACTTGTATGCAGTCACACACACACACACGCACACACTCACACAATCATTTAGCCGTTACACCTTTATTGCTCTCTCTCTCTCTCTCTCTCTCTCTCTATCTCTATCTCTCTCGTGTCTGTATTTACCTCTCTCTATCTATCTATCTTACACCAACCACACACACACAGTACACTTGCTTTTCACATTTTTTCGTTGCTTTGCTAACGAACAGAATATGAATTTATTCAATTTTTATTTAACAATCAACTATACAACCAACCAACCAACAAACAAACAACAACAACAACAAACACACACACAAGTGACGTTGATTATTTATACCCTGTATCCTGAATTAGAATTCTTTACTCCTAGCAAAAAATAAATACATACTTTCTGTCACTTTGCACTTACGTTTCTACTCTGAACCAATTAAAAATGGCAAAAATTAAATTGTGTATTTCCGACCACATAAAGTATATATATATCCTTGATCAGCATCAAAAGCCGAGTCGATTATGCCATGTCTGTCTGTCTGTTCCTTCGTATATATAAACAATTCGTATATATAAACAATTCGATCGCAAATCGATATTAAATAAATCGATACAAATCGATTTTCGATCAAATTATAAAGATTTCCCATTGATATGATGTAATATACCCTGCCGTATTATTGATCAACTATACAAATTTGATGAAAATATTACAAATTAAAATAAGTTGAAATATATACTCTTAATCATGGTACAGTGTATCCTCCAAGTCGGCGAACTTATCCGACTGCAGTATTCTGACTTATTACCTGTAGTACTTTTATCCCAAACCTGGTTTCCAGTTTTGATTTAATATTCCCACAACAAATCATACACATACATACAATTACTATATGTATAGTATCAAAATTTGCATATATCACAAAATCTTTTCTTTCTACTTATGTATATATCATATATATTTGCATAAATATTATTATTATATATATGTATACAAATATATGTGTATATGTGTACGTACATTTACAAATGAATGCCATGAAAATTAATATGTTCCAAAAATCGCTCCATTTTCCCCCCATACCGTTCCATACCGTTCCGTACTTCAAAATTACAAAAACTGTGCAACCATTCAACTATTGACTACAACAACAACAACCAACAACCAACAACAACTACAACAACAACAATAACAACAACCACCTAATATTCAACAATCAACAACAACTACAACAACAACAACAAATCATCTTAAAACCTCATGTGGAACGCGACCTGATTCAAAATTTTATGCATCCGCATCAATCCTCCCTCCGTACCGCCAAACCAAACCAAACCGTCCGATTTGGAATCCATTATCAATCAAAATTGCATTCAAACAAATATGAACTGACCAAACAATTCAATTCAATTCAATTCAATTCAATCCAAATCAATTCAATTCAATTCAATTCGAAAACTGTATCCAATATCCAATATCATATCGCCAATCGTAGAATACGCCACCGTCGGCTATATGGCAAAACGAATTCAAATGCGAAAACAAAGATTTATGGCGATCCAAAAGATAGCTGAGCAGAAAAAGCAACAGCTCGATGGTGTGCAGCAGCAGGCCAATCCGAATCCGAATGTCGGAGGCGGACCCGGTCCTGAGCATGGACATGGGCATGGTCATCATGCCCACAGCCATGGTCATCCGCATGCGCCCAAACAAACAGTGAGTAACCGCCCAATCGGCTTTTCAAATATCCAACAAAACGTTGGTACGCGCGGTTGCTCGATAGTGGGACCCTTGTTCCAGGAGGTGAGATTCAAGGTCCACGACCCCAAGGCACACTCCAAAGGTGGGACCCTGGAGAATACGGTAAATGGCGGCCGTGGCGGACCCCAGTCCCATGGACCAGGACCAGCACCAGGCGGTGGCCCAGGTGGTCCACCCGGTGTCGGTGGTGGTGGTGGCGGTCCGCCAGTTGCTGGCGGCGATCCAGAGGCAGCAGTGCCCGCACACCTTATGCATCCGGGCAAAGTAAAAAAGGTAAATGTAAAGCATCCCATTTGATGAGATAAGATATGTACACTTCCCAAAAGATACATAGATACTGAGATCTACCCAAAAAAGAAGCCGATTATTAATTTTGAGTTATTCTCGCAGGATATTAACAAGCTGCTGGGCATAACACCCTCGGATATTGACAAATACTCGCGCATTGTGTTTCCCGTGTGCTTTGTCTGCTTCAATCTGATGTACTGGATAATCTATCTGCACGTCAGCGATGTCGTCGCCGATGATCTTGTCCTGCTGGGGGAGGAATAAGTCTGGACGAGGCAACGGCTGTGGAGGCTGACGACAAGCGAGAGAACAGCGCACAAGAGAGTCAAACTGTGCAGGGCGCTGAAAAACAAAAAAAGAAAAAAAAAACATAAAAAAAAAAAATAACCAAAACTAATTTTAACTAGCGATATGAAAATGCAAAGGCAACATATTATTGTTAAATACTAATTGAAAATAAAAAAAAGAAACACAAAGACACACATATTAAAGACGAGAGCAAAGAGGAATATTGTTAAATAGATTTACGCAAAAAATACATAGCATAAATAAGAAGGAGAAGGATTTGGAGAAGAAGAATAAGCAACACGATGAATAATCAAAAGCAGCAGTATAGCAAATAGTAGAGTATAAAGAGGTTATAAGGGGAAGACGAAGCAAATTAAAACATATGTTAAAAAAAAAACATTAAAGAAGATAACGCAACATAAAAATTAAAAAGAAAAACAAACTATAAATATAAAAATGGAAAAAATAGCACAGTCAACAAATTATTTCAAACTCACATAATTCAAAAACTTTAAAACACACCCGATGCAATTGACATAAGTTAATATATAGGAAATCCAAAAAATAACCTATAAAAATTCCAAAACATTTAACATATATTGGACTAATTTTGAATTTGTTTTGAATCGTTTCTTACTTTGCCATTACTTCCCTTAAGCAGACAGTCAAGTAGTCTTCCTTAATTTAGGCAAAAACTTAATTAAGTTTATGGTTTTTAAAACCCCCTTTACTCTTAATTCTTATATGTATTTATATATATATATATATATAAATGTATTTGCACTTCATCTGTATTACCCAAAAATATATATTTCTTGATTTTTCAAAACTGACCACTTTTTAGCGCTTCCAAGAAAAATGGCCAAATTTTTTAGGAGAAAAAAGTAAAAAGAATAAATTTTCAAATTAATCAACTCATTAAATTAATTTAAATCAAATCAACTAAAAACTTAATACTACTCGACCATAAAAGCTCTAAAACAAGATTTTTTAAATAATTTGCACATGAAAATTATACAAATAAAAGCAAAATTCTTATGGATTACTTTAAAAGGCACTTTTTGTAAGCGAACGAAAAATGAAAGAAAAACATTATATAGTTCTTGTTTTAATAAATGATTTTAATTTCACATAAAAAACAAATCGTATAAAAAAATACACAATAATTAATGCAACAAGATGAAAGAAAAACCAAATATTTTAATAGCACTACAAAAATGAGAATTCCAAAGTGAAATCAATAGAAGAGTTACGAAATTGAAAAAATAAATAGAAATATTGAACACAAAAATATTGAATGAAACTGCCTAAAAACGTAGCATATAAGCATCACAAATAGTTGTTTAAACAAAGGACGATAGTTGATAGTTAATTGATTTATTTTGTATATAAACCTGAAGAAGAAAAATAAACGCAAAGTAGGAGCAAAACTTCGCAAATGAGAAATAACATGTAATTCAAATTAGCTAACATTAATGTAATTTACAACTAGTTAAAAGCAACTCGAGACACGAGACAAGTTCAAGCAGTCAATAAAGCGATAAATATATAGCAGATACATAACTACATACATATAAACAAAATGCACCATCTAAATAAGCTTAGTATACTATATACACACACACACACACACTCACACAGACACAAACTAATATGAACATATATTTGACGTTTTGGTAAAGTTCCTCAAGATTATTTAGTTAAAAAGTGAGATTTAGTTTGAATACCAAAACCTAGCACAATACCAAAATAAAAATCACGAATTCCATGACAAAAAAAAAAGAAAAAACAAGCAAAAATATCAATGAATTTTATTTAACTAGTTATGGTAAGAGGAAGAAGAATAAGAAGAAGCAGTTGAAGTGCTACTATATCTAAGGCTAAAGATTTTTGTACAGTTAGCTAATGCTGAGGTTATACACCACATCTAATCATTTATGTATATGTATTATGTATATGGATAATATATGATAGTTATATATATACACACACACACAAACACATATATATCTAATATAGATGCAGCAGCAAGCCCACACACATATATATAATATATATATATATGGATGAGTATGGATGTACTTTATGCAATGAGTATATATATATACATATATACAATAACAATGACGTATTTAAGCACCTATATGTAGCACGAGTTTTTTATATGTAAACCAACAAACAAAAAACCAAAAAAACAAAAAACAAAAAAAAAACAACAATTAATTTTATATACAACAAAAAAATACTCCCATAAATAAGTGGAACACGGGCAGTGCAGAGCAGAGGAAATTACAATTCTAGGCGCAAGACTGTCGATAAAGTTGAAAGGACGAGGAATTATAGAGGAAGACGATAAGACGATGGAAGACAAATAGCTAAATCTACACAGTCAACAAGGAACAGACAGCTCTACCCTAAATACCTATACGGCCTATAAATACACACACTTAACCTAAAACACATTCTACTCTACATAAACTAACTAATAATAATCCAACAACAAGCAACAACATTTAATGCATCTTTAAGCAACAACAACCAAAAATGAACAAAAACAACAAGCGAAAATTACTTTATTAACTTTCTAGACATACAAACACACACACACACACAATTGAGTAAAAGAATTGAACTTTTACGTAGATTTTTCGAAACGATCAGTTGAGCCCCCAAGTACTTACCTACATGGATTTGAGATATAAAAAGCAACTGCAATTGATTTACAATACTTAAACTTACCGAGCAAACGATGACGGAGCAGAAGATGTAACAGTGAAAACAGCAAAGCATATTCTTAGGAACACATTTTTTCAATGAGTACGTATATATAGTTAGAATCAGGCAGAATATAAAAACTCAACTCGACATCAAGTGAAATCGGTGATAAAAACAAAAAATAAAACATAAATATATATAAGTATATAGCGAGCATATACTATATATATTTTGTAGCTATACAGGTGTCGGAATTCAATTATATTACCGAGAGAACGCAAAACCAAAAATTAAAAAAAAAAATAGTTAAATCAAAATGTTTATAAATTGAATGAGAAGCAAAAAAAAAAAACGAAAAATGAGTAATGCATAAGCGATATATGAGGTTTATCTGTAAAACGTAATGTAATTAAATTCTATGCAAAAACGATAACAACAACAACAACAAATAGCTGCTCAACGGTTTCGGAGCGTATTTCCAAAAACATTTTAGTTGTAAAAAAGATTTAAACAAAAAAACACATAAATAGCTGAGAATTTTTAAAAATGTAAAACCAAACTAAATAACGACAACAATTAATGAATTAAGTTAACGTATTTACTTTTTCATATTCGTTTTTTACTCTACACCTAGTTAATGGTATAATTTGTCAAGAAAAAAAAACAATTTAGTTTGGCTATAGTGAAATTTTTTAATGGACATATTTAAGAATATTTATAAAAATTAAAAACAGAAACAAGAGGCAAAGCATTTAGGACAAATAATGACACAAGCCCTTAAAAATATACACACGAAAAAAAAACAAAAAATCAAGAAAAAAACAACAAAAAAAAACAAAGAAATGTTTAAAGCATTTTTGGTGCCGTTATTTAGAGGGCGGCACCAACACCAGCGTTTTATAAAGATGAAAAACAAGCAAAAATAATGAATACGAGAAATTATATTTATACATATACGAGAGTACATGTATATACATGATGTAATAATTACATTGTGTATGTATAAAATATGTATAATAATGTATGTACAATATATTATATATGTATGTATGATGGTCTCAAAAATGAAATTCTAAAGTATTTAGATAAGCAAACCAGTTAAAAACTTAAGGCATTTAGTTCAAGTTACACAAACACACACAACAACACACACCCACACCCACACACATACACAATTCATAATATCGCACCAAACATTCTTTAAATGCAACCCAAAATAATATTATAATACAAAAGAAAATATTATTAAGACAACAATTATAGTTATTGAAAGATATAGAAACCAAGAACAAAAAATAGTCAGTAATCCCAAAATACTGGACGAGAGATAATTGGAAAACTTGCACAAAGTAAATTTGCAAAATGAAACTGAATATTAAACACACACACACACACATACATCTACACACACTCACACACATACTCACACATACATACTTATGGTTGTACACCCTTTCGACATTGCTTCGCTCTTTCCGTTAACACATCATTTTTCAAAGCGAGCACAAAACAAAAGTCTTTTATGATAGTGAAAAGAATTTCAATAATTAATGAAACTTAAGTCTTGTTATCTAATTGTTAATTTGATTTGTTGCTCAATTATTGTTAACAAACAAAAATTATACACGCCTGATTGCAAACGACTTTACTTCCAACATCAATTTTTATTTTTAACATCTTTGACACAGCTTAAAGACAGCTACAAAAGAAAATCTATAATTTTTGTTTTTATCCGTCCATTAAAGAAGTTCCTAATTGCAATAAATGAATATTTGTTATGCCTATCACCAGATTCAAAAACAACAACTCCCACGGAGCAGTCAATTCTTATCATAATTTCCATTTGAATTATTGACTTAACGTTCAGTTTGTCACTAGCCTCTTGTCAATTATATGTTCAAAATAGCCCCTCTTTCCCCTCTCTCTCTCTCTCTCTCTTTCTCTCTCTCTCTTTCTATCTCTCAATATCTCTCTCACTGTCTCATCAGACATCAGGTGTTATTTTATTTGAATCATATCCGCACATTTCCGTTGCTCAAAATAATCAACCCAGTATAAATACCCCGAAATAGTAGTTAAGCAAGCATTATGCAAAAACTGTTTGAAAACGGATTAAAAACAAAAATACCAAATATAAAATGAGATGAAAAACAAAAATAAATTTAAAAACGTAATGCGTATGTAATGATTGATCACTGATCACAAATTTTGACTGTGTTAATTTCGTTATATAAATAAAACTAAAGACAAGAAAAATATAATGAAATATCTATAGCGTATAAAAAAAATAAATACACACATAAAAAACACGCAATAAATGTTACAAAAAGAACAGAAAACAAAAAAATATGAAAAAGAAATAAGAAAACCTATAACATTAAGTTGAATGCTAAATGAAATGCGTCAAATAAAGACAATGGGGCAAAAAAACATCCAAACCAAAAAGATAATTATTATAATATTGCAAATGAAGCGAATACGAATAAAGATATGTAAAAAAATTACAAAACGAGATATTTTCTTTTATGGGCAAGCACTAATAGTTCCGAAACTGAAGACTTTGATTTATTAGCAAGAGTCTTCTCCTGCTTCCATCGAAAGGTTTTCAATAAGAATGCAATTGTTTTACGTTTTGTAAGTGTTAATTTATTTATAAGTCCTTTAAACAGAAGGTTTTTCTTTTATGACATGAACTTTAATTGCCTCACTGAAAAAATAACATACAATACAATTGCGGTATACTTGAATAATTTGTTGTTAATATCATATTTATTTAAATGAACTCTAGTTAGAGCTTGTTCACACTATATAATCAGTTGTTGTGAGTATTTTTTTCTTTTTTTAACTATTTATGATTCGCAAAAATTGAGTAGGCATTTTCAGGTAGTACATTAATATAATCAACCAAGATCATTTTGAACTAAACTCATACGAAAAAGCATTGATCTAATGTGAGTAGACTCTCAATATAACAGTACAGTACAACAATTCATAATATTTTCAAGCAAACTAGATGGAAAGTAATTGTCTATGATGTGCACAATTCCTAGTGCTAACAATGAGTATACTTATTTGAATTTAATTTATTTATTTTTGCAACATATCCATAATATTGACTATGAGTTGAAATATTTTTTGGCTGGTTTCCCTTTTTTTCGTTACTGTTAATTAAGCACATTTAAAATATAGGTTTTTAGCTAGTAATATACGTAATTATTATATGTTGTTGGCTTAGATATATACACATACATATATTATTTATTATTGCTCGATTATTAGCTGATATTCGAAGATCCGTTTCAGAGTCTGACAGTGAGAGACAACTACAACACTCGTCAAACAACGATTACAATTTTTTACATAATACCGATATAATCTCAACAACAGGGTAATATCCATCCTTGTATATATTGTAAATGTATAGGGTGGTTTTGGTTTTGTTCAAGTGCACAGAAATGGCATCGTTGTAATTATCGAATTGATTGCATTGTATCCTTATTACAAGTGGCTCAGAAATCGAAGCAATCTGTGTGTGTATGTGCGAAGAGAAGTGCTTTGGCTTAAATGAATACAGTTTGTAATTCTCATTCTGGCTGTCGGTTGGTCCAGCTATGAGTATGTAGTCTCTATATAGAATTTATATCGTGCTCATTGCTGTTGTGTGCCTATTTTATAACGAACAACATTTAAAGTAACCAGGTGGAGTTTTTGGATACGGAGTAGGCCATCTTAAGCATTCGACTCTTTCAGATTCTCGAGGCGTGCCAATTGATTTGAGTCCAATTCCTCGGGTATGCTGGCACGTCCGCCCACCACCTGTTTGGGTGCATCAATAACATCCTCGGCTGGAGTCTCACAATTCACATCCAGGTCGCTAGACTGCGCACCGCCACCACCACCACCGCCTCCTCCTCCACCGCCGCCCATGGCGAATGCATCATCGAAATTAGCATCGAAATTGGCCTCAAAATCGGCTTCAAATCCACCACCGCCACCTCCTCCTCCGCCAGCATCAGCCGCTGCAGCGGATTGCTTAGCTCCTTTCGCCGATTTCTCATTAAATGGATCTTCCTCCGGCTCCTGCAGCACGGGCACATCCGCATTGACCGAATCAGTGCCGTCCGAAAGTGATTGCTGGTCCTCTGCTGGACGGATGGATGGATACTCTGTCAGTGTTATGGTTACAGTGGCATCAACCAGATCGCCATCATCTTCAACATCATCATCATCATCATCATTATATTCAATACGATTACCTTCTTTGGACGTGGCCACAACAGCTCCCGCCACTTTAGCCTTAGTCGGCTTTGGAGTTACAATATCTGGCTTTTTATCCACAACGGGCTGATCCTTGGCAGAGGATGATGATGAATTGTCGCTCTCTCCTACTGGTGGGAAAGATTTATCGGCACCGTCTTCAACCATTGGGGTTGCAGCGGTAACAATTATTTGTGCCATACCTAAGTTCAAAGTATTCGAAGTTGAAGCCGCCGTGACCGCCCCCGCACCTCCCTTGCCCGTCCCCTTGGCGCCCTCAACTTTTGGTTGGATCAACTGCGGCGGCGGCAACGAAGGTGGCGGCTTCTCATCGTCACTAAAATCGTCCTGCAATGGAATAATATATATATCACTTGATTAATGTCAATGTCAAATTAAATTTAAATTAAAATATGAGAAATATTCATAAGATATTTATATTTCTACAGATTTAGTTTTAAGGGTTTTTTTTTTTTTGTATTTACCTCCAGGCCAGGCTCTTGTATAAGCACTGAGTAAGCATTAAATATAAGGGAGAGAAAAACAATTAACTTAGACAATATTGTTCGTTATATGTTGATTATAATACACATTTTTAAGAACCCTTTATCGAGTGATTAGAGAGCGGTGAAATATCAATTTATAGTGGGAGACTCAATTAAAGGAACATGATCTTCAACCTTGGCATACGCCCAAGAGTTAAATATACGGCAAACTGAAATTAGCATCAAGGATTATAAATTATATACAAAAAGGGGTATTCTTACAATTATTAATACAGGTAATTCGATTAAACACTTAAGGGTTTTTGGAGCATTGAGTGGGTTGCATGCACATGCTTTTTGTACAGTAAACCCAAAAATAAAAAATTAAATATGCTAATTGAGTTAATTTTGAGGATTGTTGGAGGAGTAGCATAAGATTCGGACACCAAGTAAGTATAATAAATGTCATTAAAAATGTGTGAAATGCAAAAATGGGAGCTCCTAATACTTAAGATGTTTAAAATAGGAGCTATTTTAAACTCAACCCAATAATTACGGTGTTCAACTGTATAAAATTGATATACAAAGATTGTGGATAGAGTAATATTAAGGAGATAGAAGAAACTTTATAACATAGATAACCGTTCATAATAAAGTTAGATTATTTTAAACTTTGATACAGGGTATCTGCTAGTCACGCACTCTCATCAAAAGAATTCTTACACGTTTCATTTGACCTAAGAATCACCATGGTCAATTTTGAGCAGAATTTTAAAATATTTCATAAATCAATCTACTAAAATAAAATGTATTTGACTATATACAATAAAGAAATATATATACTCGTATTCAAGCAACCCCCAAAAAAAAACAGATTAATTACAACAAATTTTGTCATTGAATACATTTAGAAGAAAGAAATGATAGAAAACTTTTCGATTATATATAGTAAATAATCATTCGAAATACACAGTTGTTGGTACTTTTGAGGGGACATCAATAATTATTACACACACAAAAAAAATACAAATTATTTGCTATGGAAACCAAAAAAAAAGAAGAATTATAGAAAAATCACGTTGAAATCGTAATTAATTAGTAGGCATAGCAGGAAACACCAACACACAGGAGACACGTTGTTAAGCAGCCTAAAGAACACTGTAAAGAATTTGTAGTTTAGTTCTTAGCTTCGCATTTGTCTTGCTTAGGACACATAGAAAATTATTTTTGTTTTTGTTTTGGTATTTTTTTTTTTGAGATAACACATCAACGGAGAGAGTGGTTTACAGAATAGTTACAGTGGTGGAAGTGGAGTAGATTTTGGTTGGTGGTTGTGATGATAGTTGGTGGTTGGTAGTTGGTAGTTAGTGGTGATTAGTAGTAGTAGTAGTTGCTGCACTGGAAAATTTAGTTTAGGTACCTCTAGAGAATATAGAAGCAGGTAGTAGAACAGTACTTTCGAGTGTTTGTTTGAAATAATAGTGAAATCGAAGTATTCAGTGAAATATAATGTATGTAAAAGTGTATATAGTTTGGAGGTAAAAAGGAAAGAGAGATAACAAGAGAGAGACGAAGAGGCGAAAGTGTTTTTGTGGCACTTTGGAACTTTGCCCAGGGCCAGGACAATTACCTGGCGGAGGCATGTTGGGTACTGCAGCACCATTGGGTATGTAGCCGCTATCCCGATCCTCATCTGGCAAGATAAATGAAATGAAATTGTATTTAGATATGATTAGATTACCGTTAAAACAGGGAGAATATATCAAATATTTCTAAATGAGAGGTAAATAATAATTTTCTCTTTTTATGATTCTTACCAACTGTTTCCTGAGAGCCGAACATATCCTCCGTTATGTCCGTCAGCTCGTGGGCATACTCTGGGGGCAGTGCCGGTGCTGGGGGCAGTGCAAAATTGGGCGCTGCCATCGGGGGCGGTGACTCTTCGCCGCCATCGCTGAGGGGTTCACCCAACTCGTCGCACTCCTCGACGACTAGGGAGGGGAAATTGCCAAATTTACCATCCAATTCGCCCTCCCACCAGCCATCGTCGACGCCATGAGCGGTCTTGGTAATGATCTTGATCTTATCGCCCTCCTCGAAGGTCAGCTCATCTTCGGCGGTGGCATCGTAGTCGTAGAGCGCAATGCACCACTCGATGTCGGACTTGATGCGCTTTTGGGGCGCCATTATGACCGAAACCTGGTCGGGCGATTGCATTGAGTCCACCGTTTGATCTTCATTGTCAACAGTATAATCGACAGATGAGAATGAGATTTGTGATCGCAATTGATTGCCGGAACTACCATTAAAGCCACCACCACCAGCCGCATCCTGCTCGATGTCCAGATAATTGTGTGGCACATAGCCCTCCTCGCCCCGATAATTACGTGCACGCAGCCAGCCATCCCCGTCGCCTTCGCCAACCACCTCCAGCTGCTCATTCTCCACAATTGTCAATTCGTCGGGATTTTGTGCCTGAGAAATACCAATATCGAATCAGTACAACTAATGCCAAGTAAAAATTTATCTACAATAATTGTAGCTAATAGTAATTGTTGTGCTGAAAGTTATGGCATGTAAACATTATTATTATATTAGAGGCCTAACCAAGAGCAGAATTATTATTAATATTATTGGCACGGTTACCAGGGATGTTTATTGTTTGTTTAATGTAAGATATAAATAAAAGAATCCTACTCACCGTATAACTGTACAGCGCCGTGCACTTGAAGATTGCCTCCTTGGGCTCAGGCACAATGGGTTCGTCCTTGTCATCCTCTGCCTCTTCCCAATTGACCTCGGTTGGATCGTCCCAGCCGCCGCCGGCGGCGCTGCTGGCAGGAGCAGCTGCTGCAACTGTTGGATGTGGACGATCCCGTTCCTCGGGCTCCTCGTCGCTGTCACTAAAGGTACGATCCCGTGAGAGCTGTTGCTCCTGCTTGGGCTTGGATGCAGCGGCAGCTGTGGCTGTAGTTGTGCCAGCTGCTTCCTCCTTGTCGCTGTCGTAGAATGAATCAGAGCTGGGATTCTCACCCTGGCCGGAGGCATCGGTGCGCATCGAAATGGAGCTGGCGGAGCGTGTTAGCTCCTGAACGCCCATAATTTCCGCCTCCTGCACCCATTCGTCCACATTGATGCCGCCATCGCGCAGACACTGCAAACACGCCTCTGCCTTGGCCTTTTCCGTTTCGGAGCGACGGATCTGATCGCGGAACTCATCGATTTTCGTATCCAGATCGGGTCCATTCGGATCATTGGGATCGGAACGCTGCCCCGCATCCCTCAACGACTGGCACAAGGCCAACTTCTTGGCATACTCCCGTATCGAAGCGTTCTCCTTGACCACACGACCCGCCAGATTCTTTGCCTCCTTAGTAAGTGTCTCAGCGGCGGATTCGTGTTCCGCTGTCACCTTTCGCACCGGATCATTATCGCAAGCCTCAAAATCGTATTGGATGTGCTGCTTCAGCACCGGATAGAACAGATAGCAGCACTGTAGATTGTATTCCCGGGTCAGCTGTTGGGCCTGATCCCGAATCTTGCCAAAACTATTCTGTGTGGCCGAACAGGTCAGCAACTCGGTGCGTCTACAAAAGGATGAAGGATATGTTTTACATATAGACATAGATACAGATATAGATTTTACATACCCCATTAGCATTAGATATTCAGCGACTCGCTCGAAGACATAGTTCTCCATGGTGGTCATCGTCGTCTGTAAGTCGACGGTGAAATAACGGTTCTGATGAGCATTCGCTGCCGCCAAACTGAGCACATAATCGTTGCGTGCACCCGATGACTTCTCCTCGAGCAGCTCCTTGCGCGATGTGACACGGGCGCTGTTCTTCTGCAGCGATGTGATCGACTGAAAGAAGGAGCCCTTCTTCTTCTTCAGTTTCTCCTCAATATCCTTGGCCTTGTCGCGCACATCGTGGGCACAGTGCTCCTCATCAAAATATGATTTCTTGGTCTTATCAACATCGCCAACACTCAAATGCAACTCCTTCTGCACGTTGACAATGCCGGAGAGCGAACGCTTTGCAATGGCCAGCTTATAATCCCGCAGGACCTTCGCCTCATCGGCAATTTGTTGCTGGAACACCTCAATGGCGGCCAATCGAGCGCGTGCCAATTTCTCGTTCTCTTCCAAGACGGTGCGCCAAACACTCCACATGTTCCTTCAAGAGAGGAAGATAGGGAATTGATTATTGCTCCCTTAGGATTATGGGATTATTATTGATCACTTACCAGCGCTCCTCCATGCCGTCCATTTTGATGTCCGGTATATTTGGTATTTTCTTATTGAGATACTGCGATGAGATCTTAAGCAGATTCTCGCTATATGATTTCTCGATAGCGGAACGCTTGATTGTGAACTGACGTATATCCTCGAGGAGATCGCACTCATGCTGATTCTTCAGTTGCAACTTGGCCACCTGTTCCGTGTGCAAATTCTTCAGGAACTTCACATAATTACCCTGTAATGGCAATTTTATTAGCATTATGAGAGTGACGTGAGCCTTTTGGGTATCTATTATATATGATATATAGTACTGTGATCCCTCGAAAATATAATAACGTCCACGTTTTGAAAACACTTTTCTATATTTGAACTTCTCCAATTCAGACTCAGTTTGAGTGTGCCATAACTCAAATGAAATTGAGTAAAAATTCTCTACAAATTTGTATTTTCTTACTTTATTTTCATATCTTTAACCAACGGTTGATCGAATTTTTAAACTAAAAATTTGTATTTTATATTTTTATCACTCTAGCTTTAACTCTACTTTTTTTTATGATGTATAAAAATAAACATTTCATGAATTTGTTTGAGAGCGATTACTGTGTACGATTTTAGGATTAGGTCAACTATGATGAGGATTTTTTTTACAAGAGTTTACCTTGCGCGGCGGCGGCTGCATTTTGATAGCTTTGCTACTTAGCAGTGTGTTATCAAGCTGAAGCTATATTTTCTTGTTTCTCGAGCCAATCCAATCAAAAATGCCGTTACATTACCTTAAAGCAGCTGCAAGTGAGCACGATTTTTGTGTGGGTGGGTGTGTAATAAAAGATTAAAGTTAATGGTTTACCAAACAAGAAATTAAGAAAAACTTATGTAATACTTAATATAGATTAGCTTTTGAGCAACTATATGATTAGCTGCAGCAGAGCACAAATGCAAATGCACTTTTACATAATCAAAGTAAAAATATTAATGATTAAGTAGTCTATGAGGGGAATTTTCACTTGGTTGCCCTGCTTGATATCGATTTATGGTTGCGTTTTCCGAGCAGGGAACTGAGAACTTTTCTCTTCTACGTTTGCAGTGTAATTCTAATTGTGCTAACACTTTTCTTGGACATGCTCGAGAGCGGAGAGTGTCTCTCGAGTTGTCGACCAAAATTTTGCAAAATTCAAATTATTTCTTCAACCAATTCAAATGCAATTCCGTTTTTCGTTTTCCGTTTTGTCCAACAAAAAAATAACTAACGCGCTGTGTGCTTTTCGTATTTATCGATTTCGATTTTAAGCACATTTTCACTCACACACACACACAGAGACACACACATAAACCGTTAGCAAGGATGCGCGGAACCTCAAAGGGACTATGAGAGACCAACAGAGAGCGAGAGAGAGGGAAAAAACGAGTTGTTTCTTTTTTGTCTGTTTTGGGTTAATTTTAGGGGTGTTTGCCCAAAACAGTTTCATTCATAGTGAAATATTTGGCACATGCGTAATACATAATTCTGAGATTAATAATAAAAACGAATTCTACACTTGCTTTGCTTATTGTTGGTCACTTGCAACATTTTATGAACTATTATTTATTGATTATTCGTGGCATGCGTAATTGACAACAGCTTGGCCTTTTACATACTGATAAAGTTGAGTATGTTTGCCTATCAATAAACCCAGAAATGATAATTATTTTGGGTATTCGAACATTGATAAGCTCAAAGCAACGTTAAATGTGAAAGTATGCAATGCTTTTATGTTATTTGCGATAACAGCCACGCTCTGTTAGGAATATAACATTGTGTGTGTGTGGACATAATGAATGGATAACTGGATAAAATTAACAGTATGGCAATTTCGATATATGAAAAAAACGAGACTGCAATGAGACGAAGAATTAACATAAATCATAGTAGACTTCACAGTCTCTTGTGGTAAGTGTCAACTTACACATAAAGATGAAAGTTGTAACTCGGCTAACGTCACAAATGCAGCCGAGTCGTTAACAGAGTAACGAACATGCGTAATGTGTTGTCGCAAACTATCGTTCATATCGATATATCGATAGACGCACAGCTGATTTTGCTGTGGAATGCCAACAACAACATAAACAAGTGAGCAAATGAGCGAAACAAATAATGTTCGATGGTGCGGCGACGTCAGGTGGCAGGTGGCAGGCTGCGTACTCGACTGAAAACCCGTTTGCCAGTCAAGAGCAAACAAACAGAACGGTTTATTGGCTTTGGCGGCGCGTCGCCAACTGTAAAAGTGGGCCGACAGCGCCGAAACAAAGTCCGAGTTGAAATTTCACTTTTCAAAACAGTTGACGAAACGCGGAGCAGCGGCAACAACAGCCACGGACGGGGCAAGCTCAGAGCAGAGAGATTAATTCATTCATTCAGCAGCAGCAGCGATTTAGCAGCCTTCTTTAATTGTTACCTTTAATTGTGTGTAATTTCGTAGCTGCAAAGATGCAAAGAGCAAGCGTGCAATTGATTATGCAACAGTTCTCGCGACAGATGCGTCGGATGCCCAGGCCACAGTTGCCACAACAGGCCACACCTGCTGCTTCACAACTGCTACCAACTTTCACTCAACATCGTGCGACGGCTACGTCAACGGTGAGCAGCAAACAGGCAACGCCGCCGCCGCGTCACGACTGGAATCGTGCGGTGAGCGAAGCGGAACGCATTGTTGGCTATCCCACCTCGTTTCTCAGTCTGCGCTGGCTGCTCAGCGATGAGATTGCCAATGTGGCGCTGCACCTGCGCAAACTGGTGGGCAGTGCGCATCCCCTAATGAAGACAGCCAAGTGAGTGAATAGATACAATAAATGCATCAGCAACAGCATCAGCATCTCTTTAACAAATCTTTCTACACAGACATCTGCTTTACAATGGCAAGAATACGATGCAAGCCTGGGGTCTGATTGTGTTGCTGGTGTCCAAGGCAGCTGGACATGCTGCAAGCATACCCGATGCGGAGCAGGATAAAAGTGCTGGAGTCCTACACTCGCAACGCGCACTCGCCGAAGTCACCGAAATGATCAGAATATCGCATCTGGTACACAATGTGAGTCAATGTTAAACCAGGCTGCTTCAGCTGCTGATACCTAATCCTCATCTTCCGCAGAGCGTTGTCAATTTGCAGTCGAGCACGGATGCTGGTCAGGATGTGAATACCTATGATGATATGTCATTTGGCAATAAAATTGGCCTGCTTACTGGTGACTATTTGCTGGGTCATTCGAGCGCCGAGCTGGCGAATCTGCGCAACCAGGAGGTCGTCGAGCTAATCTCATCGGCTGTGCGCGATTTCTCCGAATCGGAATTCATTGGGGAACGCGACGAGCAGAACAATCCGTTGCCGTTTAAGCCCGGCACATTTCAGAGACCGTCGCTAAGCGTTGGCGTTGACTTCAATGAGCACGATGTGATGACGCCCATGCCCATCGCCCAGGTGCTGGGCAATCCGGAGCAGGAATGGGAGTGTCGCAACATTCTCAACGCTGGCAGTCTACTCGGCAAATCGTGCCAAGCCTCGCTCAAGCTGGCCGGCCAGAGCGAGGAGATGCAACGGCATGCGTACCGATTTGGCAAACATTTGGCGCTCGCCTGGCAGGCTTGTCTCGATGCCGAGAGTTTCCAGTGTCCGACGCTGCCGCTGGATGTCACCTTCAGCTTGGTCAGTGCACCAGTGCTCTTCCATCTCGAACATGATCCCAATCTGTATGCGCTGCTCGAGCCGGGCAAGAAATCGGTGGAGCTCATTGACTACGATCGGATTCACAAGGCTATCGTGGCGGGCCCGGCGCTGGCCAAGACGAAAGCTTTGCAGACGAAGCACACCGCAGCCGCCTTGAATGTCCTCCAGCATTTTCCGGCCACAGATGCTAGGCAGGCACTAGAGAACATTATCCTGGCCATGCAGGACTTGTGAAATAGGACACACAAAAAAACACTAAAATTGGGTTAAGGGTTATTTAGCATAGTTGAGATTTGGTTCTGGATGGGATTCCTACTGGATTAGTTTTTAAATATAATCTGGGAATTTATGTGTTCATGGAATACTTATTGTTTGGTATCATTTTTGATATTTACACATTTTATACAGAAACTATTAAATCGAACAATTCTTATTTATAAATGAGAAATTATCTATTGGGAAATATAAATCTGATTTATATTTGTGAGGAACACATATCATATACCAATTGAGCGATATATAAATCATATATCCAGATTAAAGCCTCCAAATTTATCACTGCAAATAAATTGAGAGCTATAAATCAAGTTTCCAGATTTATATTTATAAAGATTTTAGCCTCAGTGGTTGTTTTTAATTTCACTATAAATCAGATATACAGATATATCACAATGATTTTTCTCTATATTATACACAAATCGTGTCAGCGAGGAATCAACGTCTCCTGATCCGCATAAGGATCAATTGGGGACAACGTTCGTATTCGAAATACTGTGGAAAGTCCAAGGGAATTGAGTCCATGATCCACGGCTTGTTCGCCGTCTGCCTGAGGAAATGCTCGTACATCGGCGCCACCGAATCACAGTCCTCCAGGGTAAAGACGTAACGCTTCTCCATGGCCATAAAGATGAGCTTCTCGCTGTTCTTCGAGAAGATGTGCTCGATGACAGCGACAAAGGCATCTGTCAGCGACTCCTCGTAGATGACATCCGCTGCCATAATCACATCGCTAGCATCAATGGCAGACAGCAGCTCCCTGCTGAGCTCTGATTTGGGAGCCAGGAAATCATATTCCAGGACAGACACCTTGCCTAGGAGCAGTTGAGAATTGCGCTCAACATTGCTGCGGATTAAATCGAGGATACAGCCCAGATTAACATCTGTGCAATAGACTTGCCCACTGCTGTGTATGGCCGCCGCAATGCTGGTCAATCCCACGCCAGCACCGAGTTCCATAATTGTTTTGTTGGCCAATTCGTTGCGCTGATGAAACAGGAAATCCGCCAGGAGCAACGCTCCTCGCCACACCTGCAAACCGACCAGTTTCAGTTCGGTGGCACCGGAATGCTCCAGTTCGATTTGGCCACGCCTCGCACGTACCACATTCAGATCCCCATCCTTGTCGTGGCTCACTTTACCATTGGAATCCTGCTCGTTTTCGCCAGGATAACGAAAACGGAATTTTGACAGAATTTTGCCGCCTTCTTTGTGTTCCGGCTGATAGTTGGTCTCCCCATAGATTTCCGATTTGACCGTGTACATTATGCTCTGGGCGATTAACACACTCAACTAACTAATAATTTCTGGTGTTTTGCATTGGCGCATTGCCAAAATCGTAAATAATTCGGCGACATTGACAAATTTTTAAGCATGGACATTGGCAGCCACAGTGTGACCGTGCGAGCCAAATGCACAAATACTAAAAAAAAAAATCCCACTGTTAACTGTTCAAGCAGCCCTGGTAGATATCATGATGTTATCTGTACGCGATCTTAATTTGGTCACTCACTTTTAATTTATATATCATTATGAGTTGTCAAAGTTAGATTAGAAATTTTGCATTGAGTGTGTGTATGCTGAGTAATGCACTCACTTTTCAAGCATTTTATATGAATAGTTAGTGTTGCGTGTAAACGGATAACTCTATTTTTGCCATTTTGAGCACTGTCTTCACCAAATTGAGTACAACAGTGCCATTTTGAGCATAACATAACCCATTTTACATCAGCGTGGCAACGCAATTTTTGGGTGAAAAAATTATTAAAGTCGTTGTAAAAAAGTGCTAAAAACAGCCGTGCTGTGCATGCAGAATAGCAACAAAAAAAACCTATAAATATACAGTGCTCAAACACCACTTAGCACTTAAACAACAAGCCAAAACAATAGAAACAAAAACAAAGCAACATTGCTACACATTTCTTGAAGCCAAGCCCGAAAGTGTCACCGCCAAGACGTACGTGCGAAAAATGTTTTGGGACAAGAGTTATGCGCCCTCAGCGAACATAGAGGCGCTGCTGGAGAAGGAGGTGCGTATTATGTTTACAGTGTGACCGTATGTCCAACTCTATATATATATATATATATATATATATATATTTGTGTGTGTGTACGTGTAAATCTGTGTGCAACAAATAAACAACAACAACAAATGATAATCATTTTGTATTTTAGGGCTCGACGCTAGAGGAATTTCTGGACGAGGAGGATATACTGCAGGAATGCAAAACGCAGAAAAAGAATCTCGTCAATTATATTACACGGCCGGATGTAATACGACGACTCGTCGAGCTAATCACAACGGAACCAGCCGAGGATTTGCCAATTGCGCAGCGTTTTCGCTATGCAAACATGTCCTGTGAGATACTCACACTGTAAGATAAATCAAATAGACATATAAATATAATATATAATACATATATATATACGTGTATGTATTTAGCGGCCTACCGTCCCTGGATGAGAAGCTGCTGTCGGATGCGGATACGCTGCAATTGCTGTATTCATATCTGGAAAAGGAACCACCGTTAAATCCATTGCTATCATCGTTTTTTAGCAAAACGTTTAGCATGCTCTTCACCAAAAAGCCTGAACAAGATTGGTTTTTGTATCAACATATGTGCCTACAACTTTTGGAGTATATTAAATCGCAAAAGACCTTCTTGGATTTCATTTGCAAACACTTTGACACACCCGTCATACCCGATCTGATCATGCAAATGATGAAGGACATCGATGGTGGTCAACTAAAGCGCAATCTATACGAGGTAAACAACCGAATATAAATAGATGCATATCAAAGATTAGATTAGATTACTATCTTTATTATTATTATATTAAATTCCTTACTTAAGTGTATTGATAAATTACAAATCATTATAAGCATTTGCAATTTTTAATTTCATGAGAAATCAACTAAGAATACTTTCAATTCAATAATCTTATAACAAACCGAACACACCACTAAAACATCTAAAAATTCGTTGGACATTATTATTTTTGATATTTTGCAGTGGTTAACTGAAGATAAAATTGTTGAGAGACTGATTGCAGTAATGCGTAATCCTCAAGAGACCGATAAGCATGCAAATGTTGCAGACTTTTTCTGTGATCTAATCCATCAGGGGCGTCTGATGCGTCAAACGGAGCAGGAGAACGATTCATTTGAGCCGGCATTCGAGGGCTCCAATCCCATACTGCGCACGATTGAATCCGCACAGACAATAGAAGCCTTGTTAAATGTGATTTTGGAACCAAACGCTCTCGAGAGCGCCATCTTATCAGGAATATCGGTTGTACTTACGCTTATCACGCCCATCACGTTCACGTGAGTCATCAAATGCGTCATCATCTTTATCTACTTAATGTAGATTAACTTTTATCTATTATCTGTTAATCAGTGATGAGCCAAACTCGGATCGCCAGCGTATGCTGCAGAAACGTGAGCATGAATTTCATCAGGAAGTGCAGGAGACTGTGATTACGGTTATAGCGCCACGCCTACACGAGTTCTTGCGTGTGCTGAAGAATCCGCCCGCGGTTTGTCCACCTCTTCCTAAAGTCTACCTCTTATTAATGTGCCAATCTGTCTTATAGAAACCTAGTCTGGAGACAACGGCGGCGGTATTGTCGCCACCATTTGGCAAGACGCGTCTTCAGGTCTGTCGTGTCTTCACCGCACTGCTGGAGACGAAACACGAGACCATTCAACAGGCGTAAGTTATACTCTACTCTGAATTCGGACTGTTTCCTAATTGAACAATTATATTGCCTTTATTCATTTAGCATCTGTGCCACCGACTATTTTGCTTTATTGCTGAATTATTTCAAGGAATACTGCTGGAACAATTTTCTGCACAGCGAATTGGAGAAGGCCATGAATTTGGTGTTCTACAATGGGCTGTCCAACAATAATACCACATCCACTGAGTGCACGGATATCTTTCACGATGATTACATCTTTGACTCAACGATGAAGGCGAAGGTCGGCGAATTCGATAAGGATGAGGCAATGTTCGCCAATGATCGTCCCCCGTCGGGGAATGAGTTCGAAGCAGCTGTTGCGCAACAGGAAGCAGTTGCAGCTGCAGCTGCAGCAGCAGCAGTTCCAGAAGTTGCAGCTGCAAGCGAGACCGAAGCAGCCGCCACCAGCACCATGCAGCAGGAGAATCACATTGATAGCGATGCAGCAGAGAAGGCTGTTCCTGTTACTAATGCTGCTGCTCCGGCTACTGCTGCTGCTGCACCTGCTGCTCCAGCTACTACTGTTGATGTTGATGCAGAACTGAAAGCGACAACGGATACAACGCAGCCAACGCTCAATGATCTGGACAAGACTAAAACGCCAAACAATCATCCGCCCACTGAGATGCAAACATATGTGAGTAGTTGTAGAAGCGACAACGGAGCTAATGTCTTCTGGGCGGCTATAATCATAAGTGATTTAAACATAAGAAATAATAGTCTTAGAATATTCACCGGTCCATTGACATTGACTAAGAAGTCACATATTTAAATTGGGTATTTTTAGTAAAGACCTATGACGAGGAATAGTTCTCAAAGCACATTCTAGCAGATTGTGTAGCTAGGAATAGATGTAGTATCCTGGGGATGCATGTTCTGAATATGAATAGCAATAATAATAAGAATAATTTGTAGAAAACTGATACAAATTTAAGCAATATTAATTTACATATATTTAAACAACAATTGTAACTATTTTGCACAGCTGATTGTCAATTGCCAACTGGTATCTAAACTGGTCAATTACTGGCGGCACAATGCGGAGGCGCAGTAAGTTAAATTTGCCACAGATTTTTGGAACTGTTTATAACCACTTTTCTTTGTCGCAGATCGGCTGAGAAGGGACGACGGCTGGGCTATATGGGTCATCTGATTAAGATCCTTAGACATATAACGAATTGTATATCAGAGTCTGAACATATCGCTGCCTTGATTACCACCAGTTTTGCTAACGAATCCGACCTACAGCTGTGGCAATCGCTGATTGATGCGGACAAAGGTGAATTTACGTTGGCCATTGCGCAGCAGAACAAACTGTTGGCCAATTGCAATCCGCATGAGGAGTATGAATACAGTGTGGGCAATTCCATTGGTGATACCAATAGCTGGGACACCGGCGCGCAATCGTACAGCAATGTGTGCTACAGTGATCTGGATAATACGCTGCAGGACATTGTCTTCTCAATGGACAACGATCAGAATCAATTTGAATTTGGCAGCAACATCGACGACGATGACGACAATGATGATGAGCATCACCAGCAGCAGCATGGTGGCAGCAGTGGCGATGGTCTTGGTCATGGCATGTTCACCAAGAATTCGACGACGCTTAACAACCTGGCTGCCGATCCTTGGGACATGGATGTACAATTCGCTGACATAACAGTTGGTGTTGCCGATGCGAATATCGTTAACACTGGCACTGGTAGCTGGGGCACCGAATTCAACAGTGACAACTTTGCCGATTTCGATGCACATTTCAGCACCTTTGACAGTGATCTGGGCATGCCACACACCCGGCCAACGGCAGCTCAACAGCACCAGCAGCAGCCGCCCCTTGCAGCCCCAACGACCAACAGCGATGAGGAGGAGGAGGAGCACGTGCAAGAAGCACATAACGAAGAGGAGGAGGAGGGCGATGTGTCCATGACTGCAACAACAACAACTAATAACCCACAACAAACACCAAATAATGCAACAACAAGCACAACCAAGGATCACGAGGACCAGCAGCAGGCGGCGGAGTATGATAACAATGCGAATGTGGAGAAGGCAGCCAAAGCAGACATTGTTGCTACACCCGTTGCCACATCGATTGTAAGTCGATTGCAGTCTGTGCTGCTCGACGGCGAGGATGATTACGAGGATGATGAGGGCATGTGGACCAAGCCGCTAGGTGGCAACAATCAGTTGCCAATGGCAACTGATCAACAACAGCAACAACAACATCAGCCTGCCCCAATTTCAAATGGACCCAGCAAAGGAAACGAATTGTAAGCGCAGTAGATGTGTATAATATAATATAATGTAAAGTGTATATATATATATAGTATATTGCAATACTGGAATTATAGACTCAATGTATCTATTAATTCCAGTATTCCAATATATAGTGAACCTTATGCTCCGATCTATATACCTGCATATTACACATACTTAACTTGAAAGTGAAAAACCGCAAAAGAGAAGTCTAGAAATCATATTTTTTGTTAAGCGTTCTAATCTGACATCATTTTAGATTGGCATTTATTTGCTTATACGATTAGCGACCACAGCTGCCGAACTAAATCACAAGACTCTATGAGGACTTATAGAATTATTTATTTAAATTTAAATGGATATTGAATACGTCTTCTGACTAAATATCGATATAGATGAATAAATACCTTTTTATTATTATTTACTTTTTTAATTTTACAGCAACCATGCCAACAACGACAACATCAGCGATGATCGTGGGGATAGCAACATCACAACAGGATCGGAGCAGTTGGCGGAGCAGCAGCAGAAGAAGTCGGAGAGTATAGCTGCGACAGCAACAAACAACGCTGAGATTGCAACAACGACAACATAAGCATGTGCCGACACACTCACACACACCAACACACACAATACACACCAACACACACAACACACGACATCAGTAACTGCAATTTGTGTATAGCATAAAAATGTGTCGAAAATATGTCAACTTAAAGAAAGCCTTTGATTTGCTTCTTGGTCATCCCTTATACATAATCATGCATACATATTTACATACCTAATTGAATATATATATATATATATATATATATATATATATATATATATATTTATATACATATACTACATACTACTACTACCAATACGTACATTATATATATATATATGTATATGTATATATTGACGATTTGTGTATTAGTTAAGCAAAAGCCCGCCCAACAAAAAAAAAACAAGAATTCTGATTGATGAAAGATTGGATAGTATGTTGTTGATTCATTCTAATCCTCGCTCGCCGTATTGCCAATTTCCTATTCATTATGATATAAGCTGAAATATGTTTGTAAACTCGATTCTAGATTCCTCTACATTTCAATACTCTCAAGACAACAAATGAGCATTACTGAAAGTACACCTAATAAATAATTTTGTAATTGTTTTTTTTAGCTTGATCTTGAGCTAGTTGTACTATATACGTTTATTGTTTGTATTACTTAATTGGAGATTTGTATTTATTGTATGTATTTCTTGAAACAAAGCAAAACCAAATAATCAAAACTTTTCTCTACACACACACACACACACACACATACACATATGCTGCAAGCACAAAATGTCTGCAGGTATATTTTATACTACTTGCCATTCTATTTGTTGTACCAATTTATAGTTTCACCAAAAAAGAAAAAAGTGTATTCAACGTCGAAAGTACAAAACTGAGAACTACAAAAAATAAAAATATAAAAAACAAACGACAAAAGCATTTGCCACACACACCACACACACACAGACAAATACCTACCCAAGGTTAATACTACTTGTGTATAAACCCTTTTTATACATTTTATTTATCAAAGCAATCGAATGATGCAAATAATCCAAGAAGACATTTTGTTTAATCATTTATTTATATATATATTGTAATTTCAAACAGTTTTGTTGTTGCGTTTGCGTTTGTTTCAAATTGTGTTCTGTAAATGTTTGTGTAAGCAGCAATCAAAAAAAAAAAATAAAAAAATGAACAAATTGAAGAAAACCTAAATGATAAACAGATATGCCATCTTTTGCTTCCAAATAATTACATTATAATTACGTTAAAAAAAAATAAAAATACTTGAAAAGTAAAATTGATGTTTATTTCACACACAATTTTAATTATACTATAACAACACATCACATGCTTAATTTAAACTAATTGTTATACTTAAAACTTATACAAAAAAATTAAAAATCAAATACACAACACTCAAAAGGTCGATAGTTGAGGACATATCAACATATCAGCTCAGCTCAGCTCGCATGTGAAACTGAATGATTGCGATAGCACACACACACTACACACACACACTCAACTGACATTACTACTATAGAAACCCAGACAGTTGCATTGGGATTTGATTTATAAAAACATAAAAAAAAACAATATAAAAAAATATATATAATTTAGTCATAAGAAACAGCATCTTGTTTAACGGAAAATGAAAATCGAGGCTTGGCATGATTAGAATCTATTGTATGATCTAACCAAAACCAAATACCATACAAAATGCTTGCACAAATTTCAAATCGCTTGCTTTTATTTTTGCATAAAGAAAAAACAAAGAAGGAAAAACAAAAAAGTAAAAACATAAAACATGTTTAAACTATCTCTGATGTAAACTGTGATAAATAAAAGAAGTTGCAGGGTATTTGATAAAAAGAAAACTAAAAAAAAAATTGAAAAACAAGAAAACAGATTTAAGTTCAACAAATTGTGAACTGTAACTTAATTAAGTAAAAACCCATTTTGTTGGCCTTCGCATAAACACACACACTAAACACACTCACACACACACGCACAACTGCTCACACTCATTCTAAAATTAAACAAACAGCAATAAGTACTGCAATAAAGTCTCATTGAAGAAGAGTCTATTAATTATTATGTAGAAAATGGCATTCGGAATTTAAAGTTCACTTGATTCAGGGTTTTTTTTAAATGACATGATGTATTTATGTATAAATTGATGTAGCAGTTGTTCAGTTGTTAATTATATTGTTTATATAACAATTGTTTTTGTGTTGTCTTCCCCAAACCTTTTTTTGGTTTTTCCTTTTAACAACGAGCAACCGAATCCTTCCCAAGTGCATGATGCCTTACCTAATAATGCATAGATCAGACTTCAATGAACAAACTGTCGAATTCAATCGCAAAGGGTTAACATGATGAAAGATGAAGAGGCATTGTTGTAAACCTAATAAGTAGAGATAGTTTTACTTACATACTGTGTGTCTTTTAAATATTAAGCAAGCATTCAACTTGGACAAACGAAAAAAAAAAAACAAAAAGTATATATATATATATTGAGAGTATTTTGAATTTAAGCTGATTTACTAAAATATATATATATATATATATATATATATATATATATATATATATAAATTAATGAAAGTGTAGACAAAGTCTTGTGCGCAGCTTTAAGCAATTTGTTGAAGTGCATACAAATTGAATCTAAACATTATGAAATAAATAAAAAATAAAAAAAATACCAAACGTCCAATGTTTTGTTATGCAAAACAAAAACTAACAACAATTGTGAACATTCAAGTCTTCAAATAAAACATTTTGAGTACTGCTAATAAACAACACTTATACTCGTAAATACACTTACATATTACATATTAATATTAAATTAATGAAAAGTTAAGAGTGAAAAACAAAAAAAAACATTGTACTTTAATAAAACTTGACGTACATTTTTATCTGTGTGTGTTCAGCAGTTCAGTATTTCAATTAAGCCAAGTTATTAAAATCCAAAAAGTACTAAAACACAGGTTTCCCCATTGAAAACCAAAAAAAAATATATACATATAAAAAAAAACAAAAAAAAAGAGAACAAAGATTCCATATTAAAATTTAAGAAAAATGCGTTAGCGAAATTACAAAATGCTTGATAAAACAAAAAACTCTTAAAATCTTTAAACTTAAAGAACAGCGGGAACAACAACGATGAGCACGCAACTGTAATACAACCAAAACTTCATATATATATATACATATTACATACGAGTAAATTATACATACATACAACCAATACAATTCACGCATTCACACTTTTATTAACTGTAACTGTAATAAATGTTGTTAACATGAAGTAAATAATATTTTGTTAATGCGAGAGAGCTAACTAAGAAAGAAAAACTAATCAAGTAATACTTACCATAATTACTAGTAATCAATAGTTAACCGAACCCAAGTGTGCTTCATATAAGAATTTATGTTACGATTTTTACAAATGCAATAAAAATTCCAATATTTCCCCCCAAACTAGATATATGCATAGTTAAATGTATATGTATGTATTCCTAATTATATGTATTAAGAATTTACGATCGGTGTCTAAAATATAAACCTTATATAACGAGTAGAGACTTTAAAGCCAACACAAACGTATCGTCATATATCCAAAATTAAGTAATATAAATAGCTAAAGCATATATGCATATATATATATATAACAGTTTAAATATTATATTTAAGTGCTTTTGAGTGATACAAAACACACACACACACACCCACACAGACAGAAAGACATACTTATATACGAATTATCATCCATGCCACATACTAAGTTTGTATCGGAAAACAAAACTACTTGAAACAACCCCCAAGGGACACTCTGGAATAGATATTCCTTGAGGTAGTGCCTTAAACTGTTAAAAAAAAAGAAACAAAGAAGAGATTGAAATATTTGTGTGTTTAAAAACGATGATATTTTGTTGTACTTCAAAACTATCAAACTTAATGTACGTACTAGTTCCAGTATCGAAAGAAACACCACAATATATAGTTAACTTTATGCTCCGATCTATACTACATACATATTACATATTAACTTAACTTACCGTCGCATTTTTTACACTATGTATAAATCTTGTATTGTGGATTGTTTTAGATCGCAAGAAATGTTTTGCTCAACAGTTTTTCTACCTGCACACAACACAAAAATACTCAAACACACACAAACACACATACATATATACGTATACATAAATAGTAGTTAAGTACGATCTGCTTTCGGCACACACCTAAAATACAACTTGTGATTTGCTTTGCTGTACCCCAATTAATATGCCTGAATGCAAAAGGGTGAACGAATATTCGAAACGGATGCTGAATGCATTGATTCTATATATATATATATATATATATATATACATATGTATATACTCACATATGTACGTGTGAGTAATTGCGTTTATTATCGTATAATTAAATATATGATTTGTGCATTATTCAATTATAGATATGCACTTTGAACACGTCTTGAAATTGAATTGAATAAAGGTATTAAAAACATTGATTTAGATTGTGATTGGTATTACTTTTAAATATGCAAAAGATTACAAATTGATGATTGTTTAAAGTTTTAATATATTTTTTATTTAAATTTCATTTTGTATTTATACTTTTTATTTCAAACGACCATTCAATTAGTTTTTGTTACTCATAATTACTTACAAGCTCTTCGCAACGCACTTTGCAGATAGCGCTGCCAAAGGACGGTGCATGTTGCACGCTCAATAAAAGGTTACACGACTAAAATTACAAATATATACTTTCTGTATAAGAAACGTGTATTTCTTTCGTCGGATGGGATATATCTTTACTTATTCTTAAATCTAGATCAATTACCTTGCAGGTTGCAAAGCTGTGACACACACTTGGTTGTTGTATTGGCTAAGTCGACTGCGATCCAAAACAAAATTGAGGCCTACTTTTAGGGGCACACTAGAAAACTGATTAGATAACAGACTCTAACTCGGCATATTTGCGAAGGAAGGACCTGATCTACCAAGCTCCGCTCAAGAATTATGGAGTCATCTATGGACCCAAACTCTTGGATAATGCTAGAAGTGGCCAAGTTATGGCTCATTTTTCGATTTCTCTCTATTTTTCTGACTACCCCTTGTCTAATTTTGGGACAAATACATTTACAGAATCTTTAAAATCCTTGAATGTCAATTTTGAATATGAGTTAAGATACAAAATACGAATCATATATTTTATATTTAGATTCTAAACTTAGAAGGGATTTCAATCCCCTTACAAATTGACCAAATTCGCATATTTTTTACTTATTCTAAAATTTATACATAATATATATAAATTTCTACATATTTTACACTTTCTCTACCTATCACAGCAGGACGCTTAATGCTATAATAATAAAAATAAAACGCTACTACGCCTCCATCAGCTGTGATTGGGCAACGCAGCCATCAGTGTTGTTGTTGTTGTTGCAGCTGCTGTAGCTGTTGCTGTTGTTGTTGCTGGTGGTGCGCTGCTGGTGGTCGTTGTTGTGGATGATCCACTAGAGTGTCGCGTCTCCATGTGTCGCTGTAAATCCCTGGAGCGGGCGAGCGTCTTGTGACATATCTGACACTGTAAACTTGACTCTGACTCCGCTTCCCCCCCGACGCCGGGCTGGGATTGGAGATGGAGGCGAACGTGCTTGTTGAGATTACTGGGATCGCCGAAGGGACGCAGACAGAACTTGCACTTGAGCGGCTTGAAGCCCGTGTGGGTGCGTATGTGAATCTTCAGACCATACTTGCGGGAATATACCTTGCCACAATAGATGCACAGGTGTCCTTGCTTCGAGGCACCCATATTGCTGACGATGGCCTCGATCTGAGCAGCAGCATTCATTGGATGCGCAGAGAGTGGTGCACTCATCGTCATCGAGGGCAGGTAGGAGGTGGGCTGCGAGTGACTAGCAAGTGGCAATGTCAGCGATTGCATTGCCGCCAATGGACGAAAGGCGGAGAAACGCGAGGGAGACATCACCTGGGGAGGATGAACTGCTGGCGGTGGCGGAGATCTATTTGGCGATGCTGACGATGTCGAGGAGGTGGCCGGAGTGGGTGAGTGTGTTAGCGTGGTAGTGGCACGTGTCGCTGATTTTAGTGCATAGTGTAAACGCATCCAGAGTAGATCCATAACGCTGCGACCGCAACCCAAGGCAAGGTGTATCTTCAAAGGATGCGGCGTCTCAAAAGTCAGATGGCACAAGTGACAGGTGTAACGATTGTTGCCTGAAATTATTATTAAAAAGAGATTCCCATTATGTGAGTAATAATAATAAAATTTGTAAAAAAAAAAAACTTGTTTAATATAACTAAATAAGAAATTAAATTTACTTTAATACAAGCCTTATTTTAAATTTAATTTGAGTAATTAACATAAATAGGAAATGAAAAATTAAAAATATATTTGTTTCATAACCAAAATGCACTTTCTTTATTTTATTTATTTTTTAATAGATAATTCAACTAATTGACTTCAATTCTGTTTTTCTTCTCTTTTAATTAAGATCAGCTCACCTTGAATGTTAAGTGGTGTGAGGAAGGGTATGCCCATTAGGAGGACCAACTCCTCGTCAAACCAGGCAACCACCTCATCCTCGCGGGCCACATCGCGCACCAGGCGAATGCGCAGTTGTCCTGCGTGCAGCTCGAACAGTGCATTGAAGCTGTAGATGTCCTCGGAGAGCTTGATCTGGCGCAGCAGTGTGGCAGACAGTGCCAACTCCTCATTGACCATGGTGCAGTGGACATGGGCATCACTTGGCGTGGGCGTGGCCATGCAGCTAAGCAGTGCCGCTGTTGGTACACCACTGGAGCAAGTGTCCTTTGGCGTATATTGGGCCGTATAAACACCTGGTCTTAAATTCGGACGTGTTCGCTTCGTGGAGTTTGTGGTTGTTGCCATTGTTGTTGCTGCTGCTGTTGCTGGTGTTGTTGTTGTTGTTGTGGCGCCAGGCAACAGTTGCTCGATGCGAAAGATCATGCTGTTGGGACACTTGTGTCCTTGTGCCTGTGCCTGTGCCTGTGGTGACGCATCCAACTCCAGGCTATCGAGTTGTGCTGTTGTGTGCATCGCTCGCGTTCAAATTCGATTCTGTGTTCCAATTGGAAGCCATGCGTTGCTTTTATACCGACGCAACAGCAACAGCAACAGCAGCAGCAGCAGCTTCCCCTATATATCCTGTATATCCTTGTTTGGATTTGTTACGGCTTGCAGTGTCAAAACACTACGGCGTCAAGTGCAAGAATTCCCAGCCTCAGCCTCAGCCTCAGCCTCACTGTACCCGTTCTTGCTAACATTGCTACGCACTTTGCGACTATCTCACTCTCGCTCTCGCACTCACTCTCGCACTCGCATTCACACTCGCCACCAGCCGAAGCAGCTGGCCTAGCATCCCTTTTTGCCTGGTCCTGGTCCGGGTCCTGGTTCTGGTCCCGTTCCCGGTCCCGGTCCTGCCACTCGCATAGTGGTAGCAAGTGCAACATCATGTACTCATGGCACCAAAGCACTAAGCCAAGCTAAGCGCGCCCCGTAGCAAGTGTGCGTATTCCTTTGCCTAATCCTCTCATCCCCCCACTCATCATCATCATCAGATTGGTCCTTTTTTTGGCTTTTGGGCTGTGGCAAGGCAAATGTTTTTAATTGAAATTAAACGATCGTTTGTTGTCGTTGTCCATATTGTTGTTGTTCCTGTTGCTGTTGCTGCTATTGTTGCTGTTGCTGTAATGCCACCATATACAAATCGCATTCGCTTTCGTCAATGGCATTGCATCCCCTTGTCCCCTTGCAGTTGACGACTTACCCAACTACCACCCCTTCCCACTCTTTGATAATGCCTTAATATATTTGGTGTGTATCGTTTTACTATTTGTGGTTTAGGGTGGGTCGTGATTTTCGACTGGCCCCGAGCGGTAAGCGGGTTGAAACGGGCCCAATTGCCAACTGTCTAAATGTAAGTTTTAAATAAGTCTGTGATTCTGGTTATATCTAAGAGCATTGTGGTTAATTTTGAAAGGTAAGCTAAAATAAAAAAAAAACTTGATTTGAAAAACATATTTTAATGAAATTTTCTTGCCAACTATCTTTGGCAACGCATACATTATTGTTTTTTGTTCTACTGTAGTGCCTATGTTTATTCACTTTCATATTCACTTATGTATTGAAAACGAGACGCAAATGTAGCACGCACCTGTACATCAGTTGCGGCCCAATTGGACACGTGTCGAATGCGCTCCTGTGCGCTGTGCAAAAATATGCTACGACACTAATGTTTTCATCATTTCTGAAAAGGCAGCAACCCCTCCCCCACCCCACCCGGAAGCTAATGGCATGCGCTGTGCGATCAACAGGACAAGAGCGAAAAACATGTGTTGCCAGTCACACAGTCACAGACAGACGGGGTTGGGGTAAGTCGAGAGAGAGAGGAGTGTGGGGTGTTGAACAGACCTCAAATAAAGTGTGCCAGCCAATTTACCGGGCAAGGACACACAGACAGGCACACACACACACACACAGAGGCACCTGGTTCAGGCCAATTTGGTGTTTGGTGTTTGCTTGTTATGTTGAATAAGTCGGCCAAAAAGACCTGTTTTGGGTTGTTAGAAAAGTTGCTTTTATTACCGTTAACCAGTTGCTATTTAATTACTTTCGGCGATAGACATAGCCTGCTCCATCACCGCCTCCTCCATCGCCAGTCTCATTGTCATCGCATCCATGACAGCCTCCACCAGCGGCTATTTGATCGAGTGCCTCCTGTATCTCTGGAGGAATGGGTGGCGGCGTTGGCAAATGTTCGCCCATCGGCTGGAAACCATTCTCATCAGCGATATAGGTCAATGAGATTGTTTCGCCCTCGGGACTGCTGTAGGAGAAGGAACCCTCCACAGTTTGAGCCTCTTCTCCTTCGATGCCGGCATTCTTCAGATAGCCCATTTCCTCGGCCTTAATCCCATTGCCCGTTTCATATTCGTACTGGGCAAATAAGAACAGTAATTAGAAGTGAACTGCTGCTCACAGTTTAGTCTACACTATTTACCATAAACGATCCATCCGTATTCACTTTGGATTCCAACTTGATAATGGGAATAACTTCACCACCTCCGCCACCTCCGCCTGCATCGCCATTTCCACCATTTCCTCCATTGCCATTTCCATTGCCGGTGGGTGGTAAATATTGTGAACCGGGTTTACTTGGTGGTGGTCCATAGCTATCGCGTGGTGGAGCTGGTGGCTTTGGCTTCGGTGGAGGCGCAGGCGCAGGCGGCTTTGGTGGCGGCTTAGGTGGGCCATAACTGCTCTTGGGTGGTGCAGGAGGTGCTGGAGGCTTAGCTGGCAGATATGTGGCTGGTGGACGAGAGCTCGGATAACCCGCCGGCTGTCCAAGCACCAACATCATGCTACAAGCGATGAGGCCAACCACTACACCCAATGTTGTCTGATTCATTCTGTTCACTCACTGATGCTTCTGATCGTCCAACACTGGTGTTATATATGGCCAACAATTGCTTTTGACCACAACCTGTTGAACCCTGGGGTCAGTCTCGTGCGTAACATCAAATTGCATTTGAAAATGAAAACCAAAAACTGGGCCAATGCGATTACACTGCACAAAATTTAAAGTACATATCTAAAGATCAACAAACAAATTTTAGAAAGAAAAAAATAATATAATAATAATAATAAAATAAATAATAAGTTCAAGAAATTTGAACAATTTATTTATACAAAATTTATTAAAAAATGTAATTGGCAAAATAATGCGCAATTTGTATATATTTTTTTACTTTTTTATGTTTTTTTCTGCATAATGTGCACAAAAGGAAAATTACAATAAAATAATATTCATCTCTAAAATGGCTTTTTCTTTCAATTATCTTTCATTAATTCATATCTTTATCTAAAATGATGTAGCTTTTTCGTTTGACGAAATTAAAATTCAATTTTAATTGTTAATGCTAACAAATGATAAAATCCTAATGAATCGAGTGTGGCACTATTGTTAAAATTGAAAAAAATAAAATTGAATGAAATGAAATCTGTCCCGGCTGCAACTAATCGGTAAAAACAACAAAGCCGGCCATGCCGCAAACAAAACTTTTAATTCAAAGGCAATTTTTGAGGGCAGAACAGATAAGGATCAGGCACGGCGCACAGGCAACACCTGCAAAAGCAACCCCGCCCTGTCCGTGTGCAATTCTAATGCACTTTGCCTGTCCCAAAAAACAAGGGGGGGTGCTAAGCCCCTGGCCAGGATAACAGGACAACAGGACAACGTTTGTCGGCTTTAGTCAATCGTCTATTAACTTTTTGCCAATGCTCGTCGACGCAAGTTGTGACTGTGACTGGCTGTGGATGTGGATGTGATGCCGCTAATATTGCCGCATTAGAGGCAAGGGGCAGAGGGTGGCAACCCTGTCGATGGCCATGGTAGCTAATGGCAATGTTGTTTGCAGCTTGTCCTACTTGTAATGTGCTGGCGCGCAGCTGACGGATTCCCAGGCGCTGTGGATTTTGTGAACCTGTTTCAGCGTCAGCTGTTGCCAGTGACGAGAGCATCCACCAACAAAGCAAGCAAAAACCACCTAACCACCACCTAACCACCAACTAACCACCACTCCCGCCTTGCAGCTCGCACCAAACGCTGCACCGGCTGCTTAAACCAACAATTGTCGGTCCTTCCCCACTGCCCTCTGCCTCCTCTACATTTACCTCTGCCGCTCAATCTCCATTTTCATCTACATCCCTTGATCATTTCGATACGCACCCATTGCGCATATTTCGCGCCCGCATTTTGCCAAAATCTGAAATTCATAAAGTGCATTTTGACAGAGCGCAACGATCTAATTGCCATTATTTTGTGCCATCGACTGCCAACGAATTAGCCGAGAGTTCGACCATGCCAAGGGTTCTTTAGATTAAGTTTTTCACCACGGCTAAATAAACATTTAGATGCAGATACGTTTGATTAATTAACCGCAGCCCACATTGACAGCCTGTATACAATGTGCATACGATTACAGTGTACGTATCTGTATACTCTAGACTTTTTGATTTAAATCTTAAAAACCATATTAAAACAGGTTAGAATGCTTTAGTTTAGTAGAGAGTTCGACTAGGGCATAGCCTGAACACAGCTTTTATGTAAAGAGTATTCTATCTGGTAACAGTTTGTTCGATAGGAAAATACGTTTTGTTTAACAATATCTGCGTTTCTTAGCCGAACAAATTGACATTATTGCAGTTGGTTACTAGTATAAACCAATTGGAGGCTCTAAATTCACAATCGTTTATTCTATTGATATCGGAAATCGATTTAGTAACGTTAATGTTAAAAAGAAATTAACATTTTAAGTTGTAGTTTCTACAAAGAGTTCATTCAAAAAGATGGACACGGCTAACTCTTCTTAGCTGTATAAATAAATATATTCTTATTGAGATTAGAAATGCTTCCTTTTCCTATATATTATTGCTAAACAGCATTATACACTTTACTCTATTTGACTGACTGATATCACTGATATATGCTGATATCCATTCTTCATTAAAAACGAGACATTTAAATATAATAGTACCTTTAGCAAGAGTATAATCTCTTTTGTTTAAATTAAAGAAATCTGCAAGTCGAAAATGTTGCACAATAAATAGAAGATTAGCCTTCAAGTTAAGAAGTCGAAATGTTGTTAAGTGATCACAGAACATATTAAAAAAAAATGTATTAATAGCTACGCAGATGAATTTGGTGGATTTACCTAAACAAAGCAAGAACTCGCTTCTAATGTTTTAGTTAGCTTTCTTGTATGCTGTTTTTATTGTCATTATCATTGGTGTGGCTACTTCGACTTAAAACAAAAGTTGGCTTAGAACAAAAGTTTGGCCATAAACTATGACGCCATCGGGCTCACTCACTCACTCACTCGGGCTGGCCGGCAGTTCAGATATTTGTTTTCATTATCTTTTAGACTTATTTCTGCTGATTTGCTCATCTAAGCCGCTAGCAAAGGCCATTTGCTTAACTTTTGCCCGCTTTATTAGTTGGCATCAAGAAACGAAGACGATCAGTGCGCAAAATAAATTCTACTCTTACGAAAGTTATAACTAATATTTTCTATATTTTATTACACCCATTTATTTAACGCACAATGACAGTGGTTAGTTATTTAACTGATATAGAAAAAAGATAACACAAAGTTTGTACATTTGTAATCTCTCCATTTGGTTTCTTTACTTTGCACAGTTTCCGATCGGGTTACTGCTTCTATCTCTGGCCATGACTGCTGCTGTGGTTGATGAAGCAGAGCGTCAGGAGGAGGTGCATTTTAAGTAAGCCATGAAACAGAGTTCTTCTTCAAACTTTTGGACTAACACCTGTACAGTTTTCAGACAGACAATGGCCATCGTCGCTCGGAGGATATTACGTACAAGGTGAAAGTGAATGCTGATAAGCAGAAAATATCAGAGCCTAACGACCTGTCGACGCCAAAGTCTGTGGAATATCGTGGGGGTTATAGCTTTATTTCAGCCGATGGCTACGAATATCAGGTGCTCTACAAGGCCAACAAGAATGGCTTTCAGCCCTATGTAACGGCTCATAAGGTGAAACCCGCTAAGGAGAGTTCTTAAATTTAAGCTTTTCATCATCTATATTCAAATAAATACGTTGTATAATTTTTTATATTGTGTATATAGTTAATATATATTTTACTAAATACAGATTAAAGTCTTTAATTTCTTAACAAAAACTGAAAGTTTACTTAAACTCTGAATTAATCCACCTTCTACTGCTCAAGTTACTGTGGTGAGCTTACTTTGCAGTTGATTTTGTTACATTCCTAAACAACGATGTAATCTACTCTATTCTGCAATTTCATCGGATAGAGGGTATTCAAATCTTCACAATTTGTGGTGGATCAAAAGCTCTTCTTATTTGGTTGTTGACACAGCTAAGCTCAAAGCTCAACGCTGAGCTGAGAGACAACTTGATTTATGAGACCATAACAGACGCTCAACACGAAATCCGAAATGGAATGAAGGGTATTACGTGATTAGCGAGCATATTAACTTTGTCAAAATTGCTGTAACAATATTAATATAAATATACATAAATATTTATAAATATCTGCGAAGTATTTACAAACATATTTCAAGCCAAGTTAAAATCTCTTAATGTAGTCTTTATGTATTCAGTGCGGCCTTCGATTTAGTTAGGGCATTATCTGTGTCGGAAAAGCTTGCCTTTTATGTGTTTTGGTTTACAAATGCTCTTCGACATTTGTTTTTGTTTTGATATCTACAATAGCAACATGTGTAATGATTTGTAGGTTTCTGATATTTGAATTTATTTCTGTTTTATATGATTTTCTCATTTTGTTGCTTTCCTTATGCAAATACAAATGTGAACTGGACAGATGGATGAAGCAATCGTTTTACCTGCACCTCTGGGCTTACTCAGCGCTTTTTTATTTGGGTTTCATTCGGCTGGTTTGCTCATTATGTGCGCCAATGATGGCTGCTGCTGGCTTCAATACATTGTTAACTGCGAGGGCCGACGGTTGCGTCTGAGGAGCTACAAAATATGAAACAATATAATTCGAGTTCGGGATTGGGCAGGTGCGTTATTAGGTGTCTGCCGTTGCTGCTGTTGTGGACTAGTGTTCTGTGGAATGCTTCTGCCTCATATGCACCAGGCACTGTATTGGATATACAACTGGGCGACGTGGTTATTGAACAGTTTAGGTATATACCCACTGGAGGAGGCTACGAGTTTGGGTAAGTATATTGCTGATCGCAATTATTGTCAGATAATCATCATCATTCATAATTTCAGCTACACTCTGCCAAATGGCACGCACCGTGATGAGATGGGCGAACTGATCAATGATCGCTCTACCCCGGAAGATCTTAAGAACGCCAATAACTATGCTCGTAATGGAAGACCGTCGCGTCGTCCGGGTCTTAAGAACCGTAAACTATCACCCAAATCTCTATCATCGCTGGCCGGTTGAGTTGCAGTTTAGTTTCTTAACGAAATTTCAAGGGAAGAATTCGAATTTAATACTGTTTTAGTTAATATCTAAATAGTTTGTGCTTAAGTGTTATGTTTTTGTAATTTAATCGAAATTTAAATGCAATTCAATAAAATATTGATAAAAAAAAAATTGAGATTCATTAAAAATACTCAACATATATCAGTTTCTATAGCTTATTGTTGAAAATAAATTTCTTAAGTCAGACCAAAATTAAACAACATATATATTTTTATATCTATATAATCATTTACCATATAGACATCAATTTTGCTTAAAAGCTAGAGTCAAAGAGGGGCTTTTGAAGGGAAAAATGTAAAATATAAACTTATATAGTATATAAATCATCTAAATAAATCCAACCCAAAGGCTAATAAATATGTAGAATATGGAATTTGTCTAATTAGACTACTTACTCGATACATGTATTGAAACAAAAATATTTAAAGAAATACATGCATTTTTATATTTATTTTTTACGAGCAGTTAACATTAACAAACAATTGAGTTAAAGGTTCACGAACTAAAGCCAAAGGTCAGACACTGGTTCGAAACACGAGGCAAAATGCTGATAAAATTGGTTTCGTTTACAGCCTTGGAAAATATTCAACAAATTGAGATAATCAGCTCGAAAATCGTTTATTTTTTTCAGTTTATTTTGATCGACTAAAAGTATGCTATAGAGGCAGGCATAGACTTCATAGATTTATGTAAATGAATCAACCAACTGTGTTGGCTGATTGGCTGCTTGACTGCTTCATAGTCTGGACTGGTCTCCAGTTAATTGAATTATTTATTCGCAAATATTGCGAATATGATCGTGGCGCTTCTTCGGTTAAGTAATTTAAAGTGAACAACTTATAAAAGCGCCAGGTGGCAATGTGGCATTTACATATTTAAATTCGCAGTGCGCGTTCGTAAGAAACACAACTTTGTTTGGAGACCTATAGAGATGGGTAGATGGGTAGATGAATACAAAAACGTGGTCTTAATATATTGCCATTAACGCTCAAGTGCTAATTTTGGCTGGCCATATCGAAACAAAGCGATGATGATGCCAAAGCCATACTAAAACAAGAAGTAAAACTGAAAAAAGATGTCGTACAACCGGTAACTCCAACTCTCAGTCTCAGTCTCTTCATCTCTGTTTGGGTCTGTGCGTATGGAGCCCGATGCCAGCCAGATCACGCAGTCAGACACGCAGCCAGAGAGACGGACGCTGACCTTGAAGATGCCGAGTATCTTAATCTGAATTTCGGCTTCTTGTATCTGTATATTTTGTGTTTCTCTGGAAAGGGATAGTGAATATGGGGAAAAAAGAGAAGATGCCAAATTGTGAATATTGACATACATACAGCAGTTATATGGGATATGTATTTAGAACATGGCGATTATGTACAAAAAAAACTTGATAGCCGAAGACAAGTGACGCCTTTAATTTGCATAAGCCAAGTTGGCTATTTTTTAGTATAGTAGTTTAGTAGTTTGAATACATTTTATACATATATGTATTTACACATGTATGCATATTTAATTTAAGTTGTGAATTTTTGGTCATCATCGGCAGTAAACTAGTTTTGCCTTTATTTCTCTCCCTTGCTGCCCGTTTTAAGAGACTAGCAGTTGCGTTTTTTGTTTTCGCTATAAATACGCAGACGATCAGTCCACTTAAGTATAGTTACCTTTGAACCCTCAAACGCGCTACACAATATCTAAACATGAAGTTCCTCATCGTCTTCGTTGCCCTCTTCGCCGTTGCCCTGGCAGCGCCCACTGACGATGCTGCTGCACAGATTCAGCGTAGCGAAGCTGATGTTAGACCAGATGGCTACACCTTTAAGTAAGTCATTATCAACTGGAGCATAAGACGCATTCGCTTATCCTTTGCCTTATTTTTTGTTACAGCTACGAGACATCCAACGGTATTGCCGCCCAGGAAACTGGTCAGCTGAAAAACATTGGCACTGAGGCCGAGGCTAATTCCGTTCAAGGCTCATTCTCGTGGGTTGGTCCCGATGGTCAGTCCTACGTCGTCAACTATATTGCCGATGAGAACGGTTTCCAGCCCCAGGGCTCTCATTTGCCCCAAGCCTAAGAAGCGATATTAAATTTTAAATAAATTGAATGTTTTACTAAAAAAAAATCTTTGCTTCTTCTCTTTTTCTTTTTTTAACCCACCTATTCCAACCTAGTTATTGTTAAACTGGCATTATGGGGAAGATAGTTCCCACAATGTTCTTGAAATCGTGTTCATTTAATGCATTTTGGCAAGTAGCAAATGAAGGTCACTTTATAAACTTCCTTATGGCTTATGTTGCAGATAATAATCTAAGTAAAGACTTAGTGAACATATAAGTGTTTTGGATGCCATTCGAAATACCATAGGAAGTCAGCTAATTAGAAATAAACGTCTACTTAAGCTTTTTTAATCGAGTATTATGAATACGCAAATAATGCTACAAAAATATTATTTATTTCTAATTGGAGATTATTTTATTTCGCCTTTTTTTATAGAGTTTAACAATGTAACTTTATGTTAACTAACCTTAATAGCGCGAAATCAGGCAAATGCTTAAGAACAGGTATTCATTAAGTATTGTCAATGTCAGTTTGGGAAGTGAGAGAATGTCCTGTGGGTAAATAACTGAACTGACTAACTAACTGGCTGTATGACAGTCTTAAGTTTTTTGGGTATTTTGGAAAAAGGTCACCAGAAAACTTGATTGACTGGCTTGCCAATTTTGCAGCTTCTTCGTCGTAGCGGTCAACAAAGGTGGAATACATTGGAAAAAACAATAACCCAAATGAATATACGTAAAATACTGAATACACACGATAAGTATATGCGAGTTGTTGTTACGACCATACTACATATGTATGTACATCAATCGAATAAAGTTGCAAAGGCCGTTGCATATGTCAAAAGTCAAGCACGTTGCTGGTTTTTTCTTCGATTTGAATTGCCGTTGAAGCGCTTCTTGTCGAATTTTGGACTTGTGATGTGAACTTGCTGCCCAAACTCAGCTTAACAGTTGTCGTTTCTTCACTGTTCTTCAATGAGAGAGAGATCTTCGGAGCAACAGCTAGGCCTACGGCTTGACTGAAAGTATTAAACATCAAATACATCGACCAACTTAAGCCATAAACCATCAACTAGTACGCAGTTAGCATATTGTACAAAAGCCAAACTATTTACGCATTCATTAGACTGACATTCGTCCACATGATTAATTTGCATCGAATTTGACATACACTGCAAAGAGAGAAGCAGTAATCTAATGTTATGATTTGATATGATGTGAAGAGATTAACTAAACTAATAAATAAAATTAAATTTAGCAAAACAATATCTGTTAAATCAACATTTTCAAATACATATAATTTAAAGGGTACCAAAACTTGGCTTGATATTTTTGTGAGATTTATCATTTTTCATAAATTGTAAAAAATTATATTTTATATAGTAACCAAGTACACGAGCTAGTTATAAAGCCAGAATGTGGATTTGGTAATGTAGCTGCAAAGATTCGCGTTAAATGTTACTTGTCGCAGCGACTTTGAGGCTGGCGGCTAGCGGTGAACTGTTGGTAAATTAAATACATTACCAGACGACCGCGAGTGCCGAGTTCTCTATGTGTGTATACGTCTCTAGTGTGTCTTCTTCTACAATTGTGCAAAATTTATGACGTTGGCAAAAATCTGTGAATGCGGTATATAAATGCAGCGAAGCCGATGCATTAGCACCATTGGACGCTTAAGAGTCTATTCAAACGCAGCGCAAATCAAGAGAAAACCTCAACAGGATGTGCAAAATGGTAAACGGACAACCGATCGAAATGATCAATTGACCAACGTGATTAACTGATTTACTGATTAACTGATTAATCCTTGTACAGATGCTAGTCGTTGGATTGCTGGTGCTCGCCGCTGCCAGCAGCAGTGCCCGTCCCCAGAATGATGTTGAGGTGTTGGAATATGAGTCGGATAACATTGGCATTGGTGGCTACAAGTTCAGCTACAAGCTCAGCGATGGCACCACTCGCACCGAGGAGGCGACTGTGAATAATGCGGGCACAGAGAATGAATCCCTTTCGGTGCGCGGTTCCGTTAGCTGGGTGGCACCTGACGGACAGACATACACCATTAACTTTGTGGCCGATGAAAACGGCTTCCAGCCGGAGGGTGCGCATATACCCAAGTAATTAGCAATCAATCACTGGATAACCAACTGGATTAACTAATATTTAGCCTCTAAGAGTTGTGCTGTGCATCAGTTAGTCAGTCAGTCGGTCGGTCAGTCAGTCGGTCAGTCGGTCAGTCAGTCAGTCAGTCAGTGAAGCGAGTGTCGTGCATTATAATTGTTTATCGCATTAAACATTAAATTTCGATAAGTACGTTTCCATGACTTTTTATTCCTAAATTGCGAACTATAAATCGCATGAACAGGATTAACAGAAAGAAGCCAGCGGATTTTGTACACAGGAGCAGCTGAAACCGAAACCATCAGACTTTTAGAATTCATTGCAATTCATTTCCTTTTGTCCACTAAGAAAAAATGGGGCAATTCGGATTGGTATTTTCATAAGAGCATCTTCTCATTTAATTTATAAAAAAGTATAAACTTAAACTAAAAAGTCGTAAGAGCTTTACTCCCGTGGTATGTGTGCACCTTCGGGCTGGAAGCCGTTCTCATCGGCAACGAAGTTCACCGTGTAAGTGACGCCATCGGGTCCCAGGTAGGAGTACGAACCCTTCACAGATATGGCTTCATTCTCTGTGCCAATGTTCTTGAGGATGGCCTCCTCAGTGCGTTTGGTGCCATCGCTGGTCTCCAGCACAAAATTGTAGCCATCGGGCTTAACATCGGCATTATTCTGCACAGTTTCCACATCTGCAGAGGGTGCTGCTGAGCACAAGACCAGGCAGAGGCTAAGACAGATAATGACTGGAGTACACTTCATGTTTCTATTGGATTGATGGACGGTAGACTGGACTTGTGGTGTTCGCCATTCGAATTGGCTTTTATACTCGCAACCCATATGGAGTAACAGAAGCTAATGCAATTAACACATTATTTGTTTATATTTTTGATTTTGCTTCATTTTTTTGGACGTGGCTATCTATGTTGAGGCCAAAATGTGTTAATTTGTTGTTTAATGTACAACAAATAATTGAAAATCAAATATATCACTCCACTTAAGAGTTCTCGACTAAAATTTGTGGAATCCGGAATATATAGAGAAACAAAAAGCTTTTACCATATATAATAATTGTAATAGCAAATTAAGACACAATTTACTTTTAATGAGTTCACAGAGAGAGAACAGCAGAAATTCAAAAATGAACATTAAAATATAGGTTTGACGATGTTCTATGAGTTCGACTCCAAGCCACAATCTATCTCATAGAAGTTATAAGTTGCGCATATAAGCATGTCACTCAATTTGCACTAAATACATATATATTCGTAATCAGATAGTTACTTCAGAATATAATATATAACATTTTGCATATATGCAAATATATATACAGGTTTTAAAGCACTTCCATAATACATACTTAAATGTATTTTAAATATCATAAATGTTTAAATTAAGTCTGTTCTTCTATATATACATACATATATATGATTGTGTGTGTGCTTATGGCATGTAGGTCTATTTAACTGCTAGATATCCATTTATAGATATACATTTATTCGCATATACTTTATTTCAAGTTTAAATTAATATTCATTTTACTACTAAATCGGTTGTTATGATTTCAAGCATGCATTTTAGTCAACCAAACTTCACATATGTTCATGATAAGCTTGCTTTTGGAATTTTTTTTGGTGACTCTTTGTTTCTGTTATGCTAAATGGCAACCTCCAAATTTACTATAAATACGCAGACGATCAGCCCAGTTTAGTATAGTTACCTTTGAAGCCTCAAACGCACTACACAAAATCTAAACATGAAGTTCCTCATCGTCTTCGTCGCCCTCTTCGCCATCGCTCTGGCAAGACCTGACGTTCATACTCTGCGAGAGGAATCTGACGTCGGGCCCGAAAGCTACAAATTTGCGTAAGTAATTAACATTTACAGAGAGTTACTATAATTTTCTCATACGTTTGTTTTTTTTAAACTACTACTTGCTTCAGTGTGGAGACTTCCGATGGTACCAAAAAGGAAGAAGAGGGTCATCTTAAGGGCGCTGGCACTGATGATGAAGCTATTTCCGTAAAAGGATCATACTCATGGGTTGATACCGACGGCAATTCCCATACCATCAACTATATTGCCGATGAGAACGGTTTCCAGCCCGAGGGCGTTGATGTGCCCAAAGCCTAAGAAGCGATATTAAATTTGAAATGAATAAATAGATTTTTCCCTGATAAAATTTGATTTTTAATTGTCGAATTCATAGATTTTCAGGTGTTAGAAAGCCAAAAGCCAAGAAATCGCGAAGCTTTGTATTTGAAGCACTTTATGCACTACAAATCTTCCATCTAAGTAAGCAGCCTTCTTCAAAACGAGTCCGTTTTGTTTAAATACTGTGATACCAAAGTTATTAGATTATATTGGTTTTATGCAGTGTCCGTCTGTATGAACGCAACTTTTTCCAACAGCCTTAGAGATAGAGACTTGAAACTTGGAACACAAATTGGTGTGTGAATTTTTATTCGTCCACGCCCACTCCTGTCCCAGAATTCATAATGCCCGAGTCTTAAATCAAGTTTGATATTTTTTACTTCTCAATATCTTTCTCTTATTTAGGAACTGTTTCTTGATTTAAAAAAAAATCTATTTTGATGTTAAAATTTTCAACTTAAAGATTTTCGTTCAAGAATAGAAATGTTTTGAAATAATATCTGCATTTTATTTTAAGAATGTAAAGCAATTTGATTTGTTTATCTTCCCGAAATGAATTATTTAGCTGCACTACGGTATTTTTATATCCCGAGCCCATCGATTATGACTAAAAAGGGTATTGGCTAAAATGGTGTAAAGTTGTGCAAAAGTATTTGACAGGTAGGATGAAGCATTTCCGACCACATAAAGAAACACATAGGTCCATTACTATAGGTCTCATTACCATCAACACAAGTATTTTCTGAATAGATAAATATGCGCAATATCTATGAATTCAGTATACATACCAGTGATGCACAAAGAAACCAAGAAAAAATAATACATTGACTGAAAAACCTCAGTGAAAAAAATGACAAGAGTCAACAATTTCATTGTCCTCGTGCTCTGCATCTGGCAATCATTTTCAAATATTTCACATAATTTCCTTTAAAAATAACAAAAACTGATAATTGATACAGAAAATGTCGCTTAACGTCTGTGTTATACTAAAATGTATTCATTTGATGTCAGTTCTTTTATATATAAATATATATGTGATTGCGTATGTGTGTTTATGATATGTAGGTGCATTCAACTGCTAGACCATCCATTTATAGATATTTATTCGCATATACTTTATTTCAAGTTTAAATTAATATTCATTTTACTGCCAAATCAATTATTACGATATTAAACATGAATTTTAGTCAACCAAACTTCAGATACGTTCGTGCTAAACTAGTTTATCGTAAACTTATATGATGCTTCTTTGCTATTGTTATATCAACTGGACACCTACAAATTTACTATAAATACGCAGACGATCAGCCCAGTTTAGTATAGTTACCTTTGAAGCCTCAAACGCACTACACAAAATCTAAACATGAAGTTCCTCATCGTCTTCGTCGCCCTCTTCGCCATCGCTCTGGCAAGACCTGAAGTTGAAATTGTGCGACACGATTCTGAGGTCGGGCCCGAAGGCTACAAATTTGCGTAAGTAATTAACATTTAGAGAGAGTTACTATAATTTTCTCATACGTTTGTTTTTTTCAACTACTACTTACTTCAGTGTGGAGACTTCCGATGGTACCAGCAAACACGAAGAGGGTCACCTTAAGGACGCTGGCACTGATGATGAAGCTATTTCCGTAAAAGGATCATACTCATGGGTTGATACCGACGGCAATTCCCATACCCTCAACTATATTGCCGATGAGAACGGTTTCCAGCCCGAGGGCGTTGATGTGCCCAAAGCCTAAGAAGCGATATTAAATTTGAAATGAATAAATAGATTTTTCCCTGATAAAATTTGATTTTTAATTGTCGAATTCATAGATTTTCAGGTGTTAGAAAGCCAAAAGCCAAGAAATCGCGAAGCTTTGTATTTGAAGCACTTTATGCACTACAAATCTTCCATCTAAGTAAGCAGCCTTCTTCAAAACGAGTCCGTTTTGTTTAAATACTGTGATACCAAAGTTATTAGATTATATTGGTTTTATGCAGTGTCCGTCTGTATGAACGCAACTTTTTCCAACAGCCTTAGAGATAGAGACTTGAAACTTGGAACACAAATTGGTGTGTGAATTTTTATTCGTCCACGCCCACTCCTGTCCCAGAATTCATAATGCCCGAGTCTTAAATCAAGTTTGATATTTTTTACTTCTCAATATCTTCCTCTTATTTAGGAACTCTTTCTTGATTTAAGAAAAAATCTATTTTTATGTTAAAATTTTCAACTCAAATATTTTTGTTCAAGAATAAAAATGTTTTGAAATAAGATCTGCATTTTATTTTAAGAATGTAAAGCAATTTGATTTGTTTATCTTCCCGAAATGAATTATTTAGCTGCACTACGGTATTTTTATATCCCGAGCCCATCGATTATGACTAAAAAGGGTATTGGCTAAAATGGTGTAAAGTTGTGCAAAAGTATTTGACAGGTAGGATGAAGCATTTCCGACCACATAAAGAAACACATAGGTCCATTACTATAGGTCTCATTACCATCAACACAAGTATTTTCTGAATAGATAAATATGCGCAATATCTATGAATTCAGTATACATACCAGTGATGCACAAAGAAACCAAGAAAAAATAATACATTGACTGAAAAACCTCAGTGAAAAAAATGACAAGAGTCAACAATTTCATTGTCCTCGTGCTCTGCATCTGGCAATCATTTTCAAATATTTCACATAATTTCCTTTAAAAATAAGAAAAACTGATAATTGATACAGAAAATGTCGCTTAACGTCTGTGTTATACTAAAATGTATTCATTTGATGTCTGTTCTTTTATATATAAATATACGAGGTGCGTTCAAAAAGTATCGCGAATTTTGTGTTTTTTCAGATATTATTTATTTATTCATGAATATCTATTTTGTCCCCTTCAAAGTAATCCCCATGAGATATTATACACTTGTGCCAACGGTTTTTCCAATCTTCGAAGCACTTCAAAAAATCATTTTTTTTTATCTTGTTCAGCTCCTCCTTCGATCCCGTCTTTATCTCGTCAAGCGTAGCGTAACGTCGTCCTTTCATGGGCCTCTTCAGTTTAGGGAACAAGAAAAAGTCACAGGGGGCCAGATCTGGGGAATACGGTGGCTGCGGCATCATTAGTGTGTTGTTTTTGGCCAAAAAGTCGCGCACAAGCAACGATGTGTGAGCAGGGGCGTTATCGTGGTGCAAAAGCCAATTTTTGTTCTTCCACAAATCCGGGCGTTTCTGGCGGATTGCTTCGCGCAAATTGCGCATAACTTGCAGGTAATATTCCTTATTGACCGTTCTACCCTGTGGCAAGAACTCATGATGCACCACGCCCCTGCAATCGAAGAAAACTGTCAGCAAAACTTTCACATTCGACCGAACTTGGCGCGCTTTTTTCGGTCTTGGTTCGTGCGACAGCTTCCATTGAGATGATTCCACGTCGTAACCATAAACCCACGATTCGTCACCAGTTATGACCCTCTGGAGCAAATTTGGGTCGTCGCGGACAGAGTCCAACATCTCATTAGCAATGTTCATGCGATGCTGTTTTTGGTCGCAATTGAGCAATTTTGGTACGAATTTCGCGGCGACCCGTCTCATGCCCAAATCATTGATAAAAATCGAATGGCATGAGCCAATCGATATATCTAGCTCCTCAGCAACTTCTCTAACGGTGATTCGACGATTGGCCAATACCATTTTCTCCACTCCATTAATTTTTTCGTCTGTTGTTGAAGTGCTCGGGCGTCCGGCACGCTCTTCGTCGTTCACATCTTCTCGGCCTTCTGAGAACATTTTGTACCACCGATAAACGTTGGTTCGGTCCAAGGTAGCTTCTCCGTATGCCACAATCAACATTCGGAATGCATCCGCGCACTTAATTTCGTTTTTCACACAAAATTTGATACAGGTTCTTTGATCCATTTTTTTGAATAGGTAAAAATCGAAGACGATCCAAAACACGTGCAAGCAAAGCAGCTGTCAACAATTAAGTGAACATTCAAAATGGCCGAGCTTGTCGGCATAAGTGAGAGACATGAGTACCAACATAACGCTACAAAAAAATCGAAATTCGAATATACGTAACCCGCGAAAATTCAAAATTCGCGATACTTTTTGTGTTTATGATATGTAGGTGCATTCAACTGCTAGACCATCAATTTATAGATATACATTTATTCGCATATACTTTATTTCAAGTTTAAATTAATATTCATTTTACTGCCAAATTTTAGTCAACCAAACTTCAGATATATTCGTGCTAAACTAGTTTATCGTAAACTTATATGATGCTTCTTTGCTATTGTTATATCAACTGGACATCTACAAATTTACTATAAATACGCAGGCGATCAGCCCAGTTTAGTATAGTTACCTTTGAATCCTCAAACGCACTACACAAAATCTAAACATGAAGTTCCTCATCGTCTTCGTCGCTCTCTTTGCCATCGCTCTGGCAAGACCTGAAGTTGAAATTGTGCGACACGATTCTGAGGTCGGGCCCGAAGGCTACAAATTTGCGTAAGTAATTAGCATTTAGAGAGAGTTACTATAATTTTCTCATACGTTTGTTTTTTTCAACTACTACTTGCTTCAGTGTGGAGACTTCCGATGGTACCAAGAGAGGCGAAGAGGGTCATCTTAAGGAGGCTGACTCTGCTCTTTCCATAACAGGATCATACTCATGGGTTGATACCGAAGGTAATACCCATACCATCAACTATGTTGCCGATGAGAACGGTTACCAGCCCGAGGGCGCTGATGTGCCCAAAGCCTAAGAAGCGATATTAAATTTGAAATGAATAAATAGATTGTTTTCCTGATACCATTTGAATTTTAATTGTCGAATTTATGGAGATATCACGGAGATGTCAAACCGAAATGGAAGTCGTAACAACTTTGTTTTACCGATTGTTACTTAAATGTATGTCTGTACTCAAAATGGTATATGAGAACTTACATTCCCAATGTGAGATCTCTAGCTCTTATAGTCTCTGAGATCCATTTATCAATACAGGCTGACATGAATAGATCGACATTGCCAGGGATAATGGTCACCTGAGATTTTCTACCTCTTACATACTCTTGCACAACTTCATTATAACATTTTGTAATGGGATCATGGTATAACAAGAAAGTAGGGCACGCCAAAGATAACAAACTCTTTCAGACATCAATGCGCATAGTCCTCAATTTCATTATAAATTAAAAATACCTACTGAACTGTATGATATATGTATATATCCAATGTGTTGTATAGATCTCCGGATAAGGGATAATTTTATTTTTTTTCTGCTATGTCAGTTTGAAAAAGTATTAGTTATCAGGGCCACAACCTACAGCCTTCCGATACAGTAAAAATATACCCTCGCATAACATTGGTAAACTGTATAAAAATTATTAAGATCTATTTAAAAACTTGGAAGTAAATACTATATTAATATTTACCAAATTACAAAGGCACAATAATAGATAAAGATTTCTGATTTCAACATCGATAAACATTCTTACTTATATTCGTCGGGTACTTTGAAACTTTATGTCTTTCTGCCCAACTAATTTTCAACTGCGATGGATAACTATTTATCCGGCACCTATTTTATGTGGTACAATCATCACATTCGTTACATATTCTCATTTTATAGCTCGAAACTAAGAAGTTAAAGTTGACTCAAAACTGGCAAATGTGTATATAATTGCTATCACTAAGAGTGCAGAGCCTAATAAATAGTTATTGTTCCAATTCGAACTCCTATTTCTAAATGTGCGATAGCAGCTTATAGCAATTTAATATCTGGCTATCGATATAATCATTGCTTGCAATCCAACTACAATATTTTGACACTAATAAATATCTTTGAGATTTTGATTATTCTTGCAAGCGATTTATTAAATTTTAACTCAAATTCTAGAAAGAACAGCTCTTGGTGCGCTTAACAATTTAGTGGCTAATTCCATTATCGGGCAAATGGGCGCCCTGGGGCTGGAATCCATTCTCATCGGCAATATAGTTGACGGTGTAGGTCTGACCATCATCAGCAACGAAGGAATAGGATCCAGTGACAGCAATCGATTCATTCTCAGTACCGGCGTTCTTCAGTACACCCGACGCAGAGTGCATCTGTCCATCGCTGGTTCGGAAACTGCAACATAACAGATTTGACCATTGTTCGATATGAATATGAATTATAGGTCCTGATAAAGATGCCTGATACTTACTCGAACGTATAGCCATCGGGCTGGACATCGGACGTATAGTGCTCGATTACCGACTGCTGGTAGTCGGCGGCTGGTGCGGCCAGGCTGCAGGACAGGAAGGCAACAAACACAATAGCAATTGTATATTTCATATTGCTGTCTTATCGATTTGATTTACGAACGAACTATTTGAACTGCTGTTTGATTTGTGTTGTCTGTTTAGGTGCTCAGCGCTCTTTTTATATCCGAAATCCAAGAAGCGTTGATGATGATGTCCACTACTAATCTACAACAATGCGTTAAATTAAGAAGAGTTTGTCCAAAATAAAAATGACTAATTACACATCGGAGCTAACAAAATGTCTTTAAAAAAAACACCAACAGGTCTATCTCTATAAAAGGAAAAAAACATCAACAACAAAACAAATTATAGATAATAAGAAAAAAAACTTCTAAGACAAACAAAAACGCAGATGTTCATAGGAAATACCGCAGCATCGTTATGATTGCCACGTTTATCTTAATCATCATGATAATTATTATCGAATTTGCATTTTTCATGAATCAATCAAACGATTCAAAATCTCATGTGTTCCCTTGTACTCTTATGTATTTACTATATATGCACACATATTCAGTCATTTACTCTACAGCAGCGAAACTCAATGAAAACAAGCCAAAAATACCGTAGAAATATATATTTATTTGTTTTTCTTTTAGTCTTCTTTTTTTTCTGATATGCTTAGCCGGAAACTGTATTCATTAACTACACCCAAAATAGTTAATGCCCTTTTGATATCTGTGTCAAAGCCAAATAACAAACTCTTCATAAGTAATAATTATTATTATATAATTATTCATATTACTTATTCGAAATCATTTGGACCTCCCGGTTCCTGATTTTCCCATTCATATATGACATATTTTCGCTGGCCTAATAAAAATCGTTCAGGGTATCCCCTAGTCGAACTCTCTCGCCTAGAGAATTCTTACTTGATTTTTGTTTCTGCGAAATGGGCACCTCCAAATTTATTATAAATACGCAGACGATCAGCCCAGTTTAGTATAGTTACCTTTGAATCCTCAAACGCACTACACAATACCTAAACATGAAGTTCCTCATCGTCTTCGTCGCCCTTTTCGCCGTCGCTCTGGCAAGACCTGACGTTGAAATTGTGCGACAGAATTCTGAGGTCGGGCCCGAAAGCTACATATTTTCGTAAGTAATTAGCATTTAGAGAGAGTTACTATAATTTTCTCATACGTTTGTTTTTTTTAACTACTACTTACTACAGTTTGGAGACTTCCGATGGTACCAAAAAGGAAGAAGAGGGTCATCTTAAGAATGCTGGCAGTGAAAACGAGGCTATTTCCGTTAAGGGGTCATACTCTTTTGTTGCTGATGATGGTCAGACCTACGTCGTCAACTATACCGCCGATGAGAACGGTTTCCAGCCCGAGGGCGCTCATTTGCCCCAAGTCCAAGCCTAAGAAGCGATATTAAATTTGAAGTGAATAAATAGAGTATATTTTTGGAAAATTTTGATGTTATTTAATTCAATGATATTAAGTTGTCGAACGGAAATTTATGCACGAGACTACGCATCGTCAGAATACTTTATTGACTGCATTCACTTGGAAAAAAATCTGATTTCAATACGAGTGTCACTGCCACAATTTAGATCTAAGGTCAAAAAACTATACAATTGAAAATCGAGTGCAAGCTGGTTGCACACGCAAAGACAAGGATAGAATGATGCTGCTCTCTTCACACACAGACCCTTGAAGGTGCTACAATGTTGCTCCTATTTTGAATGTATATACTCAATAGAGAAACTTCGATCAGCCAGTTTTGTACTTGCATTAAATAAATATTTTTGTAATTTAACGTTTTTTTTATGTATGTATGTATGTAGTATACCAAACTTCAAATGACTTACTCAAAATGATTACAACACATCTTAGACCAATCAAAAAACGCCCTCAATTTGAACAAATCTGTTTCGCAATTAAAGCAAACTTGCAAACGATTTTGTTAATAACCCATCCAGTAAGTTGGTCGTTTTGTGCATAAAGCGTGTTATATACACAGTTTCGAGGATACTTGATATTTAGCTTTATAAAATTGAAATATCTATAAGCTCTAAAGATAACTATCAAAATGTTGCATGAATATAATCTATTTATTCATTTCAAATTTAATAACGCTTCTTAGGCTTGAGGGGCGACGGGCAAATGAGGACCATGGGGCTGGTAACCGTTCTCATCGGCAATATAGTTGACGGTGTAGGTCTGACCATCGGGAGCAACCCACGAGAATGAGCCCTTAACAGCAATAGAAAGTGAGAATGTTTTTTGTCGAGAGATCTCGACGAGGAGATACCCTTACGTTGAAGAAGTTACTTGTAGTGAATCGAACACTTCTTAAAAATTCCATCCAACATCCTGCAAATGCGCTCAGGTGCATTGTATGTGCATATGTTTGCATGTTTGTGTGTGTGTTAACGTGAATACACAAATCTATTGCCTGTTACATACTTTTGCACAAATTGATTATACCTATCTATCCCATTTTCGAAATTTTCAGTGTGTATTTAAATGTCAACCTGTGCATGTCGATAAACTGGTTCCATTGCAAAAATGGCAAATGGCAAACAAAATTTCACGACAGTTAAGTATCACAATATATGTTAATTTGCTTTGACAATAATACATTTACCCTGCATTCAACTTTATTATGGTAGTTCTGTTCTACATAGAGAGATAGGATACCGTTCCTAGAATTATATTAAGAACGATTCTATTTCAAAAATCACTCTTGATTTAGATTATAAACTTAGTTTGAAATGAATGCATTTGATTTTAAATTCTATTCTAGATTTTTGTGAAATTTGCATAACGATTTAATACTTTATTTAATTTTGAATTGCATTCTATGGGTTTTTATTACTTCAGATATATTATATTACATATTAATAGGTGAATCAGGAAACAAGAGACCCAAATGATTTCGAACGAGTAATCTGCATTATTATATAATCAACACTGTTGTTTAAGCCTTGAAACAATAAGAACATAAATTTTAAAAAAGAAGATGAAGAAAAACATGTTTTTATAAATCTGGATGCACAAATTAATGCTTATGAGAGCTTTTGTGTACCCTAAACTCATCGAAAATAGGTAAAAAGGGTATATTAAAGTTTGAAAGCCTTCGAAGTACAAGTCGATCTAGCCAGGTCTGTCTATATGAACGTTCCTTTCTTAGAATGCAAATATATATATAATAAGCTGGAGACTACTAACACAAATTCGCGTTTAACATTTTTAGATCAAGTACATTTTATTCAATCGATAACGTCCTCTATAAGCATTTTCTCTATACATGTATTTTAGCGTGTTCGCTTAAGGGTATCTCCTCGTCTATATTTCTCGACTAAAACATTCCTACTTGATGTGTGATATGTGAAATGGATACCTCCAAATTTACTATAAATACGCAGGCGATCAGTCCAGTTTAGTATAGTTACCTTTGAATCCTCAAACGCACTACACAATACCTAAACATGAAGTTCCTCATCGTCTTCGTCGCCCTCTTCGCCATCGCACTGGCAAGACCTGACATTGAAGTTGTGCGACAGGATTCTGACGTCGGGCCCGAAAGCTTCAAATTTTCGTAAGTAATTAGCATTTAGAGAGAGTTACTATAATTTTCTCATACGTGTTTTTTTTAAACTACTACTTACTTCAGTGTGGAGACTTCCGATGGTACCAAAAGGGAAGAAGAGGGTCAACTTAAGAATGCTGGCACTGATAATGAGTATATTGCCGTTCATGGATCATTCTCGTATGTTGCTGATGATGGTAAGACCTACAGCGTCGTCTATACCGCCGATGAGAACGGTTTCCAGCCCAAAGGCGATCATATTCCCGTCGCCTAAGAAGTTATATCGAATTTGAAATGAATAAATAGAATATTTTCCTGCAACATTTTGATTTGTAATTGTCGAGCTTATAGATATTTAGATGTTAAATAGCAAACATCAAGGATACACTTTGCACATCTTACGACTACAAATCTTCCGAATGCTTTACTTGTGAAAGAGATTTATTCCAATCTGTTTTTGTTTGTCTAAGTACGGTTACCTTCACTTTAAATAAATCGATCTCATTTCAAGATTGGTTGACCAAATAGAGACAAGGACATTTTAAGCCAGGAATTTACACATTCAAGAACAAAATTTTCATAAGTAAACAGACGATTAAATTCTTACATCTTACTTGAGGATGAAATTCACAACATAGGATTTTTTTTTACCATAAAATAGTTTTTATAATTAATTTTGTGCTTAGTTTTAGACTTTAGCAACCTTCCTGTTTGATAAGTAAATGTTTAGCCGTCTCGAAATCAAATGAAATTGAACAATTTGCTGAGTAAATTAATTATATCATTATTAGATTATACCAAATTGAAGCTGTGCTAAGGACTATAATAAGCAGATTGACGAATCTGCTTGTCCATAAAGTATACATACTTTTGATCAACTTTATCAGGAGAGTCCGACAGTCTGCCATATAAGCCCGTCAGTCTTAAAGCTATTTCAATTGCACTTTGAATACATCCGTTTTATAAATATTACTCTGCAGTAAAATGATTAAGCTTAACGCATATTAAGATGGAACATTGTAACAGTTTATGTTTATTGATTCTGAATTTGATTTCTTGTGCAAAATGTTTGAGCGAGGCTTAAACCTATTTAACATATGACTGGGATGGATACTTCTTATTGAACGGGGCGCGGCAGATGAGCACCCTCGGGCTGGAAACCGTTCTCATCGGCGACATAATTGAGGGTATATGTCTGTCCATCGTCGCCTACATAGGTGTAGAAGCCACGCACAGCGATTGCTTCGCGCTCGGTGCCCAAGTTCTTCAGCTGTCCCTCCTCCTGATGTGTTTTACCATCGCTCGTCTCAACACTGCACAAATTGAGACAGAAGCAGAGGCAGAGGTAGAGAGAGTGAGAGAGAGAGAGAGATAGAGATAAACCAGTTTAAGTTTGACCTTGACACAGTCTGGCGCCAGATCCAAGTCAATACTCACGCAAACTTATAGCTCTCCGGTTGCACTTCTGAATCGAAGCGGAGCACCTGTGCCTCCGCTGCTGCTGCCGGTGCCGGCGGTGCTCCATGGACGCCAGCGAAGATGCAGGCGACAACAATAGCCAATGCAACAGTAAAGGAGTAATTCATGGTAAATTTTATTGGACTTGTACTTGTGATGCGCTCAAGGAACTTGCAGTCAATGCATGCCAATTGTAAGCTCACCGGCCAATTTATAGTCAAAAAGACTCCTGCAAAAGAAGCCCAACAAAAAAATGCGCGAAAACTCGATATAAAAAAAAAATGGCAAACGAAGTACAATAAAGATACATGGTATAAATGTACCTAAACCCGTTTTTGTTTTCCTGTAATCAACCTTTATTACTTAACTTGGCTGATTGCTGCTGTTTCGTTTCTGTGTGTGTGTGTATGTGTGTGCTTGAATATGTATATGTGTGTGTATGTGTATGCTGATGTCTGTTTGTCTGTTTGTCTCGCTGCCTGCTGGCTGTTGGCAATTGGCTTTGATTGATTACCGTCTAGACCTCACCCATCCATTATTTGCTAGAAACAAAGCGCAATGCGTGAATTGGTCATATACATAATCAATGGATCGTATCTCGAGTCTCCGAGTCTCCGAGTCTCGCCAAAATGGGGTCACTTGTTTTATTGTTATTTAGCTCAAGTGCAAGTGAAATGCCGAAATCCATATGCGATAAAACAAATTGTTGAAATCTCACAAATTTTGGTTGCCATTTAACATTTCAGCAGCATTTGAACTTTTTCGTTTTTCGTTTTTCGTTTGACTTTATATCGGTTTCGGCCAAAGTTTGTTGCTTGTTTGTATCTGATTCTCGTCATTCATTCGCATAAAATTGAGCCTTTCATTTCATTTTTGTACTTATGCACTTACCTACTGAACAAATAATTACTGAAGCATACAAATTTATTATCTTTTGTTATAACAATTAGCTTATCTTGGACTTATCAAATGGCTTACAAATCACATTCTTCGAATCGAATCTTTCGAAATGGTTTATTTTATATTTCAATGAAACAATCTATATACATTAATATACATAAATAAATATATAAATATATATTTATATACTTGACATTTGATATACGTATGCAACGGTATCTTATCACTTTTCATTAAACTTGATCTGGTTTTTTTTTCCGCGTACTAATACCAGATATTCAAAGATTTGGCAAACGATCAACATTAGTCGTAGTTCTACAGTGCTGCAGCACAGTTGACATCGAATTGATATATTGTCATGAACGGACCAAAGATATTCATCATGCTGATCGCGTCACTCTGGAATTTGCGGATCTGCAGTTGCACAATGGAAATTGGGCACAACAACAACGGAAACAGAAACGATGCACAAATACTGATATATGAAAATGACAAAATTGACAGCGATGGCTATGCCTTCTTGTAGGTAGTCAGACTAGGTCATTAATCAATCAAAATTAATTAAATTATGCATTTGACAAAAACCAGCTACGAGACAAGTGATGGTATTTCAAGGCAAGAGACGGCCAAGTTAAAGAATGCCGGCACCGAACTGGAAGCAATTGCGGTACAGGGTAGCGTCAAATGGGTGGGACCCGATGGCATACATTATAAACTGAACTATCTGGCCGATGAGAATGGATTTCAGCCACAGGGTGAACATTTGCCACGCCGCCAATCATCGACAGTTGCGTGATCAAACTTTTGTTAAATTGAATCTATGAATAAAATTATACACATATCTTATGTAGCTCTGTTTTGGTGGTGTGCTCTTCCAATTTTCACCACTCAAATGTATTCTATTCAGAGGTAAACCCGTTCTTAACTCCGCTAACAACACAGTCAGATGGTCAGGGCCAAACCGGTTCAGTAAAAAACACAAAAGACACAAACGAAAGTGAGAACTGCATAGCAACACTGAATAATAATAACTGAAGAAGCACATTGAACAACAATAACACCTCTTTTCAGTTAAAGGGCAAATTAGTGCAGCTTGGCCAACGTGGGCCAACCCATTGTTGGGCAATTAAGGGCGCATCTTTTTGGCCAAGCACCTCATTTATCAATCGTAACTGCAAAACAATCAAACAACGTCGAGACTTACGTTCAATGCTGATTGATGGACTCCAGAGGGAGGAACGCAGACAGGCGTGCAACATCGACTGTTGAATACGCTGCAGCACATTAAGCATACGCCCAGTTTCAACACAACTACAATCGATCGAATCGAATCGAAATTTAGTTTCTTATAATTAAAATTATGTCTTAAAGCCAGAAAAGCATTTCACTTTTCAGGTCGGTTTAACAGTCATAAGTAGCCAGACCCGATATATATTATATATATTGCTGACAAGCATCAATAGTCGAATCGATCACAGATCACAGTTAAATCACAGGGTATACGCCAGTCTCTCACGTTCGTCCAGTATAGTCTTACTTGTTATTTTATTGACTAAGGTCATCAACATATAAACACATACACACACACACACAGACAGAGAAATACACTGAAGCTGTTCAGCTTCAATCTCGTGTCGCATCTTCACTTAACAAGTGGTTTCCCACCCCCGCCCGTAAACAACTCTCAGCCTTTACTTTTAACGCTTTTTGAAGGTTGCATCGCTCCGTATAAATAAAATTGTGTCAACTTCTTATTTGTTTTGTTCAAACATTTAATTCTGTTTTTTTTTTTTTTTTCTTTAATACTTGGCTCGATTAACTTATATTTTGGCTTGTTATTTAAGATTTGGGATTAAAATGTTTTACCTTTTTGAACAATGAATTCTTATTTTTGCTTTTTGCTTCCCAATCGTATTTTAATAGGTAAGTAAGCTCGTTGACCTATTGCCATAGATAGGCAAACAAGCGCGACTACGCAAATGTTTGCAAGCACATTTCATTATCATCACTTCCCCATCAACTTCATTATCATCATTATCCACACAAATAGAGATAAATTTGTATATTCGGCAGCAGGCAGCTGGGGCAGAAGCCGAGGCAGAGGAGCCCTCTTGACGGCCAATTGAAATGGGATTTTGAGTGTACATCAAACGCTTAATGGTTTTTGTGGCTTGTACAATTAAAAGCTTAAGACTTATGTACATACACACACACACACACACACACATACACTCACGCACACACGCACAACCAGATGCGTAGTCAGAGTCAAAGTCAAACAATTATATAATTTGAATGTGCATTAAAAGGCGATTGTTATAGCTACCTTATATATGTTGTGTGTATGGTGTATGTGTGTAATTGTGTGTGTGTGTGTCTGTGGGAGCACTTTGGATGTTTTTTCTGGCCTGAACTACTATAAATAGGTTGAGGCTCATTAGCGGGTGCCACATAATTCGTTAGCGCTTAATTGTGATAAGTACGGTAGCGTGTCGTGATCTTTAAACCACTCTAGCAAGGAGTCTCTTTTCTCGTAATCGAATATGCATTCAATTAACGCTTGTGTTCTCTTGGGCCTGTGCGCCTTTGTGTTTGTGTCCTCCATAAATGCGGCGCCGGCGCCTTTGGATGACTCCCAGCAGGCAACAATTTTGCGTTATGATAATGAAAACATTGGCACTGACGGCTACAACTTTGGGTGCGTATAAGGGCCAAAAATTAAAAAAATAAGAACACAGTACGAACAAAGGATATATATACATATTTAACTTACGTCCTGCAGATACGAGACGAGCGATGGAGTAACGCGCCAGGAGCAGGCGGAGCTGAAGAACGTGGGCACCGAACAAGAGGCGCTTAGCGTGCGTGGCTCTTACAGCTGGGTGGCCCCAGATGGTCAGACCTATACCCTCAACTATATCGCCGATGAGAACGGCTTCCAGCCACAGGGCGATCATTTGCCTCATAACTAAGGAACCCAAAATTCGAATTTTGGGGCCTAAATCAGAATCAGTATTTTCTTTGTCAAATAAATTGTATGTTGAATCTACTTCTTCCTTTTATTGTTGTATTTTTGTGAAGTGTGTATAACTAATTGAGTGTGTTTGAATATTGAATCTTCATCGGGTCTTTAATATGGCAGAGCTTTAATACTCTTCTGCCTTATAATTCAACTATTTTATTTTTTCTTATTTGCATACAAAATATATGTACTTGTATATATCAGTTACTTAATGTAAATTCTCAATGTCTATTTGATGTTATGTCATGCTCACTTCAAGTCGTAGAAAGTCAAAGTTAAATTTTTATTATTATACTCGAAATACATTTATCATAGCTAAATAATTACAGAGTGATTTTTTGATTTTGCTTTATCTTTGCCTTTGAATTGGTTGTTGTTTTTTTTTTTGCTTTTTAGCATTTGACTAGTGCTGTGAGGAATGACAATAAATGTGTGTTATTATTGTATGCATTTAGCTAACAAAACAAAACAAAACAAATGTGTTAATCTATAATTAAAATGTATTTTATTGAATTTTGTCATTATTTGCTTATACACATTTTTTTGCGTTTGCATTATAGGATATGGCAGCATTTAGAACTTTTAGCACCCAAGACACATATAAAAGCCAATTGCGTTACGGCCAACTAGCCAGTGAAGTGCAGTCAGTCAAGTGTAACTCAAACATGCATCGATATACCCTGTTATTTGTTGTTGTGTGCCTAGTGGGTAGTGTCGTTTGCCAGGGCGATCAACAAGCACAGACATTACGCTCGGAGAGCGATAACAATGGCGTCGATAAATACTCTTTTGCGTGAGTTTGGCACGTCTGTTAGCTGTTAACTGATCAGACTCTAATCGGTTTTCCCCCACATCAGATATGAGACCAGCAATGGCATAACACGCAACGAGGAGGGCGTTCTGCAACCAGGAACGGGTGAAGAATCAGGCGTTTTGCATGTGCAAGGCTCTACCACGTGGACGGCACCCGATGGCAAGAAATACGAGATTACGTTCACTGCCGATGAAACTGGCTATCATCCCACCTTTAAACAATTGTAATAAGCGCTTCAAAGCAAGCTTTACTTTATGCGAACATTCTTAAAAAATTAAAAAAAAAAAAACAAAAACAAAAAAGTTCCCCTTTTGAACAGACTAAGAAAGAAAGTGATCGATTTTTGAACCCGGATTCCGCAAATCAAGAATTGCTCGTTGTTAGCCAAGTACATAAAAAAGCACATGTTATGCAACAATCGCCATTTCCATAACGCGTTCTAGGCGCCAAAAGAAATGAAAAGTATGACGCAAGGTCAGGCGACGATTTCAGCTTCAGCTGCTCAAACTGGATTCCAGTTTTTTCTTTAATTTTTTGCCGTTATCGGCTTCTGTCTCTTTAACCGAAGAGTTTTTTTTTTACATTTTTTTTACTTTTGATTTTTGCGACCTTCACGTTCATTTTGCATCATCAACGAAATTTGCAAATTTTTGTGTGAATAAACGTGTTTTTTTGTTGTCTTTTATTGTTGCTGTTGTTTTTGTTTTGTTTTCTTTGTAATTAATAGGTACATAATGAAAGCTGTGCATCTTCAACATTTTGTATTTGATCAATTAGCGAGCACGATTTAAAATGGGCAACCAATCTTTGAAGGTTAATTTCTTACACACACATTTACATATGCATGTGGGAGATCGTATCTGTTTGAGTCTTTCTCTCTATTTCTCCCTATATAATGTGATTTTTGTGATGCTCAAACAAATAAACATTTCATAAATTAATTAGGCAAACAGACAAAACTATATACATACATAAATAAAAAAAAAAAGCTTCAAACTATATAACTAGTTCTGATTTGCATTGCTGACGTCAATATTTCCAAGCCGTTAAAAAGAAACTTGAATATAAATTGCTGCCTAGGCGAATAATAAATTGTAATTTATAGCTGATATTTTTGGTATCTATCAATAATGCGAGTTTGTTAAAAATACGCATTTATACTCAAACAAATAAAAATAATCTTTGCCAAAAATATATACATATACTCGTACGAGTATGTCTTTCTTATCATAAAATTAAACCATCCCCCCATGCGAATTAATTAAATTTGTTTCCATACTTTATTTTTACTTAATTTACTCTACATTGCATTCATTAATATAGAAAAACAAAGATTTTTGGACAACTTATTTAAAGTTAAGTCTTATTTTTCGATTTCCCTGCCTTCCAGATGTATAAAATTTAATAACTAATTTTAAAGCTTTATTTAATTCAGGCGTTTAGCGTATGTGTAATTGCATCATATATATTTAACTCTTTGTGGATTTCCAAATTGTTTGCTTACCGAGCAGCATCTGTAATATTTCTTAGAGTTGCATTTTGGTATCTCTGGCGTATTGGGATATTTGAAGGCAGTCGCTATATTGCATAAGTCCAGACTGGCTTGAGGAGTGCCTCGACTTCATTATCGAGGCTGAGTTGCGAACACGGACATAAAAGCCAGTACATTATTAAAATTTTTATTTTGATCTGCTTGCGGTTTAGTGTAAAGTGGGTCATTCAACTGAGTCAGCTGTCTGAATATACCCCAAAAATACTTAACAATTTGACTTGCAGGGGAACATTTTCCTGGTCCCCAGCCACATGCCATCTGAACAGACCTTCTGTGTGTTGGCTTCTATCCACCATTTGTTTAAACATTATACGACCACATATGAGCTGTTCTCTTAAGTGTTGGAGATGTTTTAATTTTTTAATTTGCTATGCTAAGCGAATTGAAATGAATTAATGAGCAGCATTTTTATTCAATCACTATTATAGTTTATGTCTGATATTATCTATGCGCTTTTTAGTTGCCTCGCTAATGAAAATATACTAAAATCATGCAATAATCCATGTCACACTTTAGTACAAAACAACTCTAAACAAGTTAGAGTGCTCTTGTCGAGACAGCACGACTAGGAGATACCGTGAAATCAGCTATAAAATATATATTCGGCTTGCACTTGCTTAACGAAATCTGTGCTTATAATCCGATATTAATGAAATTATTACAATAACATGCCAGATTATTATATATATAAATTATAAGGTATTATCTTTACAATTGTATCTATATCTAATGTCTAGCTTGTATAGTCTCAGAGATCGGATTGTACAGACGGAGACGGCTACTTCGACTCGGTTCTTGGTACTGATCAGGAATATATTTACTTTATAGGGACGGACAAACTGTCTTCTTTGTTACCTCTCACAACTTCATTACACATTTTTTGCGTTTTTAATAAATATTCAGAACTAGCAAACAGATGTCTTATTTTTACCACTGTAAAATATAACAGTTGTCAGCCTTTATAAATGTATGTACCTAAAAGTATGTATCCAAGGCTTAATATACAATGCTAAAATATCAAGATGATTTTCTACTTCTAGGCACAAAAACTTTGGCAAGCGCAAAACAAAAGACTTAGGCAACAAACTTGACAAGTTGTTTCCAATATTTTGTTGCATACTTTTAGGCAGCGACAACTTAAGAAGCAACAGCATTGTTGCTGTTTGTCGCTGTTTAGATGAGTAGTTCATAGTAGTTAGTATTTTCAATTTATATGCAAATGCAGTACCCGCCATCATACTCCTTGAACTTGACAGCAATTATTTAATGTACAAGAAAATAACAACTGACAGCACACCTGCGAGAAACACCACATTTGCACCACTGCATCCGGCAAGCGAACGCATATCTCAATACAGCTTATTAATGATGATGTAAAAACAATTTTTCCTCATTCCATTAAATCAACTCCGGGTCTTGCAACGGTACTTGCAATGTTTTGAGTGACAGCCCATCGATATCAGCTCATATTTCACATTGAGAATCCATTTATTAGGAAGCATCTCTTGATGCTGTGCGGAGAATTGTTTATTCTGTTGAGCGATGAGCAAGTTGTCAACCCACATTAATTTTATTTATGCTTTTATTTTTTCTTTTTGTAGGTGTCTGATTCATGTATAGTGATATTGCCACGAGCTATGCAAATAAGCAGCATAATGACAAGTTTGTGATAAATTAAATATTATTTATACTAGATTAGATTACGTTTGATTTAATGGGCAACGTGCTAATGCCCTGCGATGGGAATGATTTGAAAATAACTATAATAAATATGAGAATATAGGAACTGCATTATGAAGAAAACATGAAAAAATCCTTTATGAAATAATATATGAAATCATTCGACATGGATAAAACATTAATATCAAATATGGTAATAAAAATATTAAAAATATGAAAAATTAAAAATGTATCTTATTTCAACTCATATACAAATATTTGATTGAAAGTAAACATGAAAAATATTGAGATGTAATAGAAAGAATTTCCAATAATTGTAATACTTTTAAATTAAATAAACATTCAAAGTAATGATTATCACAATTGAATATTTTATATTCGTTTAATAATTCTTTCCAATATGAAATATTTCATTTAGAAAATTATAAATTGTATTTTCAAATTTGAAAGGACTCTACAACAAATATGCTCGAAGATTTATTTGCTGAACAAATAGCTTATTCGCTGACAATTTCTAAAATTAATCAAATAATCGAAAGTTGTGCAGCAAGCTATTTTTTTCTTTTCTAAAGGGTATCAGGTTAGTTCTGTCACACACCAAGTAGCACACAATGCTAATTCAAATACGTACACAGAGATAAAGCAGAAGCAACACACATACGTAGAGAGAGAAGCAATGACAAAGGCTGGTCCGCTGGCTCATCCCAGCTGAGTGTGCGGACGTTTGTTCAATGTTTTATAATGTTTACCAAATATTATTAAGTTTGTCAATTGGTCGCCGAACATCGTTGGGTGTGTTTCAACTCGTCGCTTGCTCAGCACTGAAGCGTTTTTGCCGAGAGACGCGTCGAATTCTTGAACTATTCTGCTCCGAATTTGTCAGCGCATTAATGTGACGCAATTTATTATATTAATAATAATATTCAAAACGCGCAGGCGTGTGCTAGTCAAATAAATTAACGAATTAATCGATTAAAAGAGATTAACATTTTTTAAAAATGCGGCAAACATTTTTAGCTATTAATTGTGCTGTAAGTTGTTAAGTGTGTGTTCTTTGAAGTGTGTGTTTTAATTTAATGGATTTATTTAAGCTGCTGTTGCTGCTGTGTAGCCATTGTGTCCTCTCTGCTACGGTGCGTCCTTATAAATTTGGATTTACCATTGAGGAGCAGCAGCATCGCCAAGAGAAGAGAGGTGAGTTTATATTTTGAGCGTTATTTCGTGTGGGGACAATCAAGGCTGCGAGCCGTGAATCCTGAATTCTATCTTAAACCAAACCAACTCTCCTCACGGAATGGAGTGGAAACGAATTCCATCGAACCAAACAAATTTGTTGATTATCCTTCAGTTTTAAAGTTATCATTAGTCAGATGTACGAGTATCAAACCGTTAACAAAACCATCGACTAATATACTCTAAATCAATTAATTATACCTTGAACCCATGAATAATCAAGAAGAAAAGCAAGGTTTGTTTTGCATATGATTGGCAATCCATGGATACGGAGCATTCATACTTGTACTTAAGGACTTTTATTTTGATTTGCTGGAATTATTATTATTGTTGCGCAATTGATTGACATCGTTAGAGATGCGTGGATGCAAATTGAGATGCGTCATTGCAATAATCATTAGCAGCTGAGAGCTGTCTGGCCACATGCTACAAAAAAGGCAATAACTTTTGACTTTTGTGCAACTGGCCCAGCTGCCTGTGTGTGCCACACAACTGCTGCCACAAGTGCCCCAACTGCTTTTGCAATAGCTCACAATACACGTTTGTTGCTGTTGTTTTTGCTGTTTGGTGTTGACACCCATCAGCGGGTCAATATCAATTGAAGATATTGCAAATTCTACAAGTCTCAGCTCGGCAATTAATGAAATCTCAACAGCGACTAGAATACAATAGTGGCAGCATCTTTTATAGCCATCAGGAATTGGTAATAAAATTTTCAGAAAACTTAAAGAGGCGCATATAATTATCATAACATGTAGAGACTATGAGTTCCATAGCGAGATGCCTTATTCTTGACATATTTATGGTTTTGACTCTTTAAGATCAATTTAAATGTTGTCTTAACGAATCGGCTAACATTTCAATATTTATAAGTATATGTTGCTTGGTATTGGTTTCGGATTCGGTTTAGGTTTCGGATTCTAGCTTATAAAATGCCAGAGTTGAAAGCATAAATATTAAGAAAACACTCAAATACGAAGGGGATGTGAGTAACTCAGGCAAAATTATTATTTTATGCATATTTTTTATAACTGGTTATTATTATAAAGTGCATTGTCTTTTGAGGAATAAACATTATTAATTCAGCTTTCGTTTTTTTCACGGGTTTTCTTGGTGAATTTTCATATTTAACTTCCTCTCATACTTAACTTCTTAATTTATTTTTCGAAACTAGTTTTCCATGGGTTATTCAAAAAATAAATATATTTAAAAAATAATTTATTAAAGATAAACATTATATATAATGTTTTTTTAATTGTTAATAAATATACGGATTAAAACAAGCCGAAATATTCTATTCGAGATAGCTCGACTGGATCATACCCTGCGCAATATATTCATTAATTCAGTTTTATTGAAAATCTTCCCCTTAAACGCCCTTGCACATTCATTAGGGATTTCATATTTATAATGGGGTGCAGAGTATCTTCGATCTAAATGAAATTGGTATCGTTGATAAAAAATATGCCTGCTTATGTTATTTACAATTGTGTGTCTATTGCAAAGTCATATAAGAACTTTTATGCCACTGAAGTCTCTGGCTCGATCTTAAGGTCTCTGAGTTTGCCTTGTTTATACAGACAGACAGAAGGTCGGACAGACAGATGGCCGGGGCTAGATTGACTCAGCTGATGATGCTGCTCAATAAAACATATTCTTTATCATTTTGTAAATACCCTTTTTATGGATTCTTAATGGATTCAGGGTATTAAAATAACACTTGCTGTTTCTATTGAAATTTTGTTTTCATTTTTGTTTGCATCGGATTTTAATAACAAAACACACATCAAATAAAATTAAAAAAGACAGCAATAAATACGTCACATTGGATTATTGGTATTAAAATTAAAATAATACAAACAATCGAAACAAGCCTTAAAAACGTTTAAATAAACGCGATTGAAGCGATAAGTTTAAATTCGAAACTTGTTTCAGAAGCCGCTCAAAAACCACAACATGTGCAAGATAGCTTCTGATACTGAGACTGACATAGCTACTGACACTGAGCCAGGTGCTTCACAGACAGGTGGGTGGTTATAGCAGGATGTTGACGACTAGATATGCCAATAATCTTTATGTGCTAAACATAACTTTTATTACTCATAAATAATCTCAATAATCTCAATACAAACAAAACAAAAAAAAAAAAATGCGCGTGTGACAAAAAAGACAGAAAGATGACAACAATGCCTAGCATAATCATAGATTATTAGATTTTAATCTTTATAGACGAAATTCGAGCGCCTGTTTGGCTGGTTTGAAATATGAAATAAAAAAACAAACTACAAAAAATCACCAAATGAACTAGTTGAATTTCAGCTTTAATAATGAAAGTTAAAAATTGATTTACATATATACATATAATACATGTTGGCCTTTTACACCATATTTTGTAGATGAGAATGGAATTGTTATGGGCGAGTTTGGTTTTATCACGGCCGATGGAATTTATCATGTAACTGTGTATGCCACTGATGAGAATGGCAAGTTCCACATTGTATCTATGAAAAACTATCCATATGCGGGTCCCATCGCCAGTAAGTATTCAAATATACACAATGCAATACACAACACAATACATATACGGTGATCGCTTGTAATTGGCTTTGTTACCTCAAATTATTATGTTCTTAGCACAACCAGAATTCTATCAAAAACAGGAAATCAAACAGAAAGTGAAACTTTTAACCGAAATTCGATATTCATTGATTTCTTGACAGGAAATAAAATCTTTCAATTCGATTCGGCCTGTAGAGTTGAAATGCAAGCGATCACCTTTTATTATATAAATATAATATATGTAGCTGTGAAAAATAATAGCAACACCCTCACGAGAAATGTCTTAAAATGTGTCTTTAAGTTTAAAAAAAAAATGATGAATACATTTTTAGAAGTGAAAGACTCTTATAAAATAGGGAGACAACAATTCATAATTTGTTCTCCGTTTTCAACGTATTTAAGAACTTGTAAATTAAATGAATAAAATAAACAAACAAAATAATAGCATCGCTTGGCAAATTACTAAAATTTCAATTATGAAAATGAGAAATATACAAAAACTTCATTCCTTATCACTTTCGACTATAATTTTATGTGTGCCCCACACAGAGTCGCAACCCGCAGCTGCAGTTGCAACAACGACACAGCGAACTAAAGCACCTCCAGCATCACAAAGGCCCAGTTTTAATACTGCTGCCTGTTCGGGCTGTTTTCTGCATCAAAATCCACCGGAACCGCCGGTAGCACCATCATCCTCAGTGGCAGGCGGCGGCAATCGCAGTCCCAAAACTGAGATACGTCCGCTGTCGCTGTCGCTGCCGATCGCCCCCTCTGGGCTTGGTAAGTTGGTCAATGCCGGAAGCGGAAATAGGCTCACAGTTATACCCAACACACAAGCACAGCCACTAACACACAGCCAGATTTTTGACAATGTTGCGGCACTGCAAATAGCATCCATTGATCTGGCAAATCGGCCAGTCAATCAGGGCACACCTGCAACGGCATCGCCTTCAACTTTACCTGGAGCGCCCGCAACTCCTGCCACTCCTGCAACAACAACTACTCCTGCTCCCGAGGAAAGTGAAATTGTAAAGAATGCAAAAGCGGTGGCCTTAGCTATTGAAATCGCTAAGGTTAATAGTCAGCTGCCCACGAGACCCACAGTTGCGCCCCCAACCACACCGCCAACCCCGACCACATTCAATCCCAATTTTGCAGCAACCAATTTGGAACAACAGACAAGGAGACCGCCAACATTTTCAGCTCCCAATCGACCCTTAACTTTAGAAGCTGCTCAGCGCATTAATGGCAATGTTGTGACCACAATGCAGGCAGTCACCTTTCCTGTAGCACAAGCCGTGGCAAGTGTAGTGAATCGCCTGCCGCAGGATAATGCGTTGACGCCCACGCCGCCGAGAAGGAATCGTATTACGGCTGCGTCGCCAAGTCAATTTCCTACGTTGGTTTCTAGTGCACCACCTAATACTACACAGACAGACACACAAACAATCTTACCAGCACACACACATATCGCAAGCCACACACAACCACTAAGTAAAATAACACATTAATCAATTTCATTTGGCTTAATTGCGGTTGATTAATTTGAATTTCTAACGTCGCAATTTGCAGTCGCTCAGCAAGGTCCACCACCATTCGTTAAGCCGAAACAACAACCCGGATTTAGCAGCTCACCCAGTTTCAAGCCATGTAAGTCGAGACACCCAACAAATCGTTCGTGTATATGCTAATTGATGTCGTTAAATATTCACAGCAGTTGGCAGCGCGGGGCAGCAGCCCGGATTTAACAGTTCACCCAGCTTTAAGCCATGTAAGTCAAGACACCTAACAATTCGTTAAACTCAACTAACAAACATTCGCAGCAGCTGTGACAGCAACGAACAAGCAGCAGCCACAGGGCCCCCAACAATCAACAGACAGCAGCAGCTTAGCCGGTTTCAAGCCAAGTAAGTCTAGACACCAATCAATTCGTTAATCTTAAATTAATGCTAGAAACATGAACAGCAATTGGCAACGCCGGCGCCGCAGGGCTACCAACTTCATCGGGAAATAAACCACAACAACAACGACCAATCAGCGGCAGTTTCCCAATACGTAAGCCAAGACACAAAACAAATTCGTTAAGTTTAAGAGCAGCAAGCATTTCTCTTACAGAATCGAATACACCAACCAAAACAGGAGCAGCCGCAGGACTTACAGGCGATCTGTACAAATTCAAGTATCTCTTGGATTACAACGGGCATGAGGAGACCGGCGCTCGCAATGGCGACAAGCAAGGAAATTACTTTGCAATTAGCGACGATGCCATTGCGCATACAGTTGAGTATATTGCCAATGAGTTTGGCTTCCAGCCCCATATTACCTGGCGCAAACTGGAGGGCAATGAGGCCACACTGCCCGATGAGAACACTCTGAAGCACTACGAGTTCAAGTGGTTTAATCAGGAATAATAATAATAAATGCTCTATAATAATAATTAGTAACTGCTGTAATTAAATCATAAATGAATGAATAATGAGCGAGAAATGAGCTTTGTTCTTGTTTTTCTTCTTGTTCTTTTTGAATTGGGTTTGTTTTTTTTTTATTTTTTTGTTTGAAGGTATTTCACTTAAATTCAACTTAAATCTTAAGGGGGACACACAATGTGGGCGTGGTGGTTGTTATCTATTTTACTTAGTTATATATAATATATATATATATATATATATTTATATATAATATTTGTTGTAAAGTTACATTCAGAATTTAAAAATTGTATACATTTAGATGTTGCATAAAGTTGCATACCTCAAATTACACACACATTTAAAAATTACATAAGTACATTTATAAGTATTCATAATTTTTTTAAATATATTTTCTTCTTTTTTTTTTTTTTTGTAATATTAAACCTGCGCCTAAAATTTCTAAATATTTTTGTATACACACAGAAGTTTTGTTTTAGAGACTTCTATTAAGATTATTTGTTAGTTAATGTGTTTAATGTGTATTTATGTTGTTCTTTTAAAAATTATTCAAGAGTTTTAACTGTACAATCAACTATCACAGTCAACCATATCGAACTGATAAAGAAAACCAAAAGTTTTTCTATTTTATTAAAGTTTTGCAAAATTAAGTTCAAAAACCAAAGGAGAAAGTGAAAAAATTACAAAGTGCTCTAAGCGAAAGTGCTCGACTAGCAGATACCCTGCACCAGAGTATGATCGTAGTAAGGGGCAAGTTCTTAAAGCCTCTTGATGTCAACGCTGCACAAACGGACGGCATACCCGATGTTTCTAGGGGGTACAGGGTATATTTTTATTCAAATTCAAATCAAACCAACTGGAAAACTAACGAACGCTTAGTAATATGCATTCTTAAATCTGAATATTTTATATATATATATATGTATTTATTTACAGTTCGCTGCCAACAAACACTAAAGAAGCGAAATCTATCGATGTTTATCGATATTTAAGTTAGACGTATTATCTACGCTGTATTTGTTATTGAAGAAATACATAGAATGAATGAAGACATTTGCTTATCACTTTCTATTAACAAGTGAGGCAAGTGTGCTAACAACAATTCAAAGATCGAAATATACATACATATATAGTGTACACATGCAAGAGTAAAAGTTTCTTACATTGATTTTTATACTCGAACAATTTGGGTAAGTGTCGCAAATTGTGTCATGTATTTCTTTTTTTTTTTGGAAAACTATTTGTTGTTGTTCGATTCTCATATGTATATGGGTTTAGAGTTAAGAGTTCAACTTACGACAACAACGTTAACTAAAATATATATATATATATATAAAGTAGTCTCACCCACTCACTCACACACACACTCACAAGCACACACATACATATACAAGTTTCTGTTCTTGGGGTTTTTTTCTGGTTCTTTCGCTAAGATTAAAATCGAATACGCTTTGCAAAAAGGATACAGATTGGAATCGGATTTCTTTATGCTGCATTTTCTTATTTTTCTACTTTCTCTTCTTCTACTTTTCCTTCTTCTGCTTCATCTTGCTCTGGTGGTGGTTTCTTGTTAACAGTTTAGAGTAAAAACGTCGCCGCTTGCTCGCCCTGCTTCATGTCCAGATAATCGTAGAGGCTACGCTCCTGGCCACTGCTGGCTCCATAATTGCCAGCATGACCAGGAGCAGCATATGCCAATCCACTGGAGTCCAGTCCGGAGTCTGCGGCGGGCGTGGCCACCGGTGGGGGCGGACCCGCACCCAGACTCAGACCGAACTTCTCCAGGTGGCATCATTTGAGCAGCGTTGGCAAACTGCTGTTCATCAAACGATTTCCGACCACAAGCGAGTTCAATGTTGAATTGCTGCCACCTACGCCCACGCCCACTCCAACGCCCATGCTCATGCCGTGGACACCGAGTCCAAAACCGGCGCTAGCATGCGATGGCGCCGATGCCAGATTCTGGCTGAGACTCGCCTCCAGTGAAGCGTTGCTCGATGCAAGATGCGATTGCGATCCATTTAAATTGCTATTGTTACTATTGTTGTTGGTGGTGCTGGTGGTGCTGCTGCCGGTGCCGGTGGTGGTGTTGTTGTTGCTGCTGATGTTGTTGTTGCTGCTGCTGCTGCTGCCGCTGGTTGTGCTGCCAAAGCCGCTCATCAGCCCAGCGCCGCTGCCAACGCCAACGCCAACGCTAACTGCGCTGCCTGCCGCACTGCTGACGCCGGCATTGCTCTCATATTATGATGGTCATGCGTAGTGCGGATAGGAGCTGAGGTGGGGCGCCACATGCGACGGCGTCACATGCCCCATCGAGTGCGGCTGATACAGATTCGTCGCCGGACTGCCCCAGTTGCCCCACGATGCTGCCGTTGGGAATATCGAAGCTGCAACAAATCAAAACAAAAAAAAAGGATCGCAGTTTACAATTAGCAAATGATTTCGATTTGAAGGTTTGCAGAAAGAGACAATATTCCCTTATACAAATTAAAAATAAAAATAATTTATTATATTTTTTAAGTTTATCCAATTTTATAAGCAGTCTACATTATCAAATAAATCTTTCACTCAATTCTTGATTAATAATTTGATTTGTTGCTTACCTGATGACGACGTCATGCCATGATGTGGACTCATAAAGGAGCTGAGCTTGGCGCTGTGATGATATGGGGTCATAAAGAGGTCGCTCTGATACTTGTAGGTGGGATCACTGGCCGCCGGCTGTGTGGCAGCTGCAAGGCCCTGGAAATCGAATTTGTACGCATACCGTTTGCCATGCACCTTGGTCATGATGTTCTTGTCATAGTAGTATCTATGGGGATAAGCCAGTTGGAAGACACTGTTACAAATGGGGGTTGCTTTTATGTGTATACGGTGGGAAAGTCAAACAAAAGACCGTGCTATAAATAATTACAAAATAATGCTCGCTTTATGCGTTTTAAGTTAATTTGCTGACATTAAGCGATTTTAGTGTTACGTCTTGCCAACACTTCTCCACCTCCCCCCGTATCGTTTCTGTCTCTTCCTACTCCTCTTACCACCCATCTAACTTGCCCTCAATCTGTGCCCTGCAATTAAATGGCAAACGCCTTGCTCAAACAGAAACTGAAACAGAAATATTTGTGGCACAGCACAAAAACCAAATTGTTTGGGCAGACAGCCAGAAGTCAGCAGGCGGGCCTCCATCAGGCGAGGATTGGTCAGGAGGGGGGGAGAAGAGAGGGGAGTGGACAACCGTGACCAAGACAGACGACTGTCTGACACTTTATTTGCTAGCACTAAACTACCCCACTTGGGCATTACAGAAAATACATTCAGTTTGCAGCATTCAGCAGCAAAATCAAATAAAAAAAACCCATTGGAAATAAATTTATTTACTCTATATCTATTACAAGCGAATGGGAACGAATGGAATACTCTAATGCCAGTGTTATACAGAATCATAATCATCATTATTTATTTAAAATTGCGGAAGATATTAAATAAATCAAATATCTGAAAGACATCATGAGCCAGAATTGATGTCTAAACACAGAAAAACTTAATTAAGACATATAATAAACGCATATTGAGTACGTTGGATATCTAGATATCTTGCTAAATCAAGAATATGCTTTCTTTGCCAGCTATATGATATAGTAATCCGATCCGACTTAAATATGAACTATTTAGCAAAGGGACGGATGTATGCCAAGTCTCTTGGAAGTATCTTTAAAACTGAACTGAACTAAACACATATTTTCTTCTTTTAAAGATTACATAATTATTATATTATTTCCTTTATATTATGTGCTGGTCAGAATGGAGTTTTTTCAGACAGCTTTAATGATTCAATTTGCACTTTAGTTACGCGTATTTCTTTCATTTTATTGAGCATATCGAATTTTTGATTCTGCGCTTTTGTTTGACTGCAGACAAAAACAGAAAAGTAAATTCATTTAAATTTCAATGCTCGCAGTATTTTTTATTTTATGTTATTGGTTGGAATTGGCCATAAATTATGCCAATTAATGGCAAAAATTAAAAAGGCCAACAACAAAAGACAAAAGCGATGCGAATTCTTTCTCACTCTCTCTCTCTCTCTCTCTCTCTTTGTCTGTCTCTATCTCTCTTTTTCTGTTGGGCAAACAATCAGAACCAATCAATGGCTGATGAAAGCACACAATCAAGCAAGGACAAACAGTAGCGGGACGAAAAGGATTAAAGTAAAAGCCATTTAGCTATCTGTGTATTCGCGTGTGTGTGTGTGTGTGTGGACAACAAAAGGGCAGCTGGCTGTGAATAAACAAGGCAAATGAAGCATTAAAGCACTTGTCCTTGCTTGTCTTCGTGTGGCAAGGATCCACACATGGGGCAGCTCACTTTTAATTCACGCCCAACACACACACAATATATGTGTGTAGCATACTTTACAGTGCTTCTCATTTCTTAGCACACATGAAAGCAGAAACGACGTTCAATTGAGTGTGGCAAATAAGAAGAAATGACAACTCGACTATGAGATATCCTGTAAATACTTAGCATGTTTACTGATCATAATTTTATTGGCATGAAAGCACGTCTTGGTTATCGAAATCAGTGTTTCTGAACGGTTCTTAACGAAACTTTTACAGTTGGTCGACAACATGTCCGGGTATATTATATATCAATTGTAAGGTTGTATATATGCACCCGTATTATTAAGTGCTGTCGGAAAACGATTCGTATCGATATCCGGTAAACGGTGTTTTCGCTTTTTTTTCTTTTTAAATTGTGGAAAAATGAACCCTGAAGTTGAGAAATGATAAACCCTGGTTTATGGGAATATACTTTCTGAATAATAAGGTGAATTTCTAAAATTCAAGGCGATGTTTTTCTGAGTGCTCAACTTTAGTAAATGCTCTATTCCATTTCTTATGGGTTCAAGGGTATAAAAAGGATAACACACACAGGCAGACACACCGACGGACAGACAGATAGATAGGCAGGCAGGCAGGCAGTCAAAGGACGTGTCGAGGCTTCCGCACATCATCATCATCATCAACACCAACAACAGCAACAAAGGGCTTTCTTTGTTGCCGCTTATTCAACATTCTTTTTTACATTTATTTACATGTTGATTTTGAGCCTGTGTGTGTCAGTTTGTGTGTAGTGTGTGTGCTTGTGTCTCTTTGCAAATTGGCTGCCAGGGAATTCTTCCACTTGAATTGTCAGCTTCTCCTTCATTGGCACTCATTGGCCAATGCCTCGCCTGATTGCAATTGACAGCTTTTTTCGAGCAGATAGAGAAAGAAAAGGGTTGAATTATCTTTAAAATGCTTTTGCTGCTGATGTTTGCTTAGCAAATTGACCGTTTAGCAAATATTTAAATAGTTGTGCATATGTTTCTGGCAGCTAAACGCATACAGCTAAACCGTGAAGCAATTGACCAGCCAGCACTTTTTGACGGGGGTTAGATTAGCCAGCAATTCGATTGCACAGATTTCACGTTTATTGGGTTTAGTTCTCTGATTACATTTATGAGAGCAGAAAACAATTTCAGCTGAACGGACACGCCCACCTGCTAGTTACATAAGCGTAGAGCATGGAGCAATATCTGTCTGATTTCCTGAACTTGATTCTGTATCTTTTTTTCTTTGGTTTTTCCGTCGATAAATGCATGCTTATATTGTATTTTATTTTCAATCAATTTTCTAAGCATTTTGTGCGCATTTTGTGAGTGAATTGTCATCAAAGCGACTAATCAGCAAACAAATCGAATTGAATCAATCGATAATGATTAGCACAAATTGCACACATGCCCACATTTTGCCTATAACCCATATAGATATATATATATATAGGAGAGATTAATGCTCGTGCCCTTGACCAATTAGCTGGCACCAGAAAACCACCCCAATTAAACACAAATCTGTCAGCTGTCAAAAAAGAACAACAAATACTAAGAAAAAAACAAACTAACCTTAAGGCGCGACTTAATTTGTCGTAATTCATATTCGGTTTGGATTTGCGTTCGCCCCAGCGACGGGCGACTTCGTCGGGATCCGTGAGCTTGAATTCGCCGTTGGTGCCCTCCCAGGTGATGCAGGCGGCATTGTTGGAGTCCGACAGCAGCTCGAGCAGGAACTGCCATAATTGTATCTGTCCAGAGCCTGCAAATAGAAAATATATTCATATATATAAATATATATATGCAAACTGAAATATTCGTATATAATAGAAATATAAAAGCATTTTAATGCCAGTGTTTTGCCTGCCTAAATGTCCGTCAAAAGAGCATATCCTTAAGGCAGGCTTGGAATTATGTAACTCTGACTGCTTTGGCTGGTTATGGCCCCAAACTAAGCATTTTGTGGCATGCAAAAGTGCCATAAAGCATTTCCGACACGCCAACAAAGACGAAGACGACGATGACGACGATGACCTCTTGACCGTGAGGGGCATCTGTGCTTGCTACTGGCTACTTGCCACTTTTTGGCACTATGTATTTACTCGATAAATTTACGGCAACTCTCTTATGGAGTTATAGGCGAAGATAACGGCATCGGAAATATAATTGCATTTAAGTGAAATGTAAGACAGATATCAGAACTATCATAGATACACCAGAATTCAGGGGGAATTAACATAAGGATAAACAAAAATGAGATCGACTATTAACTTTAACAAGCACATGTCAAACACAAATACAAAGCCTCAATTAGTTAACGATAAATACAATTCCTGAATTCGCTGAACCATTTCAAAAATGCGCATCTTCAGTTGATCTTTGACTTGTGAGCAGCACAAATCAAGAACCAAATGTCGTCACGGTCATTATGCAATATACATAGATATAGCAAAATTCTTTGATTTTCTTTTGTGCGTGATAAAACATTTACAAAATTATTATTGCGCATTGTGCGAGGAATTCGGCACGCATTCAACGCAGACATCATAAATCGCTTAATCATTTGGCAATTAGGCCCAGCCCCAGGGACAAAGTCTCTACATCTCTCTCGCTCTTCATCTCTGTCTCTCGCTCTCTCCCTCTCTCTCTCTCTCTCTCTCTTACACAGACACAGCAGTCAGACTGGAGTGGGTGAGTTTGGCTTACAGGGGATGAAAAACCCTGACAGACAGTCCTGGGAAGTTGAAGTTGAGCTTTCTTTCAGTGGTTGATGTTTGTTCATGTGTGAGAATGAATGTCATGAATATTGCGTTAATTGCAAATCATGGTCAAGAGAATGTGTTAAGTGCCAACACGACCATGATGACGATGATGACAGCAATGAATGATAACTCATCCAGTGGGTGTGTGTGTGCCTTGTGTGTTGTGTGTGTGTGTGTTGTGTGTGCATCCAAAGGCGTGGCAAAATAATTGACACGCTATTAAGCCAAAACAATAGGCTAAGGTGTCCTTTTACAAGGACACGAACAGCTAATGGACATGAACTTAACATGCAGTCAAGTTTTTTCTAACTCAACTTATTTGTGTTGTATTCTATTCCAAGCTCCATGCAGAATTTATATGGCAGTTGCCTACTAAAGGTAAACTAATATTTAATCTTTTCTAATATACTTTTTACTATCGGGAATAAACGTTTTTTGTTATTTAACTTTCCAGACATACAACTAGTTCACCAAATATACAAATGTAATCTTTCTAAAACCATCAGAAGATCGTGTTGAAACCTCTCTTATTTGTTAATCTAGCATTACGAAAATTTCTCTGAAATTGTGCTTAATCTGATTTTAATGATAATGCGTATCTTCAAATCGAGCAAACTCTTATTGCCTTTCGCATGCATTTTTATGGCATGGCCAATTTAGCAACAAAAGGCGTTGAGTTTGCCACTAAAAATGTTAATTTGATATACTATAAAAAGAACAGCGCCAAAAACACAACTAATTAGCCCAAAGAGCTTTATTGCTTTGATGTTCTGCCGACTGAAGCTGCACTTGGAGGCAGCAAGTTTTTTATTTTTGTATTTTTGTATTTAATTACAAACAAGTTTTGTGGTTGCAGGCAATTATGTCACGACTAAAAAACGCCTTGCTAGTTTTGAGTCTTGTTCGGATTTTTTTTTGGGTTGGGTTGCATGCCCACGTTGCAACTGCATGCAAATGAGGCAAGCTGGCAAGGTGGCAAGAGGCAAGAGTGCAGCTTGAGACCGGACTTGGCTAACAAAGCGGTTCCGTGTCCAAAGGAAGCCATAATTAATCAAAAACAGCATTTTTGCCACCCAAAAAGCGAAAGCGCAGCTCCCTCTGTATGTGTGTGTGTGTGTGTGTGTGTGTGTGTGTGTGTGTGTGTGTGTGTGTGTGTGTGTGTCTGTGTGAGTGTGTGTGTTTGCCAGTGAGCTTTTGCGATTAACTTGAAGTTGAAGTCAAGCGTCCAACTTGGTAACTTGGGCTAAACTAAACACAGCACAGAAAGAGACAGTTACACAAAATACTGGAATAGAGAGAGAGAGAGAGAGAGACAGAGAGAGGGAGAGAAAGAGAGAGAGGGAGCTTGGGATGGGGTTGGGGAAACGGGGAGAAACGGAGCTCGGTTCGTGTAAATGTCGCGCCGGAAAATGTTGGGCGTCTGGGTTTTTATGCTAATTCCGTTCAAACGCCATGTTTGGGCGCCGTTTCCAATGGGAGGAGCTGCCGGTGGGGAGCCTAGGTATGGTTTAAATGGGGGCGGGAATGGAGAGGGGGTTGCCGGCATTGGTCAACAATGGCGGCAAAGCTCATCCTGCCACAGGATCAATAAAAATTATTGATTTTATTCGACAAACTTTCGTTGCCGGGGCATGGAGCAAGTTTCACTTCAATGTGGCCACATTTTAGCTTGTGCCAATTGAAATTGAAACATTTTTGTAGCAAGGCAAATATTACTTTTTATTACCTGAAGCCATATTAAATACGAAAATATGTAAAGTAAAGTGGACATATATATTTCTTTAATCAGCATGAAAAGCCTATACGATTTAACTATATTCCTAGCCGATCTCAGAGGCTATAAGAGCTAGAGACTTCCAAATTTGAATCTTTCTTTAATTGAGAACTACTCCCGTTATGCGACTATCAATACAAATCGTCATCGGAGAGCAAAGAAATTCACAATTGTAAATATTTTGGATTCCAACCAATATATAAAATATACCCTGATAAATTATTGATCAACTATAAAAATTTCATCAGCATTTTCATTTGGAACAAACTGCAATTCTTGTTATTTACAACTACAACTATTTTGTTTTAATTACTTAACAGATATTTTAGGATCTCAACTATAGAATTCTAACTGCTAATATTATAGACAATAGAAGCATATATTATCTTTTAGTATCTTTTAGTCGTCCTCTCTTCAAAGAGACATTCTAATTTGTTCAACTCAGTTGAGCTTTAGAAATATTTATCTGTTAATATTGTAGACTACATAAATATATATTAGGTGTACACAAGTTAAAAGAGCAGTCCGAGTTCGCATCATATCATAAAGCAAGAAACGCATTTCTCATTGTATTTTTCAATCTTCGTTTTTGTAGATGGGAACATTTATGAGTTGAATGCGAACAATTAATCATAAGCGATAAGTGCACACCTACTTTTAACCCTTTTCTAAAACGCGTGCACAGCTTTTTACTTTTGATATAATATTGTAAAGTCAGTTGCTTTTTTTGTTTTTTTTTTTTTTTGGGCGCGTGCTGAACTCTCGCTTAAAGTCAGAGAAAATAATTGCCTGGCCACGCCCACTTTTGGCAGGCGCTTTGCGCGCGAATAGTGGTAATAAATTTTCGAAAAAACACCTTTCGCATAAATTAGAAAAGCCCGTTTCAAAGGGTGTTCAACTTTTTTTCTATTTCTTTTATTTTTATTTTTGCTCTCTGCATTCGCATGCAATGGGTTAATTTGTTAGGGTGCAGTCAGAGCCAGGACTCGAGGCGGTGGCGAATGACTAACTTCCAGCCGAATCTCGGCCAGAAATGGATATGATAATGAAATGCAGCAGATACGAGAAAAGCGAGTCGGGCTGTGGTCGGGGGTTTCTATAATCGAGCTTAATCTAAGCACCTGTATCTTTATGCTTTTGTGATTTTTACACACTCACCTGAGCTGGCCAGTCTGCTGCTGGTGGCTCCGAACATTTGATATGGATCTAGAAAGAGAGAGAGAGAGAGAGAGAGATAGAGTGAGAGGGGGTGGCAAAGACATTAGTTTTTTTCGTATGCAAATGTTAATGAAGGACCTGCCAAAACGGAATACATTATATACACAAATATATATATCATGAAGGGGAAGCAGAAGTAGAAATATACGTGAGCAAGTTGCGTTTCCGCTGTTGAAATGAAATGCATTACCAAAACTGCACTCACACATGCATGCATCTGAAGCAAATGTGGTTCATTTGCGCGCGATTGTCGAGCACACACTCACACACACACTCGCACTCACACACACACTCACACACATAAGATTTCTAGCCGAATATCCATTTCACTTATTATCCGGCGCGCGTTTCCTGCATGCGGCAAAAAGCTTAGAGCAGTTCTCAGGCGCTGCGCCAGTAGCCAAAGGTTAACGGTAATCGCACAGATGAAAAACATGAATATATATCATATATATAGCATATATGCTACACTCGCAGTAAAACATATATTTCATAGAGCTGAAGAAATCGCCGTAGAGTAAGACAACTCCAGTTAATCTTTTTGTCTTTTCAATTATCAATATTATTTGTAAATGGAAAATATTCATCAATTTGTCATTGGCATTACTAATACTTTGAAACTATTTATTTTAATTTGTATCTATTATATTATTTCTACTTGTAACACATTGAAGAAGACATCTGCGAATCCACAAAAAAAAGTATATTCTTCATAGAAGAGCAAGTATTTAAGTAATATGGCATAGGCTAGAAGAGCTAGTCCAGGAATTCAATTACAGATATATAGTCTGGTCCACTTTTGAGCATACTAATCAATTAGTTATATAAAACAAAGCTTTAAGTAACCTTATGTCTTACAATAAGTACATTTGTTGCTGTATCTTATTACTATATCATATAGCTGACATAGAAACAATCGTTCGATAGATGAGTGTTTGCAGGAAAACTTCTTGTTCACCAAGTTATGCACACCAACCTCGTCAGATATGCTTTTCCTATCATAACATCAGAATTGATAATATATGAAAACTATATAATATATTGGTTATATAGTTTTCATTGGCACAATCTTTGACACGTCTAGGAAAACAGTTCTTTTTCTAGCTTTGGTTGACAAATGTTTTCGATATTTAGCGTATATTTTGTTGAGAGGCATTGTAGGAAAATATATAAATATATATATAGATATGTATATATACATATGTATATAAATGTAGCTGCCGCATCAGTGCGCATTGTTTTCTCTTGGCTAGCCATGGCTCCGGCTATTGTTCTCAATTTAATGCCCCGAATAAACAGGAGCGCCGGCAATCGCTCTGAGCTGGCACGCGTCTTATTCATTCACGGCCGTCAAATTTGACAGCAACAAAAAACAGAGAAACAAAATACAAAACACGACAAAAAAAAATCAGAAAGCAAGCCAAGTTCTCGGCTTCGCGTCTGGGCAAGACTCTAATTGAGAATCCTTTATGGTATTTCAATTGTTTCCATTACGCTTCAATTCGAATGCGACGAATACGAATGTGAATACGAATGTGAATGCGAATGCGAACGTGAATACAAATGTGGCGCACTTTTGTTTCCATTACATTTGAAGTGGCGTATTTAAGGATTTGATTTGCGACAGTATTTTTCAGCGCGGGGTTTTTTAAAGCACACTCCGACTTTTGAGTGGTGGACGAATGCATTTGAGTCATGAGTGGTGGTATTCGTTTCAGACCCCAGCCCGAAAAAGCTCGAGTGCCACTCTTGCAACGTGTGCACATTTCAATGACGCAAACTTTATTAGTGTTGGTAAACAGCAAACAGCGAGCAGGCAAAACTCTATTTATGTTTGGATTTGGGCTAAACAATGCGGCACACGTGAGCTGAAGCACCTTCTCTTAATATGCCTCTAATGGATGCAACAACATCAAACATCGAATGCCACTCAGCGTGTTTGTGTTTCTTTTTACCTAGCTACAAATACATTTTGATATATTACTCACCAGGTTGCCGTAGTTGTGTGTGCGGATCATGTTTGATGCTCAAGGCATTCGAGCTGTAGCCTAGAAGAGAAAAGAATACAGTTTGAACACTTTTCGAATGGAAATCAAATAAATATTAAATATATTTTTAACATGGTGGTAAGTTCTTCCTGAATAATAACTAAAAGTGAAATTGAAAGTAGAAAAGGTCACATTTAGTCAAAATTTGATTTCAAAATCTGAAACGATTAGGCTGTATAGATTCGCATATGATTAAAAACTCTTTGGGGATTATGATAATAGTAATGATGAAAGGTTTGACGATTTTGGCGATCTTATAGAGACTGCCTTGAAAACGAAGAGACTCGGGAACACATTCTGCAAGATAATCCGGCAATGAGCAGACTAACCGCAACGCAGGGTTCTACATCCTGAATGATAGTGAAATTATTGCAAAAAAGACACTGAGCAATGACACTGACTATAATAACAATAATATTGTTTCTTAAGCAAGATAGTTTTATGCTGTGCAAAATCAAATATATATTCTGAAACCTTAGCTCTTCAAGCTCGAAATCACTTCATGCTCTTCGTCTAATTTTAAGCGGTTCTTAGCTCGTTCAGCTGACAGCAAATGCAACAACTTTCTATATAAGTAAATCCCTATTAAGGGATGCGATCCGTTTGCTAATTGCCAGTTGACAAGTGTTGGATGGAATAAATCTCATTCTGAGGCACTCAGGCGTAAAGTCAACGAGTTGGTTGTCTGTCTGCCATACTAAACACTTGTCCCTTTTAGTGCACAATCAAAGGCATCAAAAGACATCAAGTCAACCGCAGCACACCAAAAACATTATCATAGTTCTGTCATCAAAGCCAAATCAGAGCCTGAGGCGAACTAAGACTGAGTCGGAGACTGTGATATGAGCAACGCGGCAGGCTCTTTCATTTTAATGGAATATGATTGTGTGGCAGCAAAACAATGCCGCGGGCAATTCAATTTAAAATGTGAGAGAGGAGAGCGAGAGAGAAGAAAGGGTGTCAAAAACGTTGAAAGTTGTGGCAAACTTCACGCTCCATACCAAATTAAAGCCGCAGGCAGCAGCCAAAGGACTCGACATGGGCTTCGGCTTCGGCTGAGTGGTTCTACACCACCCGCTGTTGTTTTCGTTGTCACTCATTGTGCACAGAATATAAAAAATGAGACGAGGAGGAAGCCAGTGATAAAGTGGGCAGAGGGGAATATCTAGAGAGAGAGAGAGAGAGAGAGAACTTTTCTATATGACATTTTTTGGTTTTTAACGCTTTTGTGTGGCCACTCAACTGCGAAGAGCACAAAAGATGCCCGATTGCATTGTAAATGAGGTGGGGCAAGGCGAGGTGGGTGGGTGCTTTGATTGGGTGTGTAGTTAGGTGTTAAGCACAACTTTAGCTGGCAGCAAAAAACACATTCAGTCATGCTGAAATTGTCAGAGATTTTTGAAGAACCGATCGGTGAACTTGATGGGGTGTTTTTCTACACTCAGAACAAAAATCATCGTTCAAATTGATAATCGCCATAAAATGAAGTTGCACTTAAAACTATAAAGTTTTTCTTGTTTGCATTTTTTCTTAAATTTAAATAGGTTTGCCGTAAGATAAGAAATGTATTTCTAAAAAGTAGAAAGGCAGATCCTAACTTTAGAAATATCTTTTCTAAAATTCAGACTCAAGGAACCAAAATGATAATATAAGAATTCTGCTCGCCGATGTACAACAATAGAAAACATGGCTCCGGAAATTAGACATACCATTTCTTTTTTTTAGAAAAATCCAACCTGAAATTAAGAAATTCAAACACTGTGTTTTAGATAGACATTCACTATCTGAATAATTACAAAACCCTTGCGAATTTCTAAAATTCAGAGAGTTTTTTATTGCTGAGTGCTGAGTGCAACAACAATTAAGTGTTTTCCCAACAACTAGAACTAATGAGCAGGATACTCTCTCACAATTCAACAGCCCCTCAATGCATGTCTACACGCTTCATTTGACACCAACAAGGAGTTGAAGGAAGCCTGTTCCAACTGCTGCCGCCTGTCTGCTAGCAGGACAACAACACGTGTAGGCAACACCTTTTCAATTTTACTTTTCCATTGATAGATTGAATGCCATTTGGCATGCTTCATTGGGCATCCTTCCCCTCTCCGCTTGTGTGTATGCTAATGTGCACAACATGTATTTGCATATTTATTTATTGGTTTTGCAAGTGATTTTTGTTTGCATTTGACTTGTGGTTAACAATTTTCCTATTCATTTTTGGTGTAGCTGAAACTTTTTGAGCATATCTCTTTTGATTGGCCATCATTCAAACTTTTGCAAGTTGCAAAGTATATTAAATATCATTTTTAGAGGCATGCGCTATGAATCGTAAAGAGCAGAAAATATGCTTTCAGAGCAGCAATATTCTCCCAACAGAACAGACAACATTTCTCAATAAAATGAAGCACAAAAGTATTGGATCACAGATGCTCCACTACATTAAAAATAGATACCCCCATTAATAAATACTCCTAAAATCTATCTTATATCTTTCCAACTTTTCTTTAACAACAAGGAAAAATAATCAGAGGGATATATTAGGAGATTGCTTGAAGTCTCTATCATAAGTAATGCATGAGATGCTTGATTCTGGCTGTTACATTATGAAATGCAACTGAGAGCTAGTAAGCTGAAATCATAGAATTAATTATTCCAATCAACTTCGTATTTTTTAAATCGTCAAAGAATCGATTTGAATCGTCCTAGAATAACACTTTGAGGGAACAACTTTCACATGAAAATCTAGTCAGAATCGCGTTTCCTACTTTGAATGTGGTATTTATCTAGAGATCAAACTATGATCAAATAGTTTTTGAAAGTCGATTTAGGTTTCATACCGCTTTTCTTTCAACTTTGAATATCGAATTAAGAAAAGAGTCAAACCAATATCACTCGTTTCTTAAAATCATTTGAGCTTTGATGCTTTTAATATACTTCATTTGATAGACAACATTTTCAACTCACCTTGCGATTGTGCGGAGCTGTGGGAGCCCCACGACGATTTGTACGAGGAATCTGCAAGTAGAAAAATATCGAAGTGTGAGAAGAACTCTATATGAAAAATAGATAAACACACACATAAAATAAATATATAGCAAAGAGATGTAAGGAGGGAGAATAGAGTTGAGTTTTGAGCGTGTGAAATGTGATTTGAATATTACAATTCAGGCTTATGCATATTTATTTATTTACTTGGATTCCACGTGGGATTGCCAATGACCGCTGGTGGCCGGCTGGACTCACACATTGCCCACTCACCTGCGAAGAGCATTGAGAAGTTGCTAAAGCTGCCCGTGGAGCGTGACAAATAATCAGCGGACGACTTGATGTCGAGCATTGTGTCGGCAGCAGCGTCGGCAACCGCCGGACTTGAAACCGCCGGACTTAAAACCGCCGCTTTATATTAAATTGTTTTAAAAGCCGCCGCCTGTTTTTTTATTTTTTATTTTTTATGTTTTTGCTACAGCAGAAGCTCACTCAATTATTGGTCGCGTCGGAAACTAATAAACGGCAGACAGAAACACACACACACACAGTTTATCGGGCAACTGGGCGCTGTTCCAATCCGTAAACCGTTTGAGAATTGCTTTAAAAAAGTCAGCGGCCGGAAAACGGAACGGGAAAAGTGACGATCGGAACCGGTTACCGTTTACCGGACACCTCCACTTCCGGTTACGGAGAGCTAACCAATGCACTTTGGACTACAACTGATTTATATGTGTCAATCTCTGAGTGTGCTGGTGTTGGTGTTGGTGTGTGTCTAAATCGCGTATACGCAGCGTAAATCACTTTCACAAACTGTGCAGCAGAGAATCAAAATGAAGTGTGACACCGGATTGCGTCCGATCTGTGGCACGGCAGCGTAACAATTGATTTCATTCCGTCGTCATCAAATCGCGCATATCCTGAACTGAGAGCTGACTTGCCCAGCAAACCCAGCAGGCGCAGCAAGACCAACTGGAATCCACCCAAGCAACCCACCCCCGCGGAGAAAGGGCGCAGGCTCGGCCCAGTGGCTGGGCGGGTGGTGGTGGTGGTGTTTTTTGGGGTGGTTGCGCTGCCTTGAGTGGGTGGTTTAATGCTGCCACTGCCACTGCTACTGCTGCTGTTGCTGCTTTTGTGTATCTATCTGTCTGGGACAGGCTGCTGCTGCTGGCTCTGTTTGACAACGACGGCGCTGCCGTTGTCCTTTATGCGCGCCAGGATATGCTTGGGTTTATAATCCACACACACACACACAGAGTACAGCACAGCAAACCACCCCTTTTTCTGCCACTGCAGCACCAATCAGAGCTGAGACAAGGTGTGGCCTAGCATTTCACACACACTCAATACACACACACACACAACACACACAAACTCATTACACTCTCTCTCTCTCTCTTGCGCTATAAAAGCTCTTTTTGCAAATGGCTTTTGACAAACACAAAACACTTTTTGCTTTTAATTGAGAAAACTTGAAAGTACCTTTAAATTGCAGTTTGATTTTCGAATGTAAAAACAATAAATAAATCTAAAATGCAACTCCTTTAATTCTATAGTATTACTAACAAACTATATAGCTTTATACGCACTATCGATCATTTTTACACGCTTTACTCCCCCTCCCTCTCTCCCTCTCTCGCCCTCTCTCTTTCGCTCATTTTGTAGGAGTTTACCGTTTCCACTTGAAATCAAGCTGTAAAACTTTTCAGCTTGTAGGCAACACACTCTCTCTATCTCTCTCTCGCTCTCGCTGGCACGCTTGTGTCTATTGCTGTCTCGCTCGCTTAGGCACTCTCTCCTTGTTTGCGTTGCTGGCAACGTCAACAGCAGCAACAGCAGCAACAGCAGCAGCAGCAGCAACTGAGAAGTGGCGCTGCCTTTTTAGTGGGTGACACACGAAGCAACAAGGACGGATGTATTATCCACTTCCTTTTTCCTTCCACCAAACACAAGGATATTACCGTTTCGTCGTTCGTTCGCCTACATATTTTAGCCAAGCTACACCCACAAAACGCCAGCGCATCAGTGTGTGTGTATGCCTATATGTGTATTGGTGTGTATTGGTGTGTGAGTAGGAGGCTTCGACTTGTGGGGGGACTAGGGGTAAACACCTGAAAACAATGACTGTGAGATTGGAACGGGGTGTATGTCTATGTGTGTGTGTATGTGTGTGTGCGTGTCTCTGTGTGTGTTTCTTGTGTGTGTGTGTGTGTGTGTGATTGTGTGCAGTCATTCAAGCTGCTTGTTGTGCGCCTCAAATCGACAATAGTTGTTGCCCCGCTGATTGCAAAAAGGTTGGTCGTTAACGTCGCAGTCGCAGTCGCCGTCGACGTCGACGTCAACGTCAGCGTCACTTTAGCTGCTCAAGTGCAACTTTTTGCCAGCTCTGCTGCAAGGCTATGCAAAATATTAGGTACACACACACATACACACACACACACACACAAACTCGTGACCCCTTTTTTACTGGCTTAATTAATTTTTGAGATCATTGAAATTGTTTTTTGTTTTACATTTTGCCCAGCGCACAAACTTCATTTCAGCATTTTAGACTAATATAGCCGCTGGCTGTGTGTATGTGAGTGTGTCTGTATGTGTGTCTGTGTGTGTGCCTGTGTGTGTGTGTGGCTGTGTGTGTGTGCCTGTGTGTGTGTGTCCGTGTGTGTGTGGCTGTGTGTGGGTGTTTCTCTTTTTGGGCGTGAGGCGTCAACTTACAAATTGCAGCTGCTCACTCAAAGCGAAAGCTTTTTATACAACTATTTTTCTTCTTTTTTTGTTGTGCAGCTAAAAACAAATTTCGCTTTTCGCAAAAAGTTGCAAACTCAAGGCAATATATGTGTTAGTATGTGTGTGTGTGTGCTGCAATTGCTTTACTTTGACAAGCAGTTATTTAATAAAAGTTATCTGGACGGAGCGACTTCTTCTTGAGTTTGACGGCAGCCATTTACCCAGCTCAAATGCACCCACAGCCAGCAAGGGTCGCTCTGTAAACTCTTTTAAAACCTTTGCTGGCCATATTTTAGTTATATTAGTCTGTAATATATTTATTGAGACAGAATTTTTACATGTGTTTGGACCAAGAATTCCACCGTGCCCAAACCGCCATTGCTTTTCAAAATCGGATTAAAATTGACAAAGTTATAGCTAACGGAAATTAAGTCTACGCATTAAGTCTTTAAAATTTGTACATGATTTTCGACTCAGAAACACATTAACAGATTTAAGTGTGCGATTAATCTAGAGATCAAACCATTTCCAAAAAGCACCTACTTTTGAAAATCGGTTAAGTTTTAATAAAGTTATGACTTTGGAAAGTTTAGAGCCGTCTTTAAATGATATTTTGGGTTATATTTCTTAATCGATTTTCCACATCTTTTCATTTAAATGTAGTCTTAAAGTAAATTTTAAGTCATTCATAAAAATGGCTTCTATTTGAAAATCTGTTTAGTTTGGATTGGAATAGATTGAGAAATAAATGGAGAAAAGCCAACTTCTAACTTTATAAACGACCCGCTTAACTGGAATACATTTCTGTGTGTGTGAGTGTGTGTGTTTCAGTATATGTGTGTGTGAGTGAATGGGTGTATGTGTGTAAGCCAGTGCTAATGGAATCTAAAATGGCTAAATAGCAATTTGCTGTTTCTTCGCAAAGGGCAAAGGCGCAGGGCGGCGCAGGGGAAGCTGAAATGAAGTTAACTTGGCTAAAATGTTTGCCCCATTGCCTCGCTCGGCTTGCTCTCAATCTGTGTGTGTGTGTGTGTAGGTTGAGAGTGTTGGGTGTGCAAAATTTTAGTTGGTATTTTAATTGCATTCATTATGTAATTAGATTTTCACGCTTGTGGCGAAACTTTAAATTAATTCCTTTTGTGCCACGGTTTCCGCCATTTTCCAAGCAACCCCCATTTCCGTTTTATGAGGGGGATGTGAGGAGCTGGGGGCGAAGCTATTTAAGCCGCGGTTTGTAAGTCGCCCAGCGAGCAACGCCTACAAAAGCCAAACTGAATACTTTGAGCTCAAAAACTATAAATGCGTCATCCACAAAACTCATACCCCAAAACCAATTGTTGTTATTGTTGCCAGAGAAGTCAACGGAGCGTCAAGACAAACATAACACGAGAAAGAAAAAAAGGGGGTGGGCGGAGGGGAATGCGGGGAGTGTTGGGGGGTGTGTCAGACAGGGAGCATATTGTCTGGCTTGGGCAACCACCAACAACATTTGCGATTGTTAATAAGAAACGCAATCAACACTGCGATTTGTTTTCTCAAGCTCAATAAAGCAGTGCAAGAGAGCGAGAGAGAGGGAGAGAGAGAGTAAGAATGAGAAAGAGAGAATGAGAATGTTGCTAATATTACGCGCGCCTGTGTCTATGCAACAAAAACAAACTACAACAATAACAACAACAGGGACAACATTGTCGCCCTCCTTGCGCACACACGTGGCCATTAATGACGTATGAATGATATAACACGCGACGGAGCAGGGGTAGGGTGCAGGGAGAGGCTGGGGGGTAAGGAGGGTAGACGACACGTGGCCAACTGGCCGACTGACTGGCCTGCCAGAGGCGAATGACAGGCGCCTGCTGCACCGACTTGGACTTGGACTTGGGACTTGGAGTGATTGCTCCTTTCTCAACACCCGTTGCGGCTCCTTTATATGTACTCGACCCCACCTCTACTCCCTCCACACACCCACCCCCCTCCTGCCACCTTTGCTCTCAGATTGCTCATTTCGCCTGCAGCGATTTTTTTAATGCGAGCTGTGCTTTTTGCTTTCTTTTTTTGTTATTGGTTGCGAAATATGCGTATTGGAATAATAGAAATTATAAGCAGCTGCAGAAAGGGGCGTGGAACACCATATAATGTCTTAACAAATAAAATCATATATATATAATTATATACCTTCCACGCAACAATAAGCAAAACTCATTAGAATTTCGTTAAAAGAAAAGTTGCGATTTTCTTGCTTAAATTCAACTGATTATTCCTATGAAATCTATATGTTTTAATATTATACATATCAAAATATATAT